AGCGTTGGCTCAACTTAGGAGGCATGGAGCTGTCCTTAGGACAGGTCTGCCGCCAGGCGCAGGCCAGGAGTTGCAAAGCAGGGCGGTCCTAGGCCAGGCTACTTTCTGGAGAAATCAATAGTTCTCACTCAAAGTGTAGGTTCGCTCCAAGAGGCCCTAAAACGATGGCAATACCAGGATTGTCGCAGTCGCTTGTTCAGGAGAGACGTAGGACATATATTCCTGTCCCCCAGAAATGTGTTCAGATCCCTTCGGTCCAAACCCTTTCCCAGAAGTTTGTGAGCTTTGTTCTTTGGAACGCATTTGTTGACTTTTGTTTGTTGAACCCGGCGTCTTTCAGATTTCACATTGCGAGATGCAAGTCTTGAGTTTAGCATGTCAGTGCAGCCCTTGCAAACCCTTAGCACGTATCAACCAATGCCAAACCCATTTCAATCTCTAACCGCAAGGCATCGCAAGGCTAATTGGCTGAGCTTGCTTGATTTGGAAGCCACCCTAAACAGGTCATAGATTGCCCTTGAAGCAAACAAGCTCCAGGGGTAAACAGAACAATCATCTACATCCATCCATCCTAGGCCGTGTTGAGTCCACGAGTCCACACGAATGCCCCAAAGCAACTTTGACCCTCTCCATCCCGTAACCCAAGCAAATGCCACAGCCTCCTATCCATGGCCTTGGGTGCCCTGTGTTTGCTCATGGCGCGGCCATCCCGTTCTTCAAGCCCAAACCAACCAGACACAGCCTGCGGCGCAAGAAATCTCTGACCAGTGCAACCATGTGTCACTTTGTGCACAACATGTTACATGTTTGTCGAACGGGCGGCCAAAACAGGATGATGGGTAGCGGTTGTTCACGTCGACATTTTAGAAATGCTGCTGAGAGGCAGGCTGCAGCACTTCAGAATGCGGGCCAAGTGGGAGAATGCAGAAACAACAATTCGCGACGAGCGGCCACGCATAGCCCTTTTGGGGTGAGGCTTCTTTCAAGCAATAAGATGCCCCTGTTGAAGCTGCAGCTGCTTGAGCAGGCCGAGCATCAGCTCGGATGCGAGTGATCAGGGCAGCTGTACATAGATGCTGGTTTAGTTAGCGTTCGTCATACGAAAGCAAGCAACTTGATTGACAAGGGATGCATTTCTTTTGAACCATAGCCTTCAACAGCATGTCAAGAACCAGGGTTCATGCTTGTGAGACAATGACGGGGTGAGCCAGAACCTCCCCTCGACAGGCTCCGGCCCATGAGATGCTGCGGCAACTACCCGCAGCACCCGGATCGCCAGGAGCTGCCTGGACCTGGGGCCGAGGCCGATGCCGGTGATCAGAACGCGCGCGCGCGAATGGCAAGGGTGGGGCTTTTTTGGCCCAGCCCTTTGGGGCCGCCCGTTGTTTGCTTGCCTGAATCTAGCTGTGTGCCAAGTAGAAGGTACTTGTTGACCTTCCCTAAGGGAAACCAACAGAGGCTCGAAAGCTTCTCAAGTTGCTGGCTTGCAGACCCCCCCCCTCCGGTTTCCATCCTTGCGACATTCTAATTCATCATTTAGGGCCTTAAAGCAAGAACAAAGACACGCTCTGCTTCAGCGACGCGCCCCCAAAACAAAACGCCAAAGCGAGCAAGGCTCGGCAGCAGTGCTGAGCGCTTGGGCTGGAGCTGGGGCAGCTGCAGCGCGCAAGGCGGACAGAGGTTGCAAGACACGTGGTTGGACGGTTGGACCTTCTCTGGAAGCCCTCACATGACATCATGATCGAAAAGGTTCAGTTATCCAGGTGTCATGGTTTAGCGGGGCACGAAAGCTGAGGTAGGTTTGGGGATTGTGTCAAGGGATGTCAAAGGGGGGTCAACATGACACTAGCCATTTCGTCAGTTTTGAAATGCTGCGCCGACTGATCAAGCATTCAAGATCTAATCCATCCTAGTCTGATGGAAATGCTTGGTGAGGATTGATGAACGCTACGAAGGCCAACTACAGCTGGGGTAGAAGGGCAGGGCAGCATCAAGAAACAGCAATGAGTTCAACTCGGACGACATGCCATGACACGACCCACTGCAACGTTTGGCTTAGTTGCGCTTAGGTAGTGAGGGCTTGCAGATGTTCCTCTCGCTCAGTCAGTTCTCAGCAAGGTGCTTGCAGCTGCACATTGCTTGGGAACGTTTGGTTCTGTGATGCCATAGGCAACTCAACTCCGTATAAAATGAACAAGCAACCACAGGGACAAGGACATCCCTGCAACTGCAGTGAGATTCTTTGCCAGCCAGGCACCGACTGCGCGGCGGGCTTTTGTAGATCATTGCGAAACAGCCCCACGGCTGGCATACAATATGACGCAATGTACGCTAAGCTGTTGTTGGATCCTTGTGTCCCTGAGCAAAAAAAGACAGCAGTGGCAAAGGCGAAGCATAACCTGAAGAAGCTGCTGTTTTCGCCAAGTAGATATTCAGCTGCTTTCAGGACAGGTAAGAGGTAAGGAATGCCGCAAATGGCCAGCAAACGGTGAATGGCAATGGTTTTACTGACAGGGTTTTGAGACACGCTGGCACGGCTTGGTTTTCATCGATGTGTTTCAAATGACAAAGTTTAGGTAGCCTTCTATCGCAAGTTGACAGGTTGCAGGTTCACGCGCTCACGGGCACCAGCTTGAATGTGCAAACCGCTTGTTTGCAATGGCCAATGGCGCATTTGCATAATTCGTGGATGTCGCAGCCTGTCTGTCTTGTTGGCATGGCATATGCCACTTATGCCGCATATGTGGTGTTGCAACTCAGCACTTTGGCCCATGCAAGTTCGCAACACAACCAATGCCATTGGATGTGCATTCTTTGCACATTTCGCCCAGTTGTGCGGCACTTTTTTGGCGGGTTCCCCCACCAAAAAAAGGGCGGTTTTTTTTCTGCCAGACACTGGCTGGATTCAGCGACCTACGCATGAGGTCCAGCGGCGCCAGCGGGGGCAGCTCTCGCCTGAGTTTGAGAGCGGCGTGTCCACTGGTTGGAAGAAGTTGGACGAGTTCATGCGACCTGTACGTGGCGAAGTCGTCGTAGAACCTTGGGCCAAAAGTGAGAAGCAGACAAGCATGGGAGACCACAGGAATGCAATGACCGCAGGGTTGAAATGCATATGTGGCAAAAGCTGAAAACACTGAAGCATCATGACTCACGACTCATGCAGCTTGTTGCGGTGCTTCCACCATCCCAGCGTCAGGTTTGTGGGCAGCCGGGTTCTGGCAAGAGCGAATTTATGTTGTCGCTTGCCGCACCCTGGCTGGGTTTCGGGCCCGCACCGAGCAGGGAGGGGGGGGGGAAACCCCCACCTGAAGATTTTGTGGAAGGGGGGAGCATGGAAAAACCCTAGAATTCCACTGCATTATGTATTACGTCTCATTCTCCAAAGCTTCTTTTGGGAACCCCCAGCCCCCTAAGGTTGGGGGCGGAACTTGGGAAAGACCTTGAAGGAGCGGGGTCCAACATGAAGCTGCCAGGATTTCAATGTCGCCCGCCTAAGAAACTGTCCAGTTTTGTCGAATAGCTTTTGATTTCAATGCGGCATGCCTAAGCAATGCTATGATTGATTTGCATTCCTACTGCACCATGTTGCATTCATGTACCGGGTGCCGCCGCGGAGTAGTTTGGCGTTTGCACAAGATCCAGCGCAGCAACCAAGCATTGGCCGCCTTTGCATGGGAACATCTTCTTTTGCTGCCACGCAAGATAAGGACGCTTGTTTGCCCATTCCACGAGTGCGACCGTTTTGTGCAAATTGAGAGGCGATGTGTCAAGATGAGATGCCTTGAATTGCACCTTTTCCATGAAGGGACTTCAACCCCACACTGTGGTGCATTTGGGCACCAAGTTGGTGTTTGCGTGTTGTGGTGTGTTGTTGTGTGTGGTGTGTGTGTGTGTGTGTGTGTGTGCGCGTGACGCACTAGCTCATGCGCGCACAGTCGTGGTGTGTGTGTGTGTGTGTGTGGGTGTGTGGGTGTGTGTGTGTGTGTGGTGTGTGTGTGCGTGTGGGTGCGTGCGTACGTACGTGCGTGCGTGCGTGCGTGCGTGCGTGCGTGCGTGCGTGCGTGCGTGCGTGCGTGCGCGCGCGCGCGGGCGTGCGGGCGTGCGGGCGTGCGTGCGTGCGTGCGGGCGTGCGTGGGTGGGTGGGTGGGTGGGTGGGTGGGTGGGTGGGTGGGTGGGTGGGTGTGTGTGTTTGTGTGTGTTTGTGTGTGTCTGTGTGTGTCTGTGTGTATCTGTGTGTGTCTGTGTCTGTCTGTGTGTGTTTGTGTGTGTGTCTGTGTCTGTTTGTGTGTGTCTGTGCGTCTGTCTGTGTCTGTCTGTGTCTCTCTGTGTCTCTCTGTGTCTCTCTGTGTCTCTCTGCAACTCTGTGTGTCTGTGTGTCTGTGTGTCTGTGTGTCTGTGTGTCTGTGTGTGTGTGCGCGGGTGTGTGTGTGTGTGGCCCGTGTTCCTTTGCCACTCCGTTGATTGGTTTGGTCCTGGCGCCATGAGTGAAGCCACGCGACTGCCTTGGGTGTTTCTAGTTTAGACTTTCTAATCAGGGTCCTGTCAAACTTAACTGACAATGACAATAAATGCTCAGCAAAGTGTTTCAGGATGGGATTGCCGAGGTGAATTTGGCCAAGCTGCATGGGTCGAGGCCGGACGTCATTTCCGATTTTAACGGTCTGGTTAAATAGGTCCAGCGGGCTTGAGTGCTTTAAGAACACCCGGCCTGGCTTCCGGCTTCCGGTGGCCAGACTGGTATTTGTTGTGTTTTTCTTGTTGTCATGTGTTTCTTGGGTTGACTCAAGCTGATCCTGACATGACCTGATACTCTGAACAACGGGATGGTTGACGTCTCTCTTTCCACTTCTGATTGCCGCAGCATTGTCACGAGATGACACTTTCTCATCAAACATGCTGCACCGTGATATTGATTAGCGTGTCCCGCCCTTTCTATGTTTCACGAATGTGTCGTGTTCATATTTGTCTTGCTCCTTTTTCGCAGCTCCAAGCTGCATTCTAGCATCAAACCTCCTCAAACCACATTGAGGATAAGATATGTGACATGTACTCGCGGAACAAGTGTGAGACCATAGCATTCAAGGTAGTGAATTGAACAGATGGGACTGGTAGTGCTTCCCGGCCATCGGACGCATTCGGCATCGCAGAACGGGCCTCTGCCTTTTCGAGCACAAGTGTGATGAGCTGTTCATCCAGTTGCTGGAAAAGCTCAATGAGGCGCCTTAGCTGATCCTTTGACACACTCTTTCGTGTGCAAGGAGTATGTTCATCAGGGCTCCTTAAAAGATACATTTTGGCAATTTAAAACATCAGTGCAATTTACGATCCATTTGCTTGAGTTCAACAAGATGGAACTTAAATGATTCGGCCCGATTCCAGCACCACGCTGGCTGGAAGCGTTCTGCGACACAAGGTGCACTTCAGCCTCCTGAAGCACAGTCTGGAGAGAGATCGACAGTTCCTGTCGCGCCACTTCAAGATTATCAGTGACTCGCCTGCAGCTAGCGCACAGTTGCACGCACACACACACACACACACGAGCGCATGCGCCTGAGTGCCAGCCATCTTTGGGGAAGAGCCTGGCCAAGAAAAGTTTTGCATATGCGCACGAGCACGATTAGCATAGTACGTTTCGCTACGATTGGACGGGGGGCGTGAGCAAGGATTTGAAAGAGTGGCTGCACATTTCCAGGGACAGGCTAAGCTGAGAGAAGTTGCTCCCAGAGTATTCCAGAGTCTTGAACCCTGGCACGCGTCGCTATTCAACGTGTTATGATGTTTCAATCTTCTCGTGAACGCATCAAGGCGAAATGCAAGATTCTTTAGATTGAGTTCTCTTCACCTAGGCTTTGTGAGCCACCTTAGCAATAGGATTTGCCTTGCTGAAGGCGTCTTCTTTGAGCGGGGCTGTCTTGCTTTATGATGGACAATGTCTTATTTTGCTCCTGTGACGTTTCCGCCCAGCGGGGAACCATATTATCCCGACAAGAGACCCCAACTAGTTTTGAGCGTGGCTTAACTTGACGACGGGTGGCCCGGAAGCATAGAAACACGCCAAATGAGCAACAAAGCGTGAACATGCCAGCACGTCTGCTCAAGCAAAGATTGTGCAAGTTCTGATGAGCGCGCTTAGCATTGACAATCTCTCCTGTCAACTTCTCTTGCGCACCATGCTGTGACTTGAAGCTGCGGGTGAAGCTGTGCGTAATGCTGCGCGTGATGTTGCACATGATGCGGCGCGTGACGCTGTGCATGATTGTGCCCTGATGCTCTGCAGCCTCTCTCACCCAAACTTTCATGTCCGTTTCTCTCGTCAACTCTCTTGTCCATACCTCGCAGTTTGGCGCTGCGCAAGAAGGCTGGCGGCTTTACCTGCAAAAGTGTGCTTCGCATGCTACTTTTGCGATCTTCGAGCTGGAGATGCGGATGTGAAATTCTCAGGCTCCTTTTACATTTCCGAGTTGGAGATGCGAGAGCGCGCTCTCCGCTAAAAGTTGTGATTTTTCGAGCGCACGTCTCGTGCAACCTTTGCACGTAGAAACTCGGAGCTGCAGGGGCGCACTTTGCGTACTACTTTTGTACTTAAAAGTCGCGAATTTCGAGCTGGAGCCGAGAGAGCGCGCTTTCCGTTAAAAGTTGTGATTTTGGAGCGCACGTCGCGCGGCTTCTGCGCGTGGACGCTTGTTTTTTCGGTTGGGGCTGCGGGGGTGTACTTTGGTGCTACTTTTGTGCTTGGCGGTGTTGGCTTGCACGAGCTTGCTGTTGGGAGCCGGCCCATGAGAAGAAGCTCCCTGTGTGTTACTTGCCTGCGAATCCGGCTTCAGCAGGCGCAATGTGGAATCTCTTGGTTTGTGAGCTTGCGCCGCCAAGCCCAGCCCGAACACGCGCTCAAGACCGGCGCCGCAACGAGAGCACTGCGACACGCACGATCTCCGCTACAAGAATGTCACGTTCAGCTCCGGCCTGGCACGAAAAGCCGAGTGAATTTGTGGAAATCGGACAACTCTGGGGGGTAAAAAGCTTTTAAAACAAAGGCCGTTACATGAACATCCTTTGTTTGACTAGCTGGGGGATGGGGGCCTGGGTGGAATTCAATCTTGACATCGTCAACAACAAGCCTTGTCCACAGTAAACTAGACTTGCGAGAGGCCTCAAGAGCAGCACAATTCCGCATCATCAATGAAACAATCATGGTCTTCCCGAAGCATCCATTCGGCAGGACCTTTTCAAACCCAGCAGCAAACAACGCCAGGCAGGACGAATGTGAGTGGTTTTTCGCCTGCCAAATTTCACGGCGTTTCACGGTCTTTCACTGCAAAAACGGCGTTCGCGTCAATTTCACGGTATTTTCACTTTTCCCTTGTCGGTTTGCTAGTCCCATGACCCCATACAGTCGAAGACCTTGAGCATTGGCAGCATTGAACAGCCTCAACATGTCTACATGGCTTTCTCGAGCTTTGGGAATCGTACGTTTCAGCCACAAGCACTACAAAGCCATGTGGCTACTACTGCGGCCAAAAATACACGGTCAACCCAATTAAAAGCGTCCAGCTTGCAAACAAAGAACGTTCCCCACGTTTCACGGCCGCTTCCTAAAGGCCATTCTTTTTAAGGCCCCCGAACCCCAGGGAAATGGCGCGCATTTCTCCAAGCAAATGTTCCGCTAGATTTCCAATCTTTTCCCGCTGATTTCCGTACATTTCCCGCCGATTTCCGTGCATTTCCTGTTTCTGCATTTTGGCTGAGACAGAGAGAGAGAGAGAGAGAGAGAGAGAGAGACAGAGAGAGAGAGAGAGAGAGTTTGGGTTTAGGGTTTAGGGTTCGAAGTTTCAAAAGCGGAGAGGAAGCTGTCGCACATTGCCTCACAGCAAATGGAGACGTAAAACATGAAGCGGAATTAAGTCGCAGGGGGGCCAAATAAATTGCAAACCATGTTTCAGGCATCCAGCAACACCCCAAACGCCCACAGCCTGCTAAAGGCGATTTCCGTCAACTTTCCTGAAAAGGCGTTCACGCATGTTTTCTTTTACAGTCGCAGTTTCAGTACCTTCGGAGGGTCCAGGTTTGCACAGCGCCACAGCGAGAGCGCTTCGACACGCACAACCTCCGCAGAGTGTTTGCCGAGCCCAAGACACATTCGCAAGGCGCCGCAGCGACAGCGCTTTGCCACGCGCGATCTTCGCAGAGGGTGGCTTTCGGCTTGCAATCTTGCAAATGCGTGAAGCGCGGCCCCTACCACGAAATTCATAGACGCTTCCACGCAACCCGTAGCATCAGCACAAGACATACTGCGCCCACCACGCGCAACGCGTGCCAGTCTCACAGCAGAATGCTGCGCTGGCCAGGGGGTCCGGCCGTCAACACACAAATCCGAAGATCGGCGCGGCGCCTCTTTTGAAGACAGGTCTGTTTCATGCAAAGTTTTCGCGCGCAAGACAACTTTTTGCGGAGCTCGGGTTGTCCAAGCGTCGTAGCCTGACCCGACAAGAAAACATCCACCGCGCAGCGGCCTTGCCATCAAAAACGCACTTTGCTTGAAAAAATCGCTTGGCACGAGGCTTCCTGAAAAGAAACATAGCGCGAACCCGTGTTTGTTGCCCTTCCGCCGACGCCACGAGAGAGCAACTCCAGCGATAACCCCAATTTCGCACGAGACTGTCGCATGAAAGGCAACTTTTTTTGCGCACAGGGTCAACACTTTGAGCGCGAACCCTCGGTCTAACCCAGCCCCAGCTCTTATACCCCCTATTTGGGGAAGTATGGGTTTGTCTCCAACGAGGCGAATCGGCACAGCAATGAGAGAAGGTTGTCATGCGGATTCGCATCAAGACGCGTGCTCAAGCGAGAAGAACTTGAAGATGGGGCCAGTTTTGCTGTGCAAGCGAACCTGAGTTCTCTACATCCAGCTATGTTTGATTGTGCAGATTCATGCTGTGATCAAATCCCCTTGCTTGCATTTGTATAAACTGACCCTACATTTGGCAATTTTCTCACTGTAACGTCATGTTCGACAAAGCGCTACACAACATGGGGCTACATTGGGTCAAATGTAAAATTGTTTGTAGCACTAAACTCGAGAAACTCAAGTTAATAATTCATCCCAATGTTCGAAAAACGAACTGAGGTCACCCATAGTAAAAATGATTGCCCCGGTAAGATATATAATATACATTATTGTTCGGGAGAGGGGGGTCGTTTCATTCTAATATTAGCGGGGAAGCGACTACTTTTTACGACCAGGCTGGTAAACACAATTGATCTTGGAGAAGAACCTGCTGGTAAGGCGCAGCGTCCCTCCAATCAGCTGCTGACTCCTACCACTGAGCCCCATTGGGAGCGTGTTACCACCGCGCGCGTTTCGGCCCCCCGAATTTGTCAAAATTATGTCGCAAAAAACATCGTTCTGATCTGCGCAAAAACTCGTGCGGCTGGAAAAGGGGGAGTGGGCTTTGATAAGGGCAGCCCTATTTTAAGAAAATGGATGAGGTAGCCTGTTTTCACGCTGTTGTAATTAACTTGTAAACTCTTCATGTGGTGCTAGGAGATGGCAGCGATATTCAAAATCATTTCTGAATGCTTAGACCTGCCTTTCACCTGGGGCCTGAACCTGGTCTGAACCCTGACGGTACTAGAAAAGAACCATGTAATGTCCAGATTTGAAAATCTAGTAAATTTGGGGCTGCATTGGCCCATTTTGTATAGAATTTGAAAATGTAGCCTCCTCATGGGGTAAGCAAGGGGAAATATTGGTACCCCCAGTCGCATGCGGGTCCGAACAGGTGAGTTCTCAGAAGAAGCCACAGTGACGGAGATTCTGGCCAGCGCGGCAGCATTGGTTGAGCAGGAGCAAAGGGCTGTGGAAGGGCTGTGGCAGCATTTTCCGTGATGCACTGCTCGCCGCAAGCAGCACATGAAGCGTATGAGCGCATGTCTACTTCTAGTTTGTCCTCCTAGAGGTTGTGATATCTCCTTTGAGCGGCCACACTGGCCTGATATTGACTATACATGGCTTAACTGTAATCATACATGTGCTTGGCACCGGCAAGTGCAGCTCCCCAGCACCCCACCCAGCAAAGTGCAAGGAGCCAACAGGACGCCAACAACAACTGACCACGATTGCCTTCCCAAGATTGGGCACATCGCGAAATATCACGTTTCTTGGTTTTCCACGTTTGTCTTGACCCCTGCAGGGTACTTTTCCGCAGCGTGGGCCTGAGACAACTCCATGAAGTATGGTGTGGTGAAATGGACCACAATCGAAGCCCGGGTAGCTGATCGTTGCCAGTGGACCGTAGAAAGAGGCAGAGAGAGAGAGAGGGATGCCAAAGGCAAAGTGCCCGACATTGCAGGTTTGATTTTCCGAGTGCCAGCAGGATGGCCTTGAGAACCTCATCATCGACCCATACAACTACATAGAGACTCGGCTGGTCATGCCTGGACTTTGAGATATGGGTTTGTCTCAACATTGGGGTGGGGGCGGGGGGGTGATTTCCTGTTCGAACTCGCAAAACCAACCAAAAGGGTTTCCCGCGTCAAAGGACAGCTGTTTTCCACTCCCGTGTGCACTACGTGGCTTACTGCTACATGGCTATCCTGCAGCATGTCGGGAGCGCATGCGGAAGCGGCTGCGGCAAGAGGAACAGCAAGGTGACGCGAGAGATAGCGGCAGCAAGCCAAATGCAACAAGTTTAACTGGTGCACGGAGCGCAACAAGTGCACGCCCAAGAGTGGGCCCAAGACCAAGCAAACAAGGGCAATCACGCAAGATTAAACAGGCAATGGCAAGCAAAGGCCAGGAGACAAGAGCCAGGTAACCTAGTAATCGCCAGCAAGGAACCGCAGAGAGAGCCAGGTACCCAGCAATGGTACACAAGCGGAGGAGCCGAAGGCAAGCCAACTACACCCGGACCAATGTTTGCCCTCGTGGGCCGCTGCAACACCACTCGCACCCTTTTCCGCTAGAATATTACAAGTGCAGAGCGAGTCCGGAGCTGTCATTTTCAATCACTTTCACACCTGCAAACCTTTCTCACAGGTGAACATTGACCGTGCCGCCTTGCCTCACAAAAGTGCAACCTTAAATCTGAGCAAACTGGCCTGGCGGTTCGCATACAAAGAGAAGCATGTTCAAAGCTAAATAACGTTACATCCACAAAGCGGAAAGTGCGTGTGCAATGCTTGGTGCATTGAGGCCAAGCCGGAGAACTGCAGAGACTCAGAAACCGAGCTGGTGAGCAGCTACATGACGCAGATTCAGCGGCTGCCTGGCGAACAGGGCTGGCAGCATGCACCATCCAGGTCACAAGCGCTTAGATGAAAGCTGTGGCTTGATGTTTGCTGGTACATCAACCCACCTTGTGGTGCTATGGGTCAAGGGATCCATGGCGCACGCCTAATTTTGAGACACGCCAATGCCAAGAGCCACATGAACTTCATGTTCTGCAGCCAGGGATGCACATGAGCGGAAACGGACTTGGCAAACCCAAATGAAAGGTAGGGGCTTTGGTGGCTTTACCTCGCAGTAACATAGAATATGACGGGGGGTCGTTGACAGACGGCTATCCTCAAGGGAGATTCTGGGTAGGAGAGAGGAGCGCAATACTGACACCAATGAAACGACTCAGTTTGCAAAGAGAACTACAACTGAGTTCTAGCTGGCGCTGGCCCAACCACCTCTTCGGCAACACGACGCTACCATGTCTAGCGCGCAAAGCGCAGCAGCACCAGCACCATGTTATTTGAATCTACGGGCGTATTGGTCGTATTGGTCCAGATCTGCTCAACTTACAAGTTGGCTTCCTTCTCCTCATTCCCACCACCGCAAAGTCCCCCCGAGGAATTACAAGAATGGTTGAACATCCCAGAAAATCAAGCCCCAGAAATCTGTGGGGCCATGTCAGTTTTGTCCACACCCGATTTCAATGCATCAACGGTAGGTGGCCATGACTTTTGCCGCATCAATCCACCTGAGGTTCGCAAAGAAGTACAAAGTCTGCGTGTGGGCACCTTTGGCAGGGAGGGGCGGCAAAAGCAGAAACTAGCTAGCAGCCATTTGCATCTACGGAGAAATGCTCAAGGCCCAAGGCGTGAACGAGTTTCTGTGGATTTGAGCGCATTTAGGTCAGGCGATTTCCATAGCACTTGGACATTGCCTGGCAGGCCGGGCTATGGGGCCCTTGATCCATGAAGTCACAACTAGTTTCTTTATCAGCTGGGGGTGATTCTGATATGTCAAGGGTTGAATGAGCCGAATGCAACTGAGCACAGATGCAGCTTTTCTCAAGTTGGATCCGAGCTGAGGTGGTGGTACACCCGTCCAAGGGCTCGCAAACCTCGGGCAACAGCCCCAGTTTGTACGACTGCCAGGGCTCTGCCCATTGGCCGCCTGGCTCAAAGACCCATGAAGCACTGGTGCGAAGCTGATGCGAAGCTGCGGAACCACGTGCGGTCCTTTTGGGTAGAGAGGAGTCTGCTAAGCTGCGTTCTGCTCAGTTCCGCGAAGGATAAACCCAACCGTTTTGCTACTTGATCATCCAGCGATACTGTGTATGTGTAGGGATGCGTGACTTCGTTTCCTGACGAGGGCATGGGAGCACACAACAAACGCACTGCAAGCCAAACAAATGAATCCATCCCACTGAGCCGGTCCGTCAACGGACCAGCCGATCCATCAAACAAGCAACCACGCCCGACCAAACAAGCAAGGACACAATCAGACAAACAAGCGCAGGCAACCATACAAGCAAGCTAATAGACAAAGCAGACAAGCAAGCCAGCAATCAAACCTGTTTCAATGCAAACCCGCCAGTCAGCTAACTAGCCAGCAAGCAAGCAAACCGAAGACAACAACACAGACATGGGAGCCAAGAAGCCAGCCAGCGAGCAAGCGTGCGAAAAGAACCAACCAACAAACAACCTAACCAAACAAAAAAAGCAAGAAATAAGCAAGACAAGAAAGCAAGCAAGGAACCAGCAAAGGAACCAACCCAGCACACACACACACACCACACCACACGCAACACACTGATAGGAGATGCCACAATGATGGTCGAGCGACACCGTTTCAATCATGCCTCCAATGGACTTGCTGCGCTTTGCGCACATGGATTGGTGTTTGTGCTCCATGTTGGGCCTTGTGTTGCGAAAGGCTTTCAACATCGCTAGTTCCAGAGAACAACTTTTAAAACTTGCACACAGGTCTCCCGTGCCAGTTGAGGTACAACAAGTGCGATAAGGGCATCATTGTGGTCAGGCCGAACAGGAATCCGCAGCAAGGCTCTACCCGCCAGGCCTTGGCATGACACACAGCATTACCCAGATGCGCATCTAGTTGTTGATGTATTGATATTGTTGTTTGCGTTTCTCGCGCGTGGCTCAGGTAATATTGCGGGCATATCGAGCGTTGGATATTTGTTGGAAGCCTGTCGTACAAGAAACAAACAAACATAAAACCAATGTTTGTCCCTGGTTTATGAGTTTAATCAGCTGCCTGCACCTGTGATAAGTTCAGTTCCGGCGTAGTTTGCTCGATTATGGCTTGAATGGAATTTGTTCTTGCACTTTGTTTGGAACAAGGGCCTGTCAAATCGGTAGGGCGTCAGGGTGCGTCAGGGTGTTGCAAACCTGCCAATGGATATCAATGATATCAGTTGTTCAAACTACTTGTTTGGTCCGTAGTGTAGTCAGTTGGTTGGGCCAAACATGCCAGCAGCAGGGATAGCTGGAAGCCGACAACTTGCTCTTCAGGCCATGCTTATTTTGGCCAGCTGACCTCAGCGACGGTGTTGGTTTGGCTTGCTCCCATGAAACATCAGGACAAAAAGGGCTCCATTTCGTTCATCCTCCAAGTGGAAGTCATGGCGGGTTGGTTTCCTTGTTGGGTGCGGGTCTTACGAGCCAAACAAAAACTGGTTTCCCCACGAATTCGGTTTCTTTCTGAGCCCAAGCCCGGAAAGAATACCGAGCCTTAAAGTAAGAGCGACAGAATAAAAAGTCAGTTCAGGGTCAAAAGTCCAAATCAGGTGGAGCTCCAGGTGCAAAAGGTGCGGGACAGTGCTTCTGGGCAGCTGGGCACTGTGAAGCTTACCTTCAACCCCGCCACGCGTGGCTACAGCGATTCCGAGAACGAGCCCGAGCTGCGGAGTCGGGAGCTTCTGAGGAGCCACGCCTGATAAAAGGGCGGTGCCCCGACTTTAGGACTTTTAGAGTCGTTCCGAGCAACGAGCGAGATGCGGTGGTTGTGGACTTTTTTTCGTAGGGGCAAGCCCAAAGCCTCAATCAAACCTTGGTTGAGGGAAAAGTGAGATGGTGCTAGGTCGCCACCTTTGTTGTCAAAGGCTTGCTTTCCACAAAGGCCGCATCCGCGGGGGGTTCGCAAAAGGCCATAGTGAGCAGCGTGGGAAGGCCAGGATGCACTTGCCAATGGCGGACATGCCGTTTCCAGGCCTGGGCACTTGCGCAGTCATAGGCCAAGGCGCTTTTCTTACCTGGACGCAGGCCTGTTATACACCACTTCAGACAAGAAAGCTGCAGGGGTGCCAATCTGATGTGCTACAGTTACAACTTTGCCCTTTGCAGGTGTTGTTTTTGCTTTACCTGTCATAAGTCTTCAGCGCAGAAACTTGCTTCGTGCAGATTAGCTGGGTTAGCCTGTGGTTAGCAGGCGTCAGTGTAGCGTTAACTGGTCACGCCAGTCGACGTGTGGATTGCTGGGGAGTGCAGTCGGAGAAAATGGTCTCAGCAGGGCGGTGTGCATAAACCAGGTCCGTTAAAGATGGACATGGATCGTATGTCATCATTTTGAGAGGTTCCTTTGGAGCGCACGTGAGTCTGTCTGCATGTATATATGCACACATGACATGTATATATATATATGCATACTATCATGCGGAACCCAATTGGGGTACCTATGATGAGGGAACCTGTTGGGGATACCTTATTTGAGTTGGCAGAGTTGCCTGCATTTGAGCATGCACCCCTCCACCCCGCCAGCCTCGTCAGACACAATCTATTTTGACCAACTCATGCATGATGCCAAGAAGCTTGCCATCATTTGCTTGTCAGGGTGGTCCGGGATTTAGTGCGGCACACAACATATCGTGTTCGCACTGGCATTGGCACACCCACGCTGCTGCCAAGGTGCAGTGAGTGAGGGCCAATGCTTGGCAGGGACCAACTGGGGCCGACCGCTGCCTCATGCAGCAACTCATTTGCCGGACAATGTTCAGTGCAACATGCAATGCAAAGTATCGGCGGTAGTGCCAACAATCCAGCGACAAGGCCTTTGTTGTTTTGCGCTTGGTTGACTGGCCGGCAACTTGGGTGCTCAGTTGTTTGGCGGCCTGTCGCCTGCTCACATGTCTCAGGTTGTTTCTGCTAATGGTGACATTTCCGCATGTGACAGGTGGCAAGCTGAATATCCTTCCGCTGTGCGCCTCGCCACTGGGCCGTTTCTGATCATAATTATTTGTTGGACAATTAAAGTGTTGGACTTGGCTTGGGCAAATCGGATGCATGCGCATTGAATTCGCAGCGCTGACGCATCTTTGGAAGCTTTTCCGCCGCGTGGCGGCAACAGGTTGTCGCTTCTGAAATGAGTCCATTAATCCCAGCAACCACAAGGAACACTTCCCCTTTGCAGGCACCTGTCGGACAAGTCCCCACAAAACAGATCAACCCCTTGTGAAAAGGGGAAGCCCGGCTTAACCTACATGGCTATACTATATATGTCAGAAAATACTCGCCCCCCCCTACCCGCAAACACCTGGGTTATCTTGTTCTAAGGCATCATTCTTGCCTGGGCAAACTATTTGCAGTCATTTGTGGACATACACTTATCAAACGCTGCTGAGCGAGCCAACCACAGGGAAGCGCTTGCTTTGGCTGCATTCCCCTCGTGCATTTTGAGCTGTCAGAGTTTGCTGCGACAAGAGGACTGGACTTATTTTGCCGACTTTTGGAAGGGAGTCCGTGGATGCGGCAGCCTAGCAGCAGCGGCTGCCGAATGCACCATCAAAGCCTATGCAAAGAGAGGGACACAGGGGGGAGGGAGAGAGAGAGAGAGAGAAACAAAATCAGAAAGAAAGAAGGAGAAACAGGAAAGAGAGAGAGAGAAGGGGAAAATGAGTGAGGGAGATGGACATAGAGAGTGAGAGAGAGAGAGAGATAGGAATTATGCGAGAAGCTGATGGCTCAGTGCCGCGTTGCTTTCTTGCATGCCGGGCATCTTGCGGGCTTGTGGTGACGTGTTGCGCAGTGGACCAAGACATGACATGCAAGCCCACGCAGGGGATGGCACATATAAGCAGCTGATGCGTTCTTTCAAACGAGTGCAAGTTCCACCAGGCAGCCAAGTGGTGACGCCAAGCAGGCCGCAGCAACAGCAACGGCAATTCAACAAGAGTTGCAGGAAGCAAGCAGCGATGCAAAAGTGATGGCCATTTGTGGGGATGCGCCTTAAGGATCTGTGCAGTTTCACATAAAGGTTGCAAAGAAGGCCAGACAGGGGTCAGGTGTGCCAGGCTTAGAGCCACCCTCAGGAAGTCTCAATTCAGCCAGAGCTGAGCTTTCCAATTGTTTTGTCGGAGCGGCTCGGGGGCGGTCGGGGCCTTAGATGCCGCGAGCTGGTGCTTTGGAGGGGGGCATGGAACGTGGTGCATCCAGTGGCTGGTGATTTGGTGGGCAATCCTGAGCAAGCGAAGATCTCGTTTCAAGCGCTTTTTCCGAACGTTGCTTACAAAAGCGGCTCTGTTAGCTCTGTTTAACGCAGGTTTGTGTGAAGGACGCGGTTGTGACAACATACGGTTGCTGAAGCACACGCTTGTGTAAAGACACGATGTTGGACCAAAAGCCAAGGGCCGGGTTGAATTCCTTCGCGACACGCCGCATCCAGCAAGGGGCCTTTCTCGGCGGAAGTTGCCTCGCCATGAAACAATGAAAGGAGGCTCCTTCCGTCCTATGTCAGATCCGTAGGAGAAAATCGATGATTGAGCATACTGCTAGGATCTAAAAGTTGCACTACTTATATATGTTTAGTTGGGCTCCCACCCTTCCATGTCACACATGCAGCTACCCAGGCTTGCGTGAGCCGCATGTGTTCAATGTGTATGTTTTCATTTTTAGGCCACTGTCATGCACTGCGCGATTTGCTTTGCGTATGTGGGCCTAATCATTCTACTCAATTGCAAGCATATGCATATGTTATGTTTTATTCCTGACAATTGCCCACTTTGGAAGCCGGCTTTGCGAGGTCAACGCCATGATGCCTTTTCCGGTTGCTGCAGGCCCTGTGTTGGGGCGAATGGGCGAGAGCATTGTTGCCAAGACTTTCCTTTGCAATCCTTCGGATCTTTGATATCCACCAATCGATTCAACCAGCTGGTTGGCACGAGCGGAAAGGAGTGAACCAACAGGCCAACTGGAACCGGAGGGCCTGCATGCGAAGCTACCAACATGTGCATCATTTTTGTTGGTTCAGTTTTTGGAGTGGTGTAGGTTTCTGCACTCAGCGATCTCACCTTGGGGTCAACACGCTCCGCCGAAATGACGTTTCGCATGTTTGGATTGCTTAGTTCAGTTTGCTGACATTTACGATGATCACTGCAAATGTTTGCCATACGGGGCCACAAAACATGGGTTCACTATCGGGACGTGGTTTAGTCAGTATGCGTTGTCTCGCCCGCGTGTGGCTCAGCATGGCGACAATTCATAAAACAAAATGTCACCTGTGACCGTGTTAGGGGCTACTGAAGCATGCTGTCACATTGTCAGGTTTGGGCGTCGATCCTTGTTTTCGGAAAAGGGCCAAGGGGCCCCTTGAAAAAGGCGACAAAGAAGTCTTGGGGATGGCCATATGCAGGGAGCTTGGGCTATGGCTCTGGCTTTACCATGCTTCACCTGCTTGCTTGCTCGCCCCGCCTCGGCTCCCTGTCCACCAGGTTCCGCACGGATGAGTTTCAAGGCAGATGCACCATTTGCACGCAAACAAGCAAGTTTCTAACAGACTTCGAGTCGAAACTTGCTCAAATCTGGCTTGGCACGCTCTCCAGTTTTGATACTCCTTGAACAAAACGGACAGCATTTGAGTTCCGGCACAGTCATAGGGAAGGGAAGAGCCGCGGCCATTCGCAACTGCCAAGCAGTGCAAAGGCCCGTTTTGTCGGAGCCTTACGTAGACGCCATGATTTAGGATGATTTGGGGACTGTTTTGACATCATTTTGCGGCTAGTTTTGCCGTAATTAAATTGAAGTAGGCACAAGCTGAGGTGTGCTGGGAAGAATTCTCAGAAAATGAGGGTCCGAATGAAATCCCTATCCCCGACAACTTGTTGCTTCCTTCCTGGGTTGAATGTCATTGCCAGTGGACCCTTCCAGGTGGGTCAGTTGGATCTTCTAAGGCGATGGAGAAGTCGGCCAAGACGGCTGAAAAGCCAGACGCCAAGGAGGAGAAGAAAGACAACGGTGATGCCCGGAAGAACCTCGCCAAGACGAACAGTAAGACAGAGAACAGGGAAGACACCAAGGCGGACACCAAGGCAGACACCAAGGCGGACACCAAGGCGGACGCCAAGGCGGACACCAAGGCGGACACCAAGGCGGAGACCAAGGCGGAGACCAAGGCGGAGACCAAGGCGGAAGCCAAGAGCCTCAGCCGGAGGTGTGCAGTCCAACAGGGCAATGGAACTCTTCGCCTTCTGCCTAGCAAGGGACGGACTCGTTTCGTGTAGATTCGTTGGTGGTTTGATCGCGGGGAGTCCAGTTGATTTCCAATGATGTGGAACATGACCCCCCAGTCCTGAGTCCATTGGATGCTCAATTGTGTGAATGCGGGGCTTTCTGAGTTCTGCGACGCTTGCGAACTGAGGAAGGCGGAGAGTAAGAAGACAATGATGTCAGCAGTTGCTCGGCTGCAGATGGGGGCCGTTTGCGCTGCGTGACTCTGACCCAGGGTTAACAACCCACGCCCTTTGTAGAGGGGTGCCTTCACGTTTGGGGGAAATACCCCCTATCAATCGGCAAGGTTTATTTAGTCCGGGTGAGTATGAGCATGGAGTGGGATAAGGATCAACTATGAAGCGAACTTTGCGAGGCTGTCGGCTCCATTTCCTGTTGTTGTTTGGGGGGGTGAATCATTTGGGTGATTACCTCGAGAGTATGAAGTAAGGCTGGCTGCATGCAAGAAGGGAATGCATGAGGGGAAGGAAATCGAGCATTATTGCCGTTTGGCATATGTTCTGTGTAGAGCCATGGTCGTGGACATGTGTATAGCAGGGTTGGGAAGGCTCACGAAAGGCCTTGCCGAGCATGTCCTCTGAGGTGGAGGAAGCCTTCAAGAAGTGGGATATCACTGGGGACGGCCGGGGCTGTCAGCGAAAGGGGGACGCGTCAATGGCTGTTTCAAGTGCACAGGCCCGTCTCCGAATGCTTCCCTTTTGCGAAGGGATCCTGTGCATTTGATTTTTGGTGGGGTAGCCCTTGTTTTGGAATCCTGAAAAAATGAATCCTCCAAAGGATTTGCTTGTCCTGGGTTCAAGACCTTCCATGCAGAGTGAGCCCGCATTTTGGCCTCCAGTGCATGAGCCTGAGCTGGGTGCATGGTCACCGGCTGGAGCCTGACTGAGGGGCCATTAGCAAGTACGAGCTCCACGCTGCCTTGACGCAGTTGGGCATGTCTGAAGCCCAGGCTGGATATGCCTGTGAGGAGACCATACAGGGGTCATTCCCAGGGGGCCTGGCGAGAGAGCCTCGGCAAGGCTGAATTAGGCGCAGCTTGCGAATTTGGGCCATTTTCGTATGGCTTCATGGATTTCGCGGCAGAGCGCTTGTGACATCCCAGTGGTTTCACTTGAACATCATGCATGTTTCCCATAGCTCCTGGGGTCTGGGCAAGTGATCTGTGCTTGTTGGCCTCCGAGTGCTGGTCCACTTTGACGCTGAGCTGAGATTCTTGGCCAGCCCTTGGTTCACGCTGCCCATGCTGGTACACAGCATGTTGGTGTTCCATCAGTCCAGGGTGTTTCTATAAATCGGAATTCCCGGTTTGGATGGTTTTAAGGGGACACCAAAAGGAATCAACCACCTGAAGGGGTCCCTAATTTTGCAGCAACACCCGCCTGTTTGCCATTTGCGTGTGCAGGTTGACGCGTGCTTCAAATCTGCCGACATCAGCTGGGCTGCCCGGTGGTTGCCGCGAGCTTCGCTTCCTCCACTCGCTGTTTTGGTACATGTACCAAATTAGCAGGACCAGGCAGTGAATGCAAACCTTGGTCTACTCCACCCCTTGGTCTTTTAGGATCTAATTCGCTTACATGAGGGGCTCATGGCTACTTTACAGAAAGGCTCATGTGGTCTCCCTCCTTCTTAGCCAGAGCGAGCTAGGCAGAGATGGCGTCCTGCAGTACGAGGAATTTCTGGATTGGGTCTTTCGAGACCCTACCGTGGCAACTCGGCAATACATGATCTGCAGGGATCGCTCCCCACAACGGGGCGTCACAACTAGAAGGATGCTGTATGAGCTTTTTTGACTTGCAGCATTGCGCTCGTTTTTAAAGGTGGCGATGCCTATCCACATGCGCAAAGGACTTTGGGATTGCACCGTTGTGCGCATACATCATCAAGTCATTAAAGTGGAGATATTGCATGCGAACTTGCTTTTATCTCATGGCAGTGCACTTACTTGACACAAAAGGCTCAAGGTCTGACGTCAATGACGGTGAGTGTTCATGTGAGTGCTCATGTGGGAGTGTGTGTTTTTTGAGGGTACCGTGTTGGCCTGATGTAAACCAATTGTGTGGAGGGGGGCCAAGGGCCCCTGCCAAGGTGCAGCAGTACTGCCTCAAATCTGCGCACCTTGGATCAAGCCCGAGAAGTCCACCCGCACACCTCGCATAGTCAGAGCAAAGGCTGGCTTTGAACATAGCGCCACAGGGGGTATGCGTCAAAAGAAGGGGGGACCCCGCTAGTCTGGGGTCTTGCTTTGTTTTCTCCTTTCAGCCAACATGAAAAGGGCGGCCTCGAAAACAGACACGCAAGAGCTGGAATGCATGTGCCTTTGCAGTGCATGGCCACACATCCACGACATGTTGGTCATGGCTCAGTGAGCGAATTGCGAGGGATGCTTGGCTCTGAATTTGCTGTTGGGACGTAGTGAAGTGGCAAAAGGAGCTACACAGTAGCCTTGAAACAATGTTTTCATGCCTGACTTGAACTGAGGAAGGAAGGCCTTCACGTTGTGACAGCAGATGCCTGTCAGGAGATTGGCACACATGTAGTATATATAATGCGCAGGTGCAGACCGATACTTTGAAGCTTTGGGAGCTCAGATGGGCGAACAAGGCTTTCGTTCAAGGCCTTACACAGCAATGGCGGGCTTCCTGTATATTTGCGTACGTGCGCAACTGGCACATGCTTTAAGCCAGGTCCAAAACCCGTGCAGGATGTTTGGAAGAGATTCTCGGAGCCAGAGGACAACATCGAGAAGGCGCTTTTGGGCTGCGTGTGTGCCCAAAGTGCTCGGTACTTGCCCATCTTTGGACCCTTCCAGCATGTCGTTATGTTTGTTGTGTTTGTTATATTATATATTTGCTTGTTGTTTGCTTGTTTGTTTGTTGTTTGTTTGTTTGTTTGTTTGTTTGTGGCTCGGTCGTCCTGTAAACGCGCGCTTTTTTTGGTTCTTTCCCCCCTGTAATGGCCGCAAAAACGCGCAAATCATATGGTTTTTCACAGGTTTCGTGCATGTCCGGCCACTACCACGTAAAACGCGGGAATTATATGGAAATTCACACTCACGATAGGCACGCCCGCTCAAGTGCACCCGCGCAGCACTGCATCCATGCCAGCCAAATGGTAAGAACACCCGTTCAAGTGCACCCGCGCAGCACTGCATCCATGCCAGCCAAATGGTAAGAACACCCGTTCAAGTGCACCCGCGCAGCACTGCATCCATGCCAGCCAAATGGTAAGAACACCCGTTCAAGTGCACCCGCGCAGCACTGCATCCATGCCAGCCAAATGGTAAGAACACCCGTTCAAGTGCACCCGCGCAGCACTGCATCCATGCCAGCCAAATGGTAAGAACACCCGTTCAAGTGCACCCGCGCAGCACTGCATCCATGCCAGCCAAATGCACCCGTTCAAGCACCCGCATGGCCAAAGTGCCCCGCAGCACTGGCCAGCCATCACCCGTTCGTGCACCCGCGCAGCACGGAATCCATGCCCGCCGAATGGTAAGAACACCCGTTCAGGTGCACCCGAAAGAACGCTCTGGGCTTCAGTCCCAAGGACTGGTGCAATTTTGATGAAGACAATGCTTGGATGTGAAGTTGAAAATGCAGGTACATGCCTGGGCGCTCTTTTTGATCAGTTTGCATGAACGATGGGATGGTTTCAGGCGCCCTGAGCCGGCACCATCTTTGCTTGCCAGAGAGGCACTTGACCAACTTGCTCGAAACCCGGGTAGAAGAAAGTTAAGGGATAATGCCAACAAATTTAATGGGTGGGGGTGTCAGCCTTTTTAATTCTGTACATGGTTCTGGGAGTGCGACCATTTAAATAACAGGTTTTGATTTGGAGTCACCTAAGGATAGGCTGTGCTCTTGCAGTTCCACTCGGACATGCGGCCCACCCTTTGCTGGACTTGCTCGAAACCTGTGAAAAACCATATGATTTGCGCGTTTTTGCGGCCATTACAGGGGGGAAAGAACGAAAAAAAACGCGCGTTTACAGGACGTCTGAGCGTTGTTTGTTTGTTTGCTCGTTTGATTGTTTGTTTGTTTGTCTGTCTGTCTATCTGTCTGTCTGTCTGTCTGTCTGTCTGTTGGTGTATTTGTCCATTTTTTGGTTTCTTGGTTTGCTTGTTTGCTTGCTTGCTTGTTGTTTTTGTTCGGTTGGTTGGCTTGGTTTGGTTTGCTTGTTTGGTTTGTTTGTTTGTTTGTTTGGTTGGTTGGTTGGTTTGGGATGTGTTGTTTTGTTTTTCGTATTCGCTTGTTATGTGGTGTGGTGTGTAGTGTTGTGGTGTGGTGTGTTGTGCCTGCCTGCCCTGCCTTGCCCTGCCCTGCCCTGCCCTGCCCTGCCCTGCCCTGCCCTGCCCTGCCCTGCCCTGCCCTGCCCTGCCTGCCTGCCTGTGCCTGCCTATCTCCCTCCCTCTCTCTCTGTCTCTATTCCTCTTTCTCTCTCGCTCTCTCTCTCTCTCTCTCTCTGTCTCTCTCTCTTTCTCCGTGCTTGCCTCTCGCTCTCTTTTTTTCTTTCTTTCTTTCTTTCTTTCTTTCTTTCTTTTCTTTCTTTCTTTCTTTCTTTCTTTCTTTCTCTCTCTGTCTCTCTCTCTCTCTCTCTGTGTCTCTGCCCTCACTAAGCTTTCGATGGCCTCCGGAGCCAAAACATGTGGTGGTTGATGATATGTGGACGTAGAATGGCCATTTCCACTGATCTGTTTATGGAAATGATCAATGTGCTAGATCAAAGATTGGGTCAAGGCATGCAGTTCGGTATTTGCTGCCAGGGCCGTGTGCCCACCTTAAATGCTTTGGGGGAATGGTACTGAGCTCACTGTATAATAATTAGATGACGTCACCAATCTTACCAGTGGACTGTTGCAATTTTGCATGGAGATGATGGAGGCTGACTGCTGACGACATACCACCAAGTCTGCATGAGCTTTTCGGAGTGCTCCCTGTTCTGCTGCTGGAGGTTCAGAGCTTGACCCAGTCCATTTGCGTATTGAAGCCCGGCCGGCGCTTTGTAGCCAGGTCTTTTTTGCCGCTATGGTCGTCCTGAATGAGGATCGCGACCTGAGCTGGACAGGTGTGAAGCAGCAACTCGGCCAACAAAGAGTCCTGCTGAGATCGCAGTGTGTAGGCGATGATGTACACTTGACCGGTTTCGAGCATTCTTTCTGATGTCCAAGCTCTGGCTTTTTGACGGGGACGCCTGTGGTTCTGGAAATGCCCAACATTGATCAACATTGGATTGCGTTGGCAAGCCAAAGCGCACTAGGCATCTAGGCAAGCAGCGACTATGATGTTTGATCATGAACGGAGGTGAGTGCAGTGTTTCAACCAGGCATCATGAAACTTGAAATAGGTCAGCTCAAACTCACGATTGCCCGACTCCGAAATTCCGTGAAGTCCAGCAAAGTCCATACCGCCTGCCCTTGAACTGTGCGAGCGCTTGGCACGTGCAAGCGCCTACCGTGCATGGATAACGTGCCAGTATCATGAAGAAGCCGACGGACTTCCTCGCCAAGCTTCACAGCTTCGAACCCCAAAACATGTCAGAGGCGGACTTCGGACTTCGTCCGAATTCCGGATGCAGAGTGCAGACGGTTCCATTGCAGTTTGTGCACTGTGCGACCAGATTGTGCACTGCCAGCTGCTAGCATGGGTCACGCATGGTCACGCAAGCAGGCGACCATGCGGAAGTTGAAGTACTTTACCACCAAGGACAGACCACGTGAAAGCCTCATGTTTTCAATCACCAAGCCAACAGAAAGCAAGTAAGTGTCGGATGTGCCCCTCGCATGCGCCGATTCGCCGAGCTGCAGGCCTATCATTTGTGCTTTTGTTGGTGCAAAACATGGAAGCTCTCGAACTATTTGTTTGAAGTGCTTCCTGTTTTCCTTGCGAGCTATTGAAAACCGCTTCCTGCTGGCATGCCGGGCTCCATGGCTCTTGAACTGTTGACTTGCTATTCCAGATTGCACAGCTTAAGGGACCTGAGCCACCGAAGCCGACCTCAACCGTTGTGTGAGTGTGTTTGCGGGCGCGCATTTCAGGCCGTGGAAAGGGAAAACAAACAACTACCACGCCATTTTAGGGTTCTCCTGGTTTGATACATACAACTAGTGATAACAGATGCTCCATTCACAGCTTTGCCTGTCAAGTCCTTGGCGCTGCCCGTTTAAGCCCACTCCACTCCTTCGCCAGATCGCCTTCGGCAAGGCCCATCGCCCGTCGCAAGTGGCTCTTTCCCCTCTGAAACACCAGCCCGTTCCCCGGAGCCAGTGCAAATCTGCTTTCTTGGGGGGTCACCCGCCGACCCAATGAGTTCCACGGAGAAAAAAAAAGCCGCGGCCCGGGCGACCCATTGGAGGACTTCTTCAAGCAGGAGCGCTTCAAGCCGGCGGCCCAGCTCCGGCGCTGTTTTTCCGCGGATGCGTCGACTGGTGCGGAGCTTTGACGCCCCATGAAGCCAGAAAGAACTGATGACACGGGCAAATTGAATGGGGTGAGCTACTTTGAAGCTTGCCCATCTTACTGACATCTCCCAATCCCCGAAAGGTAGATTTGGGGGGTCGGGGGTGCTGCTGGCTTGCAGCAGTGTCCGAAGCATTTGTGATCCCTGCCCTGTTGAAGTTTGTCTGATTGGGGCAGGGGAAGTGCCCACCGAATTATATTTCTGGTTTCACTCTTGCCTGTTCGGGAAAACTAGTCAAACAGAATTGGGGGGGGACCGGAGCAACCCCCTTCTGACAGGCAAAGCGCGGGATGTCCGGTCTACTTCAACCACAACCAACTAGCAGAGCACGCAAGGAAACATGCGTTTTTGTTTGCTTTACCCCCTTGCCACTGGGGTTGGGGTGCGCCTTTGAGTCTGCAAAGTCTTCTGGTGTGACACTGTGAGTTCTGTATGGCATCTCATGACAGAATCGACACGATTCCTTCACTTCACATGCCGTCCGATCTACTGATAGCATGTTTCCAGTTGGCAGGGCAGTGCGGTGCTTGCATCTCATGAGCAGCTTCGAGGTCGCACCATCCCGTGGTGTCCGCGCTATGCAACTGGGTTACGGCCTTAAGTCGCGCTGGCAAGGTGCCGTAGGGCAGCAAGCACTCGCCTGCGTGGCATGGAATCCGGACAAAGTACTCAATTCCCCAAACGTTGTGTTGCTTGGGTTCTTCAGCTTGCAGGCCTATATAAACCGCATGTAAAAAACTAGGCAAGTTTCACTTGCGAAGGTGGCTAAGAGTGTTCAGCGATGCCCACTGCCCAACCTGAAGTTCAATGAGGGTTTGATACTCCAAATCGTGGCTTCCACCATACAGGAATTGCCTCCAGTATCTGACTCCTCCCATCACATCTCACAAGCTGAAAGTCGCTACTTTGAATGCTACTGCTGCTGCCACCGCAAAAGCAATCCCACAACAATTTCTACTGCAAAGAGCACTGCTACCAATTTCGCTGCTAGCACCACTGCTACTACTACTGCTACTGCTACCTACCTCTTTTGCTGGTGCTGCTGCTGAGTCTACTCGCTGCTACAACTGCCACTTCCACCACCTACCACTGCTACTACTCATGTGCTAGCTGCTAGTGCTACTGAAATTTGCTCCAGCACAAATGTCATGCAACTAGCGCTTTCGCGTTACTGAACTGCTACGGCTAGTGCCACTGTAGTATACTTACTACTTAGATGCACGGTTTGCATTTATGCGCAGCTTGCAGCCGCTGAGAAGGTGGATCGACACCTTGAGACCAGAGGCTAGTCAAGGCCATTATGGCATTATGGTCCTGCTGAATGTCGATGTCAAATTTGCACATGGCAAGGTGCCAGGCAAACCAAGCACGATAGATTGAAACCTGTGCGAATCTAACCTGGCACCACGCTCGTACACACCCAGTCATGCCCACATCTCATACCGCCTTACCATAATTTTAGGTTCAGGGCTGCCAGCATTGGTTGAAACTGTATGCTCATGTAAATGAACTTGTTGGGGACTGTTCGACAGCCTCTACATTCACAGGCCAAAAGGAAGCCACTTGGAAGGCAAAAGGTGCCCAAAAAACAGTGACATGTCGAGCGAAGAGTTCACCATATTTGGCACCAGGCCCTTGCCATTTCCGCCTTGGACCTCAAGAAGGATGGCAGGAAGCACTAGGCGATTGGCAAGGAGCTGGTAGTACGTGGGGTGCTTCTGGGAGGAACAGACAAATGAATAAGTTTGTCTCAAAGGGGGCCCAAACTGGGTGGCTTCTTCCCTTGAAACCCCCCACACACACCAGGCGTTCTGCCTGGAATGCCGCAAAAAGGACTACCTGGAGACCTTCCACAGGTTTGCACTCATTCCGACACCAGCAAAACCCAGCATCAATGAGAAGGAACGGCTTCAAAGTGGGCACATGCCCGCATGATACAAGGGACCCTTTTTCAACCGGTAGCAAGTCAACAAGGGCATTTGCTTCAGCCCCATTCCCGGTCCAAGGCTTGGACTGTGCTTTTTGGCAGCTGGGTCGTCCGCGGCCGGCCCACTTCCGTGCGCAGTTGGCTTGCGGGCTGCGACACGGTTTTTTAACGTCTACACGCGCAGTCCTGTCTACGCACGCGCAGTCCTGCTTTGCTTGCCATTGTTTGGCAGCCAAAGGTGAAACGACAAACGACTTGAGTTTTAATTATAGATCAATGACCATGGCAGGATTTTGCTCAGCGAGTGAAATAAGCAGCTACAGAAGTCAGCACAGCAACACACCGTAGCCTAGTAGCCTTTGCTGAGTTATTGCATGCTGCTGCCAAGTTGACTCTGTGTGCAACTTGGCGACTTTCAGGTCCTCATCTCTAGCAAGCTGCCAGCTGTTGAGTTGATACTGAGAAATCGGGTTTGCAATGCACATCCCTCCACGTTCATGGTGGACTCGTGCAGTGCGCATGCAGCCAGCATTTTAGCCCTTTATTGCGGCAGGAAGTTCACGGGTGACCACCGGCTTCCTGAGCATTTTGCACCTCGCGCGGTTTCACGCGAGGGATTGGACCTTGGGAAAAAACGAGTTCCGCCAAGGTGTTTGATAGTACTTGCACATGCTGTCAGACAATCCTTGCAGGCACATGTTTTAGACCAAGGCCATTTCCATGTGATAGTTTGCTTAGTTTCGACTCGCTTGACGCATCATGCGCCATGCCCGAGTCAACGCCGTGCGCTGCAAGCTGGGCACTCACCCAATCACTATGTCTTTTTTCGCGCCAGTCATGTTGAACACAACAACTGTATGCTTGGTTTCTAGGGACAGCCAACACGTGGAGGAAACTGGCATGGTTCAGCATGTCGATTACGGAGTGTCGACCAAACGTTTTTTTTTTTTTTTTTTTTTTTAAGGCGCTGGTATACCTTATATATATATTCATATCCTATAGATATACATATACTAATTTATCATATGATAGGCATTGCGGCGTGAGACTACGCTGGCGGATTTATTTGCCGTTCACGGGTTCCAGGATCGAAGCCTTTTTGTATCCCTGGAATTAACCCTAATGGTCGAATATAAGAAGGTTTTACCATGTTTTACCTACTCGGAAATGACACAAAAGGGGTGGGTGTAGTCTCAGGATGCAATGCTGAGTCCAAGACTAATTCAGACCAATAGCCAGGGGAACTGGGTTAAGGTCACGACCCATGGTCCGTACTGGCTCGCAATAGTTGCCAGTGGCCAAGCTTGTCGGCTCTATGCCCCCTCATAGGCTCAGCTATGGCTCCCCTGAGGTGTGGCTCTGAACCTGTGTGTGGGCGAGCGTCAGAATTCAACGTCCTTATTTGTACTGGAGACGGTGGCAATTTTGACCGTAGCTCATGTGTCGCAACAGGCGCTTCCCACAAGAGGGCCCAGCGGTATGCGCAGCCGCGCAGCTGTCTCCCTGAACTGGGATGCCGGCGAGCTAGCGAGATCTCGTGGCCGGCATTGCGTTTGGAGCTATGCTTCAATGGCCCAAGTGTGACGTTTTGCGTTGCAGCGTTCACAAAGCGTTGCACACCTGCCAGCTAGAACGGGCTGCCAGTTTCCAAGAAATTGGCCCAGGCATTCATACCAGCAGGTGCTTTTGCGAGAAATGGATGCTCAGTCATGGCATTCTTGCAAGCACAAATGTGTTTGCCCTCATGTGGATGGATGAGAGGCCAGTTGCTCTGTTGCTTTAGCCCACTAGCTGGGCGAACTGTTTGCCTGCTTGCACAGCTTGACAGGAAGCCGCACGCGTTACCCTGCCTGTCATGTAGGATGCCTATGCGTGTGTACTAATTATGACGAGCTTACCTTGATGTAATTATGTGAGATCATGATGAAGGTCCCTTTCTAGTCGTTACGGATCCTGAATTCAGCTTGGTGCCGTATAGTACGCAATGAGCGCGGATGCATGTATGACTTACAGAATCTAGATAGCTGCCACCTTCCTCACACATTCTTTCCGTTGCAGGTTCTGCCGCCTGGCGCCGAGTCGAGACACTGGAACTGCCCGAAGTGCTTTGAGTGGGCATCAAGGGTGCTTAGTCTACTGCACCAACCTCGCAACGGGAGTCTCTCACTCATCACCTCAGCCCCATGGTCATTTCAGCCAGCACATGGAGCTTTCCTGCAGCTTTTTGGCCTGACCAGGGAAACATGCGGCACCAGGCCGAGATTATTTTTTCTGGTTACTGCTTTAGACTGGAAGCGGGCATCGCTGCTTTTCGAAGAACCGTGACACTTTAGTAGGAGGCGAGCTCCCAGCGCGTTTCTGCCCTTCGCGGAGTACATGCGTGATGGCCTTCCATGGCCAGCAAGGCAGTGCTGGGGAATGGGTTGCCGGCGTAAACAGATCTAGAAAAAAGTGACAACAGGGTCTTAGTCCAATCAGGACTTAAGGGACCCAAGGCGAATAGAAGTTGGGACCTTGAAGGGAGCACGATCCCCTCAAGCGGGCAAATCTGGCACCGACTGGGTGGATTCAGGGACCAAGTGAGCCGTGGCGATGTTGAGCATGGTGAGCCGCTGGGAGGTTTCCAAGCCGTCCAAGCATTGCACCCCCCTCTGGTGGAAGCTCACAGGTTTGGGGAAGACTAAAGACAAGCCATTTTCCTGTCCAATTCCATTGCAAAAAGGGGTCAGCCCCATCGCATTCCAGGTCATGGCCTGCCTGCTAGGCACTCCACAGGCGCGAGGGTGGAACGTGGCCGCGTTTTCTGGAGTCAGGGGCTAGCCAAGGCACCCCTGTTTTGTTTTAGTTTGTTTTTGTTCTTTTTTGGGGGGTAGTGGTTTGGGGTAGGGGAAGCCAACAAAGAAGAACCACAAGGTTGTCATGTGGCGTTCACGTGTTTTTGCTGTTCGTTGGGGGGGCGGGATGAGCTTTCCTTGAAAACAAGCAAATGAAGGCAATGAAAGGTTGTCCCAATCCGGAGTGCCAATGTGTTGGCAATGAGCACAATGTGACTTGGCTTAGTTGTGGATCAATATGTGCTCACCTTGGCAGGGTGGGGTTATATTCCGGGGACTATAAGGGGCTAGATGGTTGCCAAAAGTTGTGACGGCTACCAATAGTCGTGGCGCCATTAGTGTGTTGCATCACATGGAGTGATGTGACTGCATGCCAGCAAGCTTTTTGAGCTTTCGACAGATTGCATTTTGCTTGGCGCCAGCAGAATTCCGGCCAACGCATCATTGTGCAACAATCTTGCAACTTCGCACAAATCAAAGCAACCCATTTGGCTCATTGCTTGGGGGTAGGGTTACGTTGCGTTTGCTTGCGGATGTTGCATCCGCCCCTACTCTTCAGCAGTAGTCTATAGTGCAAAAGGACTGCTGGAATGTTTGCAGGCTTCTTGTCATTATTCGTATGTCTCAGTTTAAAGGACAAACCGCAAAGGATACGGCGCACATGTATCGGCTTTGTGCGCATTGCAGCTGACAGCAGGACAAGGTGCAAAGACGTGATCGCGGATATTACCCTGGAAAGTGTTGAATGCGCCCTTGTCACCTTGATTCTTCGACCTTACACCCTGGATAGAGCGTATGTACCGCTTTCTTCTTGTTGGGGTCACTGCCATCTATGAACACGATGGGAATCAGCATAGCACCCAGCTCGCAGGAGGGCCCTCAGTGCAGCTGACTGAGCTGCCACTTGGCAGAATTTGGCAGACAAACTTGTGGCTCTGTTTTGGGAGGTAAGAGGGCCACAATCAAGGGCTGGGAAGATGCAGATGTGTCACGGACAGTCCCAAGCAACCATACGATCGTGCGGCCGGCCGACTTTTTGATACATGGCATCAGCTAGACTATGTGAATACCAAGTTTTTTTGACTAGTACCCACCTGGAGACTCACATGAGTCATGGAATTCCTGGTGGTTCTCAGCATTTGCCCATTCTTTTCTTGAATCCGTTGAGTTTTCTAAGCAAACGCCTAAACTACCAGAACTGAACTGAGAAGTAGCCATGGAACATCAAAAGGCGGTGAAGGATGGCATGCAAAAGCAGCCTGGCGGGCTGCTTCGCCTCAACATGTAATCATGACGGATGTTGCAACAGCCCAGGGCAAAATTGCCAAGTTGGTGTTTGCTCGTGAGTTAGCTTTTGCCCTCGAAATACCCCGCAAAACATGGCTTGGAAGGCGGGACTCGTGGCCAGCCGCGCTGACCAAAGGACAAACAGAAACCACCAAGGGATGTGAGTGAACTGTTTGTGTTTGTATTTCTTTTGTTGGTGTGTGTGTGGACGTGTGTGTGTTGGTGCGACGACGCTATTGACCCTGACTCGATGCATTTCCTTTTATTGTAAGTCTGTTGTGCAGCTTTGCTCAAACAAGAAGTTAATGTTTTTGGGAAGCACAAGCGAGAGCGCAAGCGAGAGCGCAAGGGAGAGCGCAAGCCTTTTGAGATTGCAACATGTAGGCGTTCTTGTTGCAATCGTTTTGGCACAGCAGCCAAAAGCTGCCCTTCCACCAGCGCACGTTAAACGATTAAAAGTGAACTGCCTGGTGTCAAAAGGAAAGCACTTCCACGTTGGTTGGTGGTAGCTGTCACGTGCCCCTGCGAACTCGCTCAGGCCATCGAGCACCAGTCCAGGTGCGCCGGGGGGGAAGCAGGTGCAATGCTTCACGTCCACCCTTCTAATTACTCGAAGTTGAACCCCACTGAACCCAACAACTTTCAGCTATTTGGGGCAAACAGCGAGGACCACCCGCACCCCTATCCCCCACCCCTTACCCCATTGAATTTAAGTATTCGTGTTAAAAGCATGGTAGCACGCACCCCTGCAAAACCAGTAATGTACTTTCAGCGCATGCCAGGTTGTCAAATGGATTTTGTGATGCACTCACAGCAGGTGACATGTGCCTGGCATGGATTTACTATGATTTACAGCATTGAGTCTTCCAGTGCTTGACCAAGTATTGGCAATAATTGCGCTTCTGGGCAAGCGGCCAGCGCACATTAATCAATGCAGTGGATTATAATATGTTCAGATGCCGCATGACGAAAGCTTATCTTCACGGGGCTTGCTTGGGAGTGCAAGGGCTCATCCACATATTTATCAAAACTACGGCTAAGCGCACCCCTCACCCGCTCCTCCCGAACCCCCTGCGAAATAATTGATCGAAATAGTGTTTGCAAGAGAACTGTGATTTGATGTTGCACAGTCGAATACTGGGGGTGCAGAGGCAGATGCCGTGCAGCGATGTTCGTTTCAGGTACCTGGCTAAACAACAAGTCAGCTGTGGTCAACCAAACGGCAGCGTTCTCCCAGGTCGCCACACCATATCGGTGCCCGAGGCTGAGCTACCGGATGTGTGGGAGTACCACCAGCGCAGGTCCACTGCGCCTCGACAGGGCCGAGCGAGCCCCGTTTGTTTGGCTTGGTACGTTGGTCCAATGAAGGGAGTTGCATTTGCAGGTGTCTCAGGCCATGCCGGCAATGCCGGCAATGCCGGCAACGCCGGCAACGCCGGCAACGCCGGCAATGCCTATGCCTCCAGTCAGCTGGCCGGCAAGGACATCCTTGACAGAGCCAGGCGTGGAAGTGGAGCTTGCAAAGTGCATAACTGGCGCTACTCTATTTGTACCAATGCTCCGAAAATTCCAAGAGTCGAGACTAGTTGCTGCTTTTGTGAGAGGTGGGAGGTTGGCAGGAGCCGCGTGCTTGAAGTATGAGAGCACTCCGTGTTACTCGCTGCCCAGACAGGCACGCAGATCTGGCAGCCACTCAACGCGGCGCGAGTCGAGCAGGCTAGCAGCTATCATCAGAGGCCGTCGCTGCAGCCAATGGGCCGCTTTGCCTTATATGGATGGTGAAGTGGATGGAGTGCAGTGGCTGACAGAAACATGGAACGTGAGAAATCTGAGTTGAACTCTGGTTATCCAGGTTTAACCGTGTGCCTTTGGGTAATGTGATGCCCTGTGGCCGGCACCGTGGCATATTATTGATGCCGCGGGCAGAGCTACAGATCAAAACTAGGCGTCCCCGAATGGCTGGTTTTGTGTTGGCTCCTGGCTTAACAAACGCACACCAGCCAGATGCAACAAAGGACCACTGGTTTAGTTCTCTTCGTCCAAGAAGCTGCAAAGGGGGCCACTAGTTTTGATTTCAGGGTAAACATAGACCACATGTGAGCATCGCCCTGTCTTGACAGCCGCCGCGCCTTTGGGCCCGAGGTGTAGAGGAAATCGAGCACGGCTGCGGCCCTCGAGAACGGCGATCCTTGCAGGTCATCGGCGGCTCGGCAAATACTGCAGGGGAACTGACCCACGTGAATTTTTGAGGCACGAGGGGGATCTCTTAATCGGTTCGAGAAGGCTATCAAAGCTGCGGCATTGCGTTTTCACGGGTCGTCCAGCCACGTAGCCGCTTTATCTGTAACTGTTGCTGATCGTTCGAGCACGTGTGGGTAATTCGGTGTTAATGGGAGGTGGTTTTCCTTGTGTTTTGTGTGTTTTTTTTTAGAACCACACGAGCCCACATGTTCCTGTTTCTTCAGCGCCTTAACTCTTATCTCATGGAATGCTTGGGGCTCCGAGATTGGGCGAATCATTGGCCTCACTGGCAGTCACTCAAGTCACTGGCATCGCGAAGGAAAGAACGATCGCCTCATGCGCCTTGCTTTGTCCTGCAGCGCCTTCCTTCTGGCGCTGCTGCTGCTGAACAGCAGCAGCTTGGCATCGGGTGAAACGTGTCAAGGCGGGTGGCAACCCATGACTTGCCACTCGCTCTACAGGTCCACCGGAGGAACAGATCCCTTAGCAGGCACACGACCCTCCTCCCCAATCCTGATTGATGAGTTGCAAGATGTCGGCCCCTTTGAGCTTCTCGCTGCAGTCCACTCTGGGATGTTTCAGCTTCACAGTGGAATGGCTTATGCTTCTTCTACAAAGCCAAGTCTAGTCAGTCCAGTCTAACTCAGTCCATTCACTTTGGTCGGTGACGTCAACTTGATCCAGTCGGGTCAGGCAGCCCAGTATGTCCAGCTGATTCGGTCAAGTTTGGTGTCAGGCAGTCAGGTATGATTTTTATATAGTTGTATCTTTTATTATCATATGCTCGCTTCCTTTCCTTTTAGTGTGTGTTTGTTGCGCTCTTCATGGTGCATGGTACTGTCACGCATTGTTTTTGTGTGTGCATGTAGGGTTTTGTTTATTGATCGTGTTGCTCTATTGGGAAGTTACTTTGGCTTTTGTATTCTTGCAGTCCTCGAGGTTGCCTTCCTTCGCCTTGGTCTCTTGATTTTATTGCTGTGGTCTTCCAATAGGTTTCTTTCCCTTTTGCCTTTTGTTCCATGAATCCGTCCATCCGTCCGTCAGTGGATCAGTCAGTCAGTCAGTCTGTCGATCGATCAATCTCTCAATCAATGAATCAATGAATCAATCAGTCAGTCAGTCATTCAGTCATTCAGTCATTCAGTCAGTCAATCAAAACGGAGTAACAGAAAATGAAATACATAAAATGCAATAAAACAAAAGGAATGGATGGATGGATGGATGGATGGATGGATGAATGAGTGACCCCACAAACGGTGTGACTTCCCTTGGTTTCCCGTTAAGAGTTCAATCAAAACAAATCGATCGATTTGCCCGATCGAGGCTCCTGGCAGGAGGAAACCATGGTCGCGAAGCCGGACGAAATACACAGAGCCGGGGGCCGTGCATCGCAGGATCCCGATGCAAGCGCGCAGACAGGAGTTATGTTCGTGCTCTGCATGACTTCCAGGGAGCTGACTGTGACACACCTCTATGTTTCAAAGGCTCGTTTTTGTTTGAGCCTTTGGCTATTTTGGACCCCTTTGGTGGCTGGTTGTTTTAGCTTGCTTCGAACAGCGGTTCATCACCCAGGGTATATTCACGGGTGCATATGAAGTTGTTTTGTGTTTTCTCCCAGGGTTGAGCTTGAGGTCTACTCCACGATGATGACCATGATCCCCGGCGGCAAGACCACTCAGCCAAAGAAGCGGCTCGGCGATTTGCTGATATTTATTATTCTTTGGTGCATTTTGATTGGATGTTAGGACACTATTGTTTTGCCAACTAATGGGTTTTCCATTAAACCACTAAAAGTTTTAACCTTCAGCAGGGGAGCAGAAAGCAACCGAGTATTGTTTTCAACTGTGGGAGCCCCTGAAATGCTTTCCTCTGGGTTTTGGCTGAAGATCAGAAAAACAACGGGGCCACCTTCAAAGACGAGACACCCAAAGCGGTTTCTCTGAAAGGTGTGGCAGCTCGGTTAGTCAGTCAATGGGGAGAGTGTGGCAATCTGAAAATACCGGCAATTCTGTAGCCCGCTATGCGAGAGCTGTATGCAGCGCCGAAGGCTTCTGCAGGTGCCTGAGGCAAGCAAAGGGCAGTGCTGCTGTCACTCAATGACCTGGGGTATCTTTGTGATATACGGCATCGGTCAATAATCACAAGGAACACCCAACCAGACCCAATTAGTCAAATAGAATAAATAGGCCTGGAGAACGCTCAGCTCGGCAAGCAGCACCTTGTGCAGCAAAAGCAGGTGCCGAACCTTGGGCTCCTTTGAGCGGTTTCCATTGAAACTCTCAGCCCGGCATTAGAACCGAAAAAGATGCTGAGAACCCTTCGGTCAGCCGTCAAAGGTTTCCCCCGCCGCTTGGATTGCTGCATAGCAAGTTCGACAGCCCTGATTCTTGTGGGCAAATTGAAAACAAAAAGCCCACCAACCCCCCCCCCCCGGCTAAGCTGTGGGGGTTGGGAGCTTTGTGAGGCTGTCCAGGAAGGTGCAGCCTGTCTTCGAGCTCCGGGCCGGGCTCTTTACCGCGTGCCTCGCTCAAAATGAGTCGGGCCGTGTGGCTGCAGCTCGAGCCACGGGTCGGGTTTTGGCACTTCGAGCGGGTTTAAGTGGCACCTGCTCAAAGAGGACAACAGCCAAATGCGGGGTGTGTCACAGGCACCGTTCCGGAAAGCCGATACCTCAAAGACGCACGATCCCGCGACGTTCAATCAGATGTGATCTACTGGCCTGGCAAAGGGGTTGGTGGGCTGGCCGGTGAGTTTCCGAGACCGACTTGCTCGCTCAGGATCGGTTGTGCTTCCCTTTTTGCGGGTGAATGTGGGTAGAAGGCACAGAGCATCACAGGGCAAGATGTGACCTGCTATTCAGATTCACCACCCAATTGAGTCAGCAGTTTCAGGGACAAAGAACACGGTTGACTCGTTCAACCTACCTTTGGAAGTTTTGGGTTTCGCTGTCCGCCTCCAGAAGTGTTGTGCCAATGTGTCGTCAAAGCAAGTTCGCGGGCGGGGAATGAGGCAATTCTCCCACGCAACAGAACTCGGCAAGACAACTTTGCAAATCAGGTGAATCGAAAGTCTGCCGTAGCAAATGTCTCGGAGATCCACATGATACAGCGATAATTAGAAACTTATATTTTGCTGTTTTTCAACGACGACATGACTTGTGAGACAACTTAACATCAATCAAATCTAGCCGGGCATCAAATTCAGCTATGTCTGGCTCTGAAAAAGCCTTGCATACAAATTGGAGAACAATCCAGCACCAAAACTTGGATTTACTGACTTTGCAAGGGCAGGGTTAAATCCGCATCCTGGGGGCGCAGAAGCTTGAACCTGGGCATGATGAACACAGGACTTTTGCAAAAGTTGACATGATCCATGTAAATAATATGATATCCCGATATGTATAGAAGTGGCGCTTTACTGTATACCTTTAACAAGTGGAACTTTAGCCTTTGAACTTTACCCCGGGGAAGTGGGTGGGACGTTTTCAGTTGAGGGCGGGGATCCAATCGTGCTGGCCTTTGTTGTTCTGAGAGCAGCTGGGAGCATGTTGCCGCGCGAACTGTGAGCTTGCCAAGTTACGTGGTTGGGATTTGCAAGCCTGGAGCTGGCTTCGATTACATGGTCGACCCGGTTGCCTGCAACCGGAAGCTCGAGACCAGTCAGAGATTGGCGCATAGTCCTCATAGCTTCTAAGCTTTTTGGAAGCAACCCGCAGACGACTTCCGCTTCCAAAAGCTTGCGCTTTGATTTTTTTCGAGGTTTGTGAAGGGCGTTTGCTTTTTTTTGCGTTTTGCACAGAAATTCTGGGGAATGCCCAAGCACAGAATCCTATTTAGGCGTTGGGGTCATTTGGCAGTTCCTGGCAGTTTGGAGTGTATGGATGTGCTTGTTTAGATACTTCTGCTGTTTTGCAATTTTGGACCCAGGGCATGTGTCAGTTTTGCTGGCAAGTTTGACGACGTCATAGATGGATAGAATACGACTATGCAATGACAATGTGTGCAGATTAACTAGGAACATGCTGAGTACTTGATAGACACATGGTCACTGCATACCATAAAATGTCTAAGCATAAGAAAACAAGCAACAAAACCACGGTAAGACTTTGCTTAGCATTTTTCCATAAAGTAGGCACGTGCAATGCTGGACATACAGTAGGTCAATACACGAAATGTAGTACATATGCTAGACACATGCTAGGCATATGCTGGACAAATGCTGGACATGTGCTAAGCAGACTTGGAATACGCTAGGAGTATGCTAAGCATGTATTAGAATTAGAGTAGAATCTGAGTAGAAGTGTTTGCTAGACCTGTGCTAGGGATATGGTGGGCCCGTGTAGAAAGCATATAGTCCACATACAACTTGGGAAGTCTACTAGGTCGAACATGGGCAGTTAGCAAAACATTAATCACCAGACAACGCGCAACCCATATGCAAATATATGCGGCTATATGCACATGTGTATACATTATGTAATATGTATATATGTATGTGTGCATCGCAAGTTTTACTAGAAACAACACATGTCCAAGTAATGTTAACGATGGCTTTTGGATGGCGGTAATTTCAGCGGTTTTCAGCCGTGGCAAACCCATGTACCAAAGCTGTGTATGTTGGTTCTTGTCTTGAAGGATTTCTCGAGGTTGTTTGCAGTGTTACTGTTGGGCTCAGCCAACACTGCAACACACACACACACACGGACAAGAATGCGCACCCCAACCCCGGGCTTGCCCACTTAGAGATTTGCATTTGTTTGCCGCTGTGATCTTTGAAAGGCTTGTCATGTTGTCTATGCATCCACCATTGCAGTTGGCGAGTTGTTGCTGGGGGCAACTAAAATGAAGGACCCAGGACGGCAGTAACCAGCAGCCACCTTGAGCCTTCAAAGAGCCCACGGGTGGCCTCGCAAGCTTCACTTGGCTTCCGTGTCTTCTTCGGAAGGATTACCGGGCTGAAAAAAACAAAGCGAACCCCGTCCTTTTTCCGGGTTGCCTTTTTTGGTGACAACCCCAAGCAATTCGAAGCTGAGGAAGCCTTTTGCGACTCCCTGCATGACAGCACTCCGAACGACCGCTGGCTGAAGCTCGCTGACCGGCACCTTGTCGCATTCAGTTCTTGGGAGGTCCACGTGTGTCGGAAAAGCTGGCTAGATGGTGCTTTGTTGACAGAATGTCCTGAAATTCAGCGTGGGGATGCAGCGCGACAGGCTTGCAGGCCCACATCCGCACATGCAAGACGCACAGACGCAACTATTGGTATCGACTTGCCGCGCCAGCATTCTCCAGCATCTTTCACGTTGTTTGGGCTAGCGTCTGGCGATTGAGAAGTGGCTGGAATGTGCGGGGGTCACGGCTCCGAGAGGGTCCAGACTTACCTGCTTAACTGGCTGGCTTTCGGCTGCCTGGCTTTGGGTTTCGGGGAGGGGGAAAGGATCTTTCGGGCATGGCAAAATTTTGCAACAAACCAACGCGATGCTCAGATCGGAGCTTCCAAGCACCAGCCAGTTGGGGAAGCTGGGCGTCAATATGTTGTGCGAAGTGCATAAGAGAACGTGAAAAACGAGCTCGCCCAGAGCTCTCCCATGATCAAGTCCTTTTAGCGGAATCCCTTCATCCATTTTTTCCAGTTGTTGGATTGTGCAGACAGTGGTCATGCATGCCAAGGCTTCATAGCAGCTGCCTTTCGACAGTGCAGACAGAGCAGGGCTTGCGGGTTCCTCGGCGCTGGCTCCGATGGGTTGGAATGCGTCACTTGAAATTCGGTTGTGGGCGGTTCAATCTGCGGGGAGTGATGCTTATAATTCGAGATCTAGAAAGAGCCCTGTAACAGCCGTTCCTTTAGTTCATTGAGGTTGGCGGGCACAGGGGGATGACATGGCTGTGGCGCAGAAATGGCTTGGGGCAAGGCTGCCTCTTCAGCGAAGAGAACCAGAATGGCTACTTTTGCCGATCAATTGTGCAACAACGCAGGGTAGCCAAAACGTATTGAAGACTAAAGACTCTACCAACAACAAGGCATCCTGTTGAGATCAGTTCTTTTGCAACTTGCGATCCACAAAATCAGCCCCAACCTCGGAGGCCTGCTTTAGTGGAGCTAGGCATGAATGGGCCAGTCCAATCGTACACTAAATCCTTCAGCTGGCTTTGTTGCTCATGTTTGGCTCTGTGTTGCATGGCCTATGGACGGGTTCCATTTAGAAGCTGAGCCAGAAGCCAAACCGGCTTGTGCAGATGTGTTGTTCACTTGTTCTTGTGATTTCTTTACATATTCTTGAGGTGCTTTGTTTTGTTGAGAAGGAATGAATGAAGATTCGCCAAACATTCAGCGCTTATCCTTTGCTTGTTCCTTGCTTGTACCCCTGGCTTGTCTTTTGCAAAGCTTGTGCTTTGCTTGCCCTTTGCTTGCCCTTTGCTTGTACTTTGGTTGTGTGTTTCGGGGGGGGAGACGAAGCATAGCTGCTAATGCTGCTGCCGCTTCCATTCCTGCTGCCGCTGCGGCTATCATTGTCATCGTCGTCGTCACTCTGTTCTTTGGTGTGTTAGTGGTTCTTGTTCCTGTTCTTGTATTTGTTATTGCGCTTGTTTTGTTCTTGTTATGTTTCTTCTTCTCCGTGTCCTGCTTGGGAGGATGGGCAGGAACACGGTCAGCCAGGGCCGCCTGCGTTCCCCGCAAACAGTTTGAATTGAAACTTAGCCCAATCAAACCATACCAAGAACAGCATCTCCACAACACACCGGCCTCCAAGGGGTTGCCAAGCATGCGACAGGCGGATTTGCTTTGCTCGCCGCGATGGTTTGCCCCACAAATTCCAACCCGTTCACATTAGCTGAAGGGTTGCTGCGCAATGCTGAGTCATTTGGTACAGCTAGGGAGCTCCACGCCATCGTTGCGATGTGCTGAGGTGCCTTTGCTTTGGGGCCCTGTGCGCCGACTCTGGGAGCACGAGCCGGCGGATGGGGACATCGGGGATTTGGAGCAGCAGTTCCAGGTGGCGCCCGAGGACCCATTGTGCAGCCTCGGTTTTGTGGGCACTTTTGGGATTGGCTTAAAGGGAAGCCCCAAAGCATACTATATTGAGACACCCTTTTGGGTGTTTTGTTTCTTTCATGCATGTTCCGCCCGAGATCTTTTGCTGTGACCTGTGGCACTGCGGAGCCCGCGGCAAGAGCAGATGAATTGTGGCAATACTCGCACTGCCCAAGGGCATCCAAAGGCATCCAAAGGCGTCCAAAGGCATCCAAAGGCTTAGCGTTTGAACCTTGTGGACTCAAATCTCCCACTACATCTCGGCCTTTGTGGCTTGGTGCGAGCCCCTCCCGGACCCCACTCCCCCTACCAACCCCACTCCCCCCCCGCAACAAAAAACAAAAAGAACACGCCCAACCCATGGAGACCCAGGACTGGTCCTCGGAATTCTGCAGCACGGTCGCAGACTGCGAGGTCTTGGAGTCCCTGAGGCCTTGGTCCTTCCTGTCGCTTTTTGCGCTCATCGCCGCAGTGCCTCGGATTCATAGTTCGGATCTTGTTCTTTGTTGTCTTGGCTGGAAGAAAGCCGATGCATATCAAGTTATCAGAAGCTGGAAGTTGAACTACTGGGTATTGCTCCAAGCTGGACTTGAATCAATGCCAAGTGTGAACGAGTTCTGCCATATGCCTTTGTAAAATGCATCATTTGTAAGATTTCTGTCGAGCGCTTGGAAGCAACCCACATGGAAATACCATTGAGTGGCAATCCCAGAAACACGAGCACCCACCCTGCACAGCCTTTGCAGCACAGTGCCGGGCTCTTGTAACATTGTCCTATCTTCACCTTGCTGTATGTATCTAATCGCTGATTTGATTATGTGAGCCCACTTACAGGCATGTTGCCTGCCCCCTTTGCTTTATTTCTATTCAATGCATTCTGATTTGCTGAGCCCAGGCTTGGGTTCCCATCATGTGAGCAACTTTATAGGGGCTTGGCACAGCCTCCGAACTTCACGTGCATGTGAGTATGCCATGCTTGCACCCTTTCTGGGTCTGGCACTGCCTTGAGGAAAAAGGGTCGCTTGACTTTTTTGTGCTTGGACACTTCTATGCAGAGGTCCGTCATTCGCATCGTTAGCTACACTAGCATTTGATCAGATGAATTCCCTGGCAGCCATGCCGCATCGGGCACTCCGAGTTTGAGGTCACATCGCTCTTCATTGCAGTGATTTGTGACGCCCTCGACGCAGCCAAATCAAAGCCGGACTACGCCAAAATAGGCTGGCAGTCGTCACGTAAGTAAGGTTGTGCAGACTCCTTCAGCGCAGACATAGAGTGTTTCGAGGAGAACTTGAGTTGGTTTGCTTCCCTCTGTCGCCCCTGCAGGTTTTCGATGTACAATGGTCTCCTTAGCGCTGTTCGCAGCCACCGCCTGCATCTACCTCCACACTGCGAAGGCTGCCAGTTGATGACTATGCTATGCTCTCCAAGACTGACTCGGCACCCAAAATTCCTTTTCGGAGGTCAACGTCAAGCTTCAGGGGAGTGAGCCTGAGTAAGTGCGTACCGAAGGCAACATATGCTCCGGGGAACATTTAGCCAGATGCCAACTGGAAGTCAAAGTGTCAAGAGCATGCACAGACCTACCCGGTGAGCAGCTACATCCGCAGTGAAAGCCTGTTCTACTTCATGCTTCCGGAGCCTGGGGAGTCGACTCAGGAGCGATGGAGTGACAGCCTGCCATGAGCCCAAATCCAGAAAAAATAACAACCACACATAATGAGCTGACTTGTGGCGGACTTTCCTTTGAGCCCAGGAGCTGGCGCGGTCTTTGGCGGCAACCGGCGCTGACAGTGTTGCAAAGAGGCAGCGTGAAGCTAGAGTTTTACGAGGCTGAGTGAAGAACACCCCCCGCATTTTGTCCATGCGGTATTGTAAATCGTCGACGCGTGGGCTTGCTTTTGGGCAAAGCCGATGTCCAGCAATATAGCCTACAAGCGGCTGCGTGATATTGGCCAACCCTTTGCTTGCTTTGCGCTTGATGTGGGCAAAGGTCAATATTTCGGTCGTTTGGGGTAGTAGGGGGAGAACATGAGACATCATGAGACATGAGGGGCACTCGCAAAACTACCATTACACATTGAGGGCTACAGCAAAACCCCATGTCAGTTGGAGACCGTGGCTCGCATGTGATCCACGCATGTGCTGCCCAAGACAGAGACGCAGGTGGAAAGCGCTTCTGCTCTCTTTGACAGGAGCACTGCTGCGAGGTGCCTGGGATTGCATTGTGACGGAAAGTCTGTCTTTGGGCTGTGGGCTTGTTCGCTGCGGCATCGCGGCATCCCTCAATGTAAGCCAATGTCAAATGGCGGACGCTTCAGATATTGGACATCACGCATTACTTTCCAGCTATTGTTTATCATGTGTTCAGGTCTGAATTCAGCAGATGTGCACAATATCAGCGTCAAGGATTCAAGCATTGCTTTAGTGAATCAGGTCACGTAGATTTCGCACACCCAGGTGTGATGGAGGGCGACATGTCGCTTTTTTACCAGCAGCTGCAGGACCAGCAAGCGTATTGCAACCGACGCAACGCTTCCAAGAGTCTGGGCGCCTGTCCAAACTGCCTGAGGAAAAGTTGCCGGGACTCCAGGGTGTAAAGTGTGCACCTTGCATTCGCTTACTGAACCTCCGTGACCTCAAAATCAAGTCCGCAGCCATTGGCGGTCCAGTGGCCAACGAGCCAGAACTGCTTGCCACGAAATGGCCCCATATCATACCCTTCGAGTTGCAAGCCGCATTGCCGCATTGCAGTCGCAGCTATGCTGGGAGGGCATTGACTTGGCACTCCCGCTAGGCATATGGGCAAAGACAGCAAAGCAGATAAGGGCCATGTTTTGCTCGATTCCAACCAATTTTTGGAGGGGCTGTACCCGCCTTCAGGAGACGATCTCCAGCGCGTGGAAGGTGGCGGACGTGCCTTGGCCCGCAGGCTAGGCAGGCTGAGGGGCCCAGCATGGGAAAGGTCCCTGTTGCGGCAAGCAGGGTCGTGGCCGGGCATCGAACCATGCGCAAGACAGCACTCACAGAATTGCACGGATCTCAGCAAAGTCGCCGTAAGCGCCGGGTTTCTTAAGGCATACATCATACATCTGTGCCGGCAACTCACCTTTGCCAGCTGATTTAGAGGCTGCCCTTGTCAAGCAGGCTTCTGGAATCCCACAAAAGGGCACTAAAGGGCGCCCATGTATGATGCTCAAACTTTCACGCCCGAGCAACCTGAGGTACTGTTCCAACGCTGGCTGAAGTACATGCGCTACGCGCTCGCCCAAGCGCCGTAGCTTGCCCACAGCTTGTCCGGCAGAGACAAACAGCGACAAGAAGGATACTTGCCTTGGCTTGACAGACCCAAGTCCAGCCATGGCTCCAAACAGTTATTCACGCCAGGGGCGTCAAACAGGGGCTATTTTCCAAACCATCAACAAGGGACATGTGGGGAGCGCCGTTTGTTTGATGCGCCATCGATCCGTATGCCCAGGTCTGATGGCTCGCTGATTCTCAGGGACATCACTACCAAATTGGAGGAGCCCGGGTACGGAAAAGGGGGAAATTGAAATAATCGCCCAAAAGCGGGAGCACAATCATGCAAGCAAACTCAGTAGCTGGCCAGTGAGCAAATGAGTACCTTGAGTTCTTCCAAGCACCCGGCCAGGTAGCCAAGTAGCCTTTCCCCGAGACTAGAGCTGTGCGAGGTGTGCAGCCATGCTGCTTGCTTTTTGTGTAATTCTGAAAGCCTCGTGGAAGAGAAGCAACGTGGAGCTTTGCATGCTTGATAATTTTCTTGATAATGTCACGTTATTATATACCTTTAATTGGTCCTGAAATTCCTTGCATTGCGGGATGGTTTCTTCGCGGCTTTGCAGGATTGGCGGCACTTTGGTTCGGATGCATATGCTTACGGAATGCAACTGGAGCGGGAGAAAAGGAGAGACTGGGCAGTTTGAATCCAGGAGCTGGATGGCCAACTTGTTCAGCTCATGCCCAACGAGATGAACGAGACGACCGAGGAGCAGACAATTGCCAAGGAGTTGGGCGAAGAACTGCGCAAGCCAAGGGCTTAATTAGTCCTCAGGTTGTGGGCTACTGGCTGCGCTTCCAACTTGCCCGTTCGTTTGTTTGTTCTTTTGTTTGTGTGTTTGCTAGGTTGCTTCTGCTTTTTCTTTTCTTTTCTTTTTTTTTTGGGGGGGGGAGAATGCATGCTTTGCATGTCCAGCCAGCCGGACTATGCGAAAGAATCCTGCCTCAGGCCCATCGACCCTTGAGCCTTGAACCACCCCGAAACCAGACGCGACAAAAAGATACTCTGACAGCCACGGGTTCCGGCCCCTCAACCCCAAAGTGCCCGCAACGTCGCAGTCCAGGCAAGTGGTGCAGATGCTGGATGTCAACAGCAGGGCCACGAAGTTGGTGAATGACGGCCAGGCGCGTTCGTTAGCATGGCTTGTTTGGTTGCTGGCTTCCCCGCTTTCTTGCTCGCTTGCCCGCTTGCCTCTGCCCTGCCCTGCTGTGCCTTGCTCGCTCGCTCGCTCGCTCGCTCGCTCGCTTGCTTGCTTGCTTGCTTGCTTGCTTGCTTGCTTGCTTGCTTGCTTGCTTGCTCACTTGCTTGCTTACTTTCTTGCTTGCCTGCCTGCCTGCCTGCTTGCTTGCTCGCTTGCTTGTGTGTTCCTAGCGGTGCCCCGCCACATAAGATTGATTGTTGGCTTGGCTCGGGTTGACTGCCTGCTCATGAAGGTTGCCGTTTCACAGTTGGGGGATGCGGACATTGTTGGCAAAGATGTTTGGCCGATGTTCTTGCTCGGTGGTGCGCTTGCAGTCGCTTATGGCTTGCGCGTGTTGAGCGCGCCTTGTGTGCGCGTGCTTTGAGTCTGAGCAACTTTGTGTAGTTTTGTTTTTGTGCACTGGTTTAAGTGCCCGGGTGCTTCAGTTCTGTTGGGCGTGCTTACGGTTCTGTTGGGACACCTTGTGCCTAATCAACCGTGAATCGGTTAGTTGTCGGGTAAGATTGCCAAGCCCACACAAACGATGGTGGATTTGGACATGAGGTGCTGCTTTACATGGCCGCATTTGATGCCACGTTGTGCAGCTACTTCTGCAAAGAAGCCTTTCGGAACAGTTTCACAAAAAATGAAGCGCGGCGGCTTGACTGCGATGTCACAAGAAAAGAGGGAACACATGTGAACACCAACAAGCCCGGCCCCCATTGCAAATCATTCCGAGGAGCTGGTCAATGCCATCCTGCGAGCCTGGCACGACATTCATGGGCCCATCCTGGCCTTGATCGAGCGTGTCCGAGCTGCCCTCCATAAGGGCGCCAGGGCGGCGGAGAAGGCGTTGATTTTGGTGCAGGACCAGTCGTTTGTTGAAGGGTATCCTTGTTTTTGCGGTGGTTTTCAATAACAATGCAGAGGAAACCAACCGTTTGGACCGATTTCAAGTTCGGAGGGATGCAGCCGTTTGGAGTCTGGAGGGGTCCCATGTTGTAACACCCGCACACATAACTATCAGGGCGGTTGCATGGCGGTTGTATGGAGATTGTGACGAACAGGGGGCCGCGTTCGGCTTGTCGTCACATGTTTGCAGTTCCTGCCTATCAGGGCAGTCTCCAATTTGCTTGAGATTTGGCCATGTGGCCATAGCCGATTTGCATAGGAGCATATTACCCCCCCCCACCCCGCAGACAGATCAATAGAAGACCCTAGATTAACCAACTTGGTGGGAGAGTGTTAAGTGCAGGCTCCGCTCTAAAATGGGACGACCGCATCCACCAATCCACTTGCAGCGACTTCCTCCAGGACTTGGCGCTAGACAAAGCCACGGTGAAAGATTTGAAGACCATCTTCACCCGTCTCTTCGATGCCTTGCCGAAGGTGCGGGCTCTCGCCGCATTGTGAGTTTGTTTGCTTCAAACATGTCAGGTCATCAGCGGTGTGGGCAAGGTGGCGGAGGACACGGCAGGATGTGTTTTGCCTGGCACCCTGTTGCTTGTTAAAAGCGAAGTCGAAGGGAAACCACCCATTTTCGAGACAAGCGCTTGGGCACTGCACGACCCGCTCTCATTGTGGTTCTTTTTTTTGGGTTCTCTTTCAGCCAACTTGCAAAATGGATACCCCACACACGCACACACACACACACACACACACACACACACACCCACCCACCCACCCACCCACCCACCCACCCACCCACCCACGCACGCACGCACGCACGCACGCACGCACGCACGCACACACGCACGCACCCACACACCCACCCACACACACACACACACACCCACCCACCCACCCACCCACCCACCCACCCACCCACGCACGCACGCACGCACGCATGCACGCGCGCGCGCGGGCGCGCGCGCGCACACGCGCACACGCACACACGCACACACGCACACACGCACACACGCACACACGCACACACGCACACACGCCCACACGCGCACACGCACACACGCACACACGCGCACACGCGCACGCGCGCACACGCACACACGCACACACGCGCACACGCGCGCACACGCGCGCACACGTTCGCACACGCACGCACACGCGCGCACACGCGCGCACACGCGCGCACACGCGCGCACACGCGCGCACGCGCGCGCACACACGCGCACACACGCGCACACACGCGCGCACACACGCGCACATGTCACACACGCGCACACACGCGCACACACGCGCACACACGCGCACACACGCGCACAGACGCGCACAGACGCGCACAGACGCGCACACACGCACACACACGCACACACACACAACCAAATATATATTTGATTGTTATATACATACAAATATATATATATATATATGCATTACATGTTACAAAGTCGAGACACTGCATTCACGCCAAATTACAAACGTCGATGGGCTTCAGTCAGCTGATTCCCGTGTCCTTTTGGGGCGTAACGGATATTGATGGTTGCGTGTACCTGCTGAAAGGGGATGAAAGCAGCATCAGAGCACCGGATGTACCGATCAGGATTTTAATCTCCTCACCGCGGGTGTGGGCCCGCTAGTCAACCAGACTCGCCGGACGCTGCAACGTGCCACAAAAGATGCAACAACAACTGGCCAAGTCTTGTGAGTGTTGATGACGTGCTTCTTGACAAGGTGACATTTTGCTTTGTGAGATGGAAGCTGCTATGTCGACCGATGGACACATTAGGGAGGGACACTGCAGCCGATCACACTTCAACTGTTGCCAAAAGCACGTGACCACAAGAAGTCGGGCTAACTGGGCAAGGCAGAGAAAGCTTCACGAGGTAGCATCCTCTAGCAAACCAAGTTGCTACATGTTGCTACTATAGTCACCTCATCCTTGTTGATGGCAAGTCTGGCAAATATATTTTGAGGCTGCAGATGGCTGCAGCAGGGATGGCTGGCGCAAACGGGAAATAAATGATCAGAAAGGATGCATCACTGCGTACAATTTGCAATTTGCCTACTTGTAAAAGCTTTCTGCTGTTGCAATCAACGTTTTCTCGCACCAAAATAGGTTTGTGTTTTGAAAGAGAAACACCATTTGGGCGTCCTCCTGCCCAGTCATACCCATGTTGACAAGAGCTTAGGCACAAGAGCTCCTCCTGCCTGGCTCGCTTCGCACACCTTGAGCGTGAGCAAGCGGAGTCACGTGCGCTGGAACTGGCGAATGGCTTCCTCAAGGACGGTTGAAGCCTGCTAAAACGATGATAGTGATGCTACCTTGCACTACATTCCAAATTAACATGGAATCCCAGAAAGGTGTACCAAGCAGTGGTCCGGTTTCCCAGTATTTAATGGAGGTCATCCCATTAGCTTCTATTTGCAGTGGCTGCAAATCTGATAACACGCGTCTGCTCAGCAGGTCAGTGAGCTGAGCCACAGTGCCGCACATGCCGCAGCTTCAAAGCAAATGAATGCTGGTAGTCCCTGGGGTCAATTTTAACCAGCGGAAAGGGTCAGAACTTACGCAGCCAGCTCAAAACGCAGCAACTAAGACTCGGCCAGGTTGCAGGACGGATTCAGCTTCATCGCATGTTAGATATCCCTTACGCTGGTGGGGACGACTGAAGTCCTCCTGGAGTATTTTTATCTACAGGTAAGGAACCTAACAAAACCTATATACATTTACTCCCTCCATGAGTTCATGGACCTAAATCTTTTTGGATAGGCCATTATGCCAAAACAATGAACAGTTCAGACTTTGTTTGGCCAGTCCAATCCGGAAGTGAGCATGGGGAATAGTAGTATACCTATATGATCGCAGTCCGGGGCCCGGTACACCCCCCCATGTCATCCAGGAGGGAGGGGGGGCAGGGGCTTCTTGCACCCTGCCAAGTTTCAAATTGCCAAGTTTCAAATTGCGCTGCGCCTTCGTTGAAGGGGCCCTTGCACCCAATTCGAAACCAGCACGTTTCTTGGCGCGACGCGCCTTGGCGCGAAGGCCCTTGGGCCAAATCCGAAACCGCTTTGGCCTGCACACTAAGAGGTCGGAGTGGTTGCCCTGACGAAGTAATCGGACAGGACCATCTCTCATGGCCCCGCCATCTCCCAGGCCTGGCTCAGTCCAAACAAGCCGAAGGCCGTCAACTTCTTCCTGGTTAACTTCGACTGTGATGCCGTGTTAAAGTGTGTGTGGCGTAGACGGTGGGCTTGGCAGCATAGGCAAAGTACTGGTGTCCCCCTTGCCGGGCCACAGCGGGTCGCCCGGCATCTCCACTGCCAAGGCCTCCTCCGTGGACATGGGTGAGAAGCTTGCGCGCGCCGCTGTCATTATCCACCAAGTCGTCGGCGTTGAAACCTTGGACCAAGCGCTGCATGGCATATTGAAGCATTGTAAAGGCACGCCCTGTCCCCTCCAGCCGGCACCCCCACATATGTCGAACTTGCCCGTCTTAGCCTCAACGAGGTGCAAGCTCGGCACGTGCTGGTCATCATCTTCAAGCTTGCGGGGCATGAGCTTGAGGTTGGCCTGATGCTTGTAGACGGTGGCACTTCCGCCAATGGACTGCACCCCGTATTCCCGCATCTGCCCATTGTCTCGAACTTGCCGTGGCCAGTCTTGGTGGCGTACTGTTGTGTTTTTGGCGATGACCCGGTCTCCAGACAGGACGGGCTCCAACGCGTGGAAGGAGCGGCCGCCTTTTAGTACCCATCTCCTGCTTGGCGATAGTCCAGACACTCTAAGTCGCAGACAGCTGGCTTGGGTCCACAAACTGCAGGTTCCGCCAGCGCGACTCGGCAGGACGCAAGACACGCCACAGCGTCTCTCAAACCGCGCTTGGGGCATGCTGTTGTAGGCCAGGGCTGCTGCAAGGAGGCGTTTCCTGTCTCCAGCGTGGGCAAATTCCATGAGGCGGTTGCATCCACAAGCCCGTTAGGGGACGGCCTGGGGGAATGTGCCTGGGCTTGATCCCGACGGCGTTCTCCAAAGCTGCTGGAAGAAGGTCAAGGCTGCAGCCAGCCAGCGAGCTGAACCTTGCGCTTGCCATGGTTCGGAGTTCGAAAGTAAACGGTGTTTCTATGGTTTTACTTAGAAATCGTATGAATTGTGGCAGGCTTGTTGTGGCATGGTTCATCTCCCGAATGACCTCGTCGCCTGTTCCGATTGAGATGTTGTGTGAATAAGGTACCTCGGATATATACATATATATATATATATCTAATGTATATCTGGATGTGGTAGTTTGAGGGCCTCGTGATTGTAGGCCATCAGCCCTTGACAACTTGAAGGAGCCGGCAACAGTTGTCGCTGCATTTGCAACATCTGAATGTTTGAAGGCTTATGTGTTATTCTGTTGGAGCAGGCTCCTGCAGTTCCTTGGTCTCCGACAATCACTGTGAAACGTTGCCGCACGTGTATGATCTCTACACAAACATATTCATATTTATTTAAAGGCATAGACCCCTTCAAGCAAACTTGAGATGGACACCGACTCGCATATGCCATTCATTTGGTCAGCACAGTTGCCAGCATGAGCGAAACGGTAAGGCAGTGTATCGGAAGGTTGCACGAAAACGGCCTTGTGCACGCAAGGACCTGAGCAAGCCAGAAGGCCTGAAGCGTCTGTCCCAGGTGTGGGCGCAGTTCTCAGCAGAGGACGGATCTGAGGGTTTCTTCTCTGCCTGGTGTGCCTGCGTTACATTGCAGGTATTTTCTTAGCTTGACGACGGAACTTGTTTAAGAGTGAGGGTTGGGGTGGCCGTGTTGCAAAGGGGAGGTCGTAGCCCTCAACCATCCCTGCCAGTTGCTGATTTTTCTCTTTTTTTTGCGATTTGTGTGGTGTGAGATGGTGAGGCCCAAGTCTCTTCGACTTGGGAAAGTTATTTCGGAGACCCTAAACGGGGTTTAGGAAGTCATGTGCGCGTCGCATCCTAGAACCAGTTTGTTACAGCCCATTTAGGGTCACCAAACTTGTTCGAGCAAGGATGTTCGCCTATTCCGCGAGGACCTTTCCCTGCTCTTCCCCACGGCAGCTCGCCGGCTTGGGCCGCTTGGCCAGGGCTGGCAGATGGGGAGGTTTGCAACAGCACCCCGCGGAACAAAGACCGAGGGTGGAAACGAGAACAACAGTTTGTATCACTGCGGTTTATTTTGCGCGTGCATGCGAAGCCTTGCAGCCCTTGCATCGCTATTGCAATGACAGATGCGGAAGTGCTAGAGACGTTTAGCCGCTTTGACAAAGATAAAAGTGGCTCCATCACAAGGGAGGAACTAAGGGCACCGCGGGAGGGCCGATTTCTCCGCCGCCAGGTTCCTCCTGTGCTTTCACCCCAAATCAATCCAAATTTCAGACCCTTTGCCCTGTAGGAGGCTCCCAGTACCAAGCTTGCTGGAAAACTCAGCGGGCACCTCATGACAGGGGACACCCCTTGGAAAGTCATCACCAAGCAAGGGGACAATGCATGCTGGGTGAAGGAGCTGCAGATGAACTGCACCTTGCTTCTAGCTACCAAAGAAGTGCCAGCTGCCGAAGTCGCCCAAGTCTCCAAACAAGTGGCCGAGAAGGAGTACGTTGAAAGCTGGCAAGCATTTGAGAAGCAGGAGAAGAGCTTTGGCGGAAGGCCGGTCCACTTTGGTGAGTGGTCCAAATGCTACATCTTCTACCACGAGCATCAAATTTGCCGGGAACTTTGCCAAGAGGTAGCTTTGGGCGCCCGAAGTTTTTTGTGGTGCGACCGCACTATAAGCAGTTCCTCCGAGAAAGCTGTGTGGAAGCGCCGGGGTCAGTTTGTCAAGGTCACAGCGGTACAGTTTGATGAAAAGTTGAGGAAGGTGCCGGAAGGCTGGAAAGATCCAGAGTTTCCGCATGATATGTCATCAATCGGGATGAGAAACATTCGCGAGTGCGAATGGATCCGGGCCGTAGGCTTCGGCACTGAAGGCATAGAGCATGTGCCTTCGGAGATCCGGAGCCAGCTGATATCTGCCGGGGGAATCTTGGAGATTGCTGGCTGGTGGCTGCAATCCCTTGACTGGCCGAGTTTCCTTCTTACTTCGAAGAGCATGTCTTCCAAACAAAGGAGCTAGCTCAAGATGGTAGGTACAGGCTTCGTCCTTTCGACTGCCAGACTGATGAGTGGAAAATCATCGAAATCGAGGACTATATCCCCTGCCACCCTCACCGGCAATCTGCAGGGCGAAACATGACTTTGTTCGGCGGATGCGCCCCTGGGCTCTCTGGGGTCTGGTTCCCTGGCACTCCTACTCATTCCTGCATGCGGTGGAGGTTGGGGATTCCGACTGGTTTGCCTGCGAAACCCGCACGGCTACTGCGAGCCAAATGTACCCTGGCGTGAACAAGGCCAGGAGTGGGCTGCCAACCCATTTGTTACCAAAGCCTTGAATGCAAAGTTTGGCAAAGATGGTGCATTCTGGATGGACTGGGATGACCTCTACCGTCTCTTCCCTTCTATCAACAGCTCCACAGTTTCAATCTCCCAGAATGACTTCCAAGAAGTCACTTTGGAGAGCCGACGGCTGCCTGCGAGAAGAAAAAAGCCCCGTTTGCCTCACGTGTTGAGTGTCTGGGCCCGGGGGCAAAAGCTGGAGGTAGCAGACGTGATGCTAGAAAGTTGGAAGGAGGAAAGCAACAACAACAATCAGCTGGAGAGTTGGAAGGAGACATATGATATGATATATGCACTATTAAATCAGGTAGGCCATTTTTGCGGTCTCATCGTTCAGTTTCTGATCCGCAAGCCTTGAAGCTTGAGGTCAGCAGATTTCAGCATCGCGGCGCTGGTGAAGCCGTTGACCTCCTCCTTGGCAAGTCCAATGGCGCGCATCAGCAGCATCTTTCTCCTGCAGCCGCCTGCCTTTGGATTAATCAGCCCCCCGGTTGACCTCTACAGGTGTGTCTTTTGTGGGACCCCCCGCTCAATTGGTTTGGCAGCTTGATTGCTCTTGGTCAAAATTCTGGGGCGTAGGTCCATGAACTGTTTTTTTGGTGCAGCACGCTCCTCCGTTGTTGCCTGGCGCATCTCTTTGCCCACAATGGAACATGGGATTGGGGGAGGTTCACCACTGAGATGGCCAGTTCTTTTTTTGTGGGAGAACTAGATAATTGCGGCTGGGCAACTTCAATCACACCTCCCCCTATCATAGGGGTCATCTATTTGGACACGTTGCGTTGCAAGATAGAGGCCGGTGGCAACGGGCTCAGGCTGCAGAATATTGGAAGAAGCACGGGGTTTCATCCAATGGAGGACTGGTGCTGTGTGTTGCCTTCATTTTGAAAGACCCCCAAAAAGTTTGATGTTCCCCTCTTGCAGCTGGATGCGTGTCAGATGTGGGGTCGTTCCAAATAAGAGAGCTCCTGAATTGTGCCTTGTGAAGTGACCCTGGGAGGAGCAGCAGCTTTGCTCCTGGCAGATGCCGTCTGCTTGCACCAATCTGGGCCTCAGCTTCTTTAGCCTCGTCCCTGGGCTGCAGCCAGCACCAGAAACATGCCCAGGGCGAGCAGACTGCAGACCGAAATGCAGTATGACGAAACGAGCAAAGGGCACCGAGAGTTGCCGTGATAGCTCAACCAGCTTGCTAGGGGCAAGCTTGAAGCACAGGAGACCCGGGCCCGAACAAGCAGCAGTAGCGTGTAGTTGCTTGTTTTGCTATTCTGTTCATTTAAGCATTTTTTGATTTCTCGAAACCAAGCAAAGGTGGACTCGCACGGTTGCGTAGCTTGTTGATGCGTACCTTTTTTTGCTGACCTCTTCGTGAAACAAAACTGTCCCGACTCTTTGGATGATTACAATCGCCTCTCGCACTCAAGTCTTCAATTGTTATGCGGCGTGGTCCTGTCAATGTCCAGAAAGCGGGAGGCACTTCGCTTTGTATCAGCTCATGCATCAATTTGTGTGACCTGAACTGGACACTGCGAGCATCAACAATTATTCTTATGTGAATGTCACATACTGTAGATTGCGATGCTTTGTGAAAGCCATGCCACAAGCTCTTGGCAGGGGTGTTGACGGGATGATTCCAAGGGGAATCGTTCAGTTGGTACATGTTGGTCAGGTGCTGCTGCAGCTTCTGATCATTGGCGGCGTCTTGTCGCTGGGGATGAAGCGCTTTGCCTAGAGACCTGTGTTAGGGGCGCTCTGGCGAGCTGCGATTTGGGCAGCAGTTCGCAAACTGTATGTGTGTATGTGTGAGGATGGGGCACTTTCTTAGTCTATCGTAGATTGCTGGGGCACAGTTGTTGGGGTCAGTTGGCCGACTGGCCATCCCAATGACTTCACAAGTCATGAAGCAAGATTGGCCGCAGCCTCTCCACTTGGGACTTCGACAATTGGTCAAGTCTGGTGGCCTTTGTTGTGCTGGGCCGGCAATGGTCATGCAGAAGTTAGGGGGGTTGCCCCTACGATGAACCAGCGGCGCTCTGAAGGAGCCAGCTGGCTGTGGTCGGTAGGTCTGACTGCGTTTGTGGGTCAGAACTTTCCTAGCTGCAGTGAGCACAAGGGTTCGTATTAGGTTGCAGTCGGACCAGCCGGAATTCTACTTCAATTCTATCGGAGAAGCGTATGTTGTCGCAAATGGTAGCTTGTGATGTTCTCTTGGCTGGTAGCAGTTAGCATTGCTTGGCTTCGCCATCATAAAGCGTGCGACAGATTAGCTCCGTGGGATCTTGCTCTAGGGAGGAAGTATCACAGCAGGAGCGCAAAAGAGTCGAAGGCTGCTTTGTCCTGCACTTCTTCTAGCTGAGGTCTTTTTTCAGGGTAGCTTTAGGAGAGGAGACGCCATCTGAATCCACGCCGCATCTAACAAATTTGCTGACATGCCGCTTGCCAGCAGGTTCGTCACAGAGACTTTTCAGAAATCGAATCGAACTGCACGAAGACAGCAATATACGTGTCTTTGTGTCTGTGTGTCTGTGTGTCTGTGTGTCTGTGTGTCTGTGTGTCTGTGTGTCTGTGTGTCTGTGTGTCTGTGTGTCTGTGTGCGTTTGTTTGTTTGTTTGTTTGTTTGTTTGTTTGTTTGTTTGTGTGTGTGTGTGTTTGTTTGTTTATTTGTTTGTTTGTTTGTTTGTTTGTTTGTTTGTTTGTTTGTTTGTGTGTTTGTTTGTGTTTGTGTTTGTGTGTGTGTTGTTTGTGTGTGTGTCTCTGTGTCTGTGTGTCTGTGTGTCTGTGTGTCTGTGTGTCTGTGTGTCTGTGTGTCTGTGTGTCTGTGTGTCTGTGTGTTTGTGTACCTGTGTGTCTGTCTGTCTTTGTGCCTGTGTGCCTGTGTGCCTGTGTGCCTGTGTGCCTGTGTGCCTGTGTGCCTGTGTGCCTGTGTGCCTGTGTGCCTGTGTGCCTGTGTGTGTGCCTGTGTGTCTGTGTGTGTCTGTGTGTCTGTGTGTCTGTGTGTCTGTGCGCCTGTGTGCCTGTGTGCCTGTGTGTCTGTGTGCCTGTGTGCCTGTGTGTCTGTGTGTCTGTGTGGGTGTCTGTGTGTGTGTGTGTCTGTGGGGGTTGTCAAAACTAGGTAATTAGGGGCACTTTTCGGAATCCGCTTTGAACGCCACAAGACGGCACCACAATCCAAAAACGGCCATGTATGTTTGACCCGCCCCTTTTGTTTCACCACCTAGTAACTTGCGCGACTGAGTTTGATTCGTTCGTGCCTCCCTGTCTGAGGCGGAAAGAGGCCAGTGCAGCATGTGTGAAGCGTGCGTGAGCCTTTGTAATGCGAGTCTGCCACACAACCAGCCGCTTTGAGGGGTTCCCCCCAACTTGTGAGATTAGCTCATGTAACCAATGTGTGAATAAACTCAAATCTGGGCACCATAGCTAAATATGCTGGATGCCCCATTGTAGAGTCAGATGCAAAGGGTGCGGTCTTAATTTGACAAATGAGGCAACTTGCATGAATCAGTCAGGGGGCAGCGCTGCACTCCATGACATCAGTGTGCACTTTTGGCACTTGTGTGAACTGGAACCAGGATCTGGGTCACAAGATGTCGCTGGACATGTGGGGTGGTTAAGGCAGTGACAACGAGCATCAAACATTTGCATTCCTACTTCAGGTTTTTGCATTGCCCCACATCAGCACCATGATTTGCAGTATCGCAAAGGTTGGGTCCCATTTTGCCAGGCCGTGGCGTTCCTTTTCCAGCCCGTCTCTCGGAAGTGACACTTGCAGAGCATGCAGAACCATGAGCACTTCTTTGGATGGGCGGGGGGGCGGGGGCGGCAAAATGTCGCAGCCGCTTGCCCAAAGCAACGCAATTTCCTGTTGTTTTTCCCATAGAGAGTCCAGCCCAAGCTAAGAAACCAACTAAGATGACATGTCTGTGTTCTTTGGGCAAGTCCCTTCCCTTGCTTCGGGTCCAGAGAGTGCTCAGGCACCGCGCGCCGCGCCCAACTTTGGCTTGGACGGGGGCATGACTTGTGTCTCGGAACACGGGTGATACAGAAGCCTCGCTTGAAAGGAAACCAAACCGGCGCCGACAGGAGATTGGTGCAGAGGTGCCGCTCTTCAAGCAACAGGTCCAAGAGATGCTGCAAGAGGTTTTGCCACCCTCTTGGCACCCCCAGCTCTCACACCCTGGTGACTTTGCATCGCACGGCCCGCAGCATTCCAATCACTGGCAGCCAGTGTCACAGCAGACGCAGCAGGTCCACCAGATGCCCCATCAGCATGTTCCAGATACGCTGCCGATGCCTCACCAGCAGGTGCCAGATATGATGCCCCGCCACCAGATGCATGTTCCAGATACGCTGCCTCAGCACCAGATGCCTCACCAGCAGGTGCCAGATCTGATGCCCCGCCACCAGATGCATGTTCCAGATACGCTGCCCCAGCACCAGATGCCTCATCAGCATTTTCCGGATGTATTGCCTCACCAGCAGGCGCCGCACCAGCATGTCCCGGACACTGTGCCCCGCCAGATGCACCATCAGCATATTCAGGATATGCTGCCTCACCAGATGCAGCACCAACACATGCCAGACCTACCGCAGGTAGGGCACCCGCAAATGGGCTTGAATCAGCACCAGCTGCCACATCAGGTGCCACAGGCCCTGCAAGGTCAGCAATTGCAAGCGCTGCCCAGCCAGTCGGTTTCGCAAGGGCTTCCTGTCCAGCCACAGGCTCCCAGCCAAACAATCTCACAAGCGCTGCCGAGTCAAATGTCGCAAGCGCTCCCAAGCCAGATGCAAACCCTAGGGTATGGCCAGCCAAGCGTGGGGCAACCGATCGCCCAGCCGAGCATGATGCCGACACCATCCGGGTGGCGGGCTTGGACAAGCAAGTGCATGCATTGGTGGGTCAGTGCTTGCTTGAATTTACAATATTCTGCTCTGCTGTCTCTTGTGCCAACGGAGGGGGGGGGGTTGTGATCCTCGTCTGTTGACAGCTGGCAGGTCATACGAGTCATACAGGGTGTTTCTAAAAGCAGGGGCCTCTGTTTGGACGGTATTTCAGAGGGAGTGAACATGAGAATGTTCAGGGATCCCCCTTGTTTGGAAGCACCCATGTTTTCAGACTCAGGCCGGCCCTGACGAGTTCGGGCACGGGAAGTGCGCTGGGATGGGAGCACTAAAGAAGATGGGGTGTGGGTGGTTGGGGGTGCTCTTTTTTTGTATGTGCTTTTCGCTTGGTGTGCGTACGTGCCACTGAGCCTGCTTCTGTAGCCACTGATCCGCATAGTCAGGCACGTGTTTGGGATTCTGCTGCTTTGATGAGACACGCTACAGCTGAACGGTTTCAGCAATCAGTACTGTTGTAGCTGCATCCTACTTATTGTGTACGAGAACTAGCTTTTTCGTAGCCAGCTCACGCACGGGTTCTGTTCGCAGGAAACCAACTTCCTTGTCCAAGGGTCAATATGGACACAACCTGTTTGCATTTGTTTAACCTGTTGCTGGAACCCCGCACGTCTTAGTCTTGGGTCCACGTTTGGGATCAGCTTACATTTTTGTCCTTGACTGAAATAAAGATATGAAAATTGCTTTGTTATCTTTGTCCGGGGCTGGTGGTGGGCGTTTTTTTGTGAGACTCCAAGCATTTGTCTCGGCTTTAGCAAAGTTGTGCGAGGGTCTTAGCCAAATGAATCGACAACAGGCTGCATGTGATATGTCAAGTTTCGAATGACAGTCTGAGAAGCTGTCTTCCGTCCCTTTGCCTGTTCTACGTTTGTCGCCAGAAAGGGGAACCCAACACTGGACGGTTTTCCTTTGAAGCCCCTTCGAAAGCACCCCAAAAAGGGTAGTATCACGGTATCCCCCCAAAAAAGGCACACCCATATTATATATGTATATATATATATATTTCTATCTTTCTCTTGAAGGGATGAGACACGGAGATGACAAGGGCCCCTTCCAGCTGCTGCTTGCCATGCCGCCATGTGGCAGCTTCTGGTGCTGGGCACCTGCGCCTACGCGTCGGAGCAGGCGGAGGTCTTCGGCTGGACGGGGGGCGGCATCGATCGACTCCGCTTCTTCAAGGAGCGACGGGCGCCGACGGCCAAGACCTTCTTTTGTCTTTCCGCCGGCGACTCTTTGGAGACCGAGCAAAAGAAAATACGTAGATGCTTGAGCATTCGGCCTTCAGATTTTGACAGGTGGATGGAACAGATCAGCCTTCACAGATCCGCATGATGAGAGGAGTTCTCAGTTCTTGTGAAGGTGCGGCGGGTGTTTTGACTTTCTCAGACTGCCGCTTTCCACCTGTGCACGCCATAATTTTTGTTCAGGTTAGCATGGCGATTCGAGGTGCGTCAAGCGCTGCAGCTCCCAGGGGTGATGCAGCTGTTCTAGCAGAGCATAGCTGCGCTAGAGCCGGGATGCATGTATAAGTCTGCTGATCACCAAAGGCAACACAAATGCTTAGAATAAGACCGATATGGTTTACATGGAGGGTTTGGTTTGTTTTTCGGGGTTTCCAACCAAAAGTGAGGCGCTGAAGGGGGGGCATTTCGCCATTTTGCCAGGAGCGGCTGGGCTTTGAAGCCAACAGCATCGTGGACGTGGGTGCGCACGTTGGCAATTGGACCCGGGAGGCCCGGCAAGAGTCTTGGCGGAAGTTTCAATGTTGGCTGTGTCTCAAAATGAGCCGCAGTCAAAACTCGGGCAGAAGTAAAGGTTGAATAACCCAGCCAGAACTAGGTGCGGCTGCCCTCTAATTCTGTTACATGGTTTTGGGGCAGACCACCTTAGTATTGAGTTTTGATTGTGACTCAAACAGGGGAGCCGCAACTTGCTTTTGTGTCCCTTTGACAGCAACCTCGGGAGTTCGGGATTCCAATTGCCTTTCCAAGCAGCCTGTGGTGGGAATGACCTTACTGAGGTCTTCCCTTCAGCACGCTTCTTGATGATTGAGGCGAATGCTCTCCATCGCCCAGAGCTTCAGCGGGTGGGCGCCTGGCCGGGAAGTGCACAGGTCAGTTCACGTGTTCAAAGGGCTGGAGCCAGACGAAGGGCTCCTCTTTTGGTCAGCTGGCTGGAGCCAGACGAACTCCGCCGGGTTCAGTGTGGTTCTACTCACGTACTGCCGGTTCTTCCAAAGGGCACCTAGCCACCTTGAGCCAACGGGTCCAGCAGTTGAAATCCCCGAGGTGTGCCCTTCGAGATCGCCCTTCTGACGGCTCAGGGTAACCAGTCGCTGCGCTTTCACAGTACTAGGCGGGCCGCACAGTTGATCGTTGACAGGGGCTGGTCTAGGAACTATGGAGCCCCACCTTGGCACCCCGGTTTTACCTACGGGTGAAAGAGCATGATCTAAGTGATGTTGGGCAGTCCGATTTCCTGATTCCAACTTGGGATTTGTCTCTACATAAATAGGTGACGTGTTTCCTTGGTGTCACTTTGTGCCGCCTTTGAAAAGGACCCCCGACAATCGACAATGATCACTGCATCGTTGAGCACATCGTGGTCGGCCAGTTTACCCCTTTCTGGTGGCTTTTCCATGTCACGTGGCCTGCGACGGAGTTAGAACGGGAAGCCACACGTTCTGCGATCCTCTCAGCGGTATCAGGAGTCTATCTCACAATAGCAGACTTCTTTTTTGGGCTGGCTTTGATGAAAGCTTAAAATGAAGCCAGCAGAATATTCTAATTTTGAGATGCCCCCATGCGCGCAGCTAGTCAGGTATCCTCTTACCACTGGCGCCTCCATCTTTCGCGAGCGGAGCGATCTGCGTCTGGACAGCACTACGCCTTGAACTAAACCAGCCCACGGCAAGCAGCAACCCCCCCTTACTTTTCAGCTATCACCATAGTGGGTGACCAAGTGATATCGCGTGCCGCTTTGGTATACGACCTCAGGGTCGTTGACATATAATTGAATTTCGCCAGGGGTCACTTAGATTCCATGAACTGATCACAGGAGAATATGGTTGAGCATGCTGAAGTATCTTATCAGAACTAGGAACATCCTTGGTGCATGCAGTGGGGGAGATACATGCTAAAGATTCAAAGAGTTAAGGGAGCTCATGCTGGATTGTTTGTCTACTCCATGCTGATGTTGTCAAGACCTGCAGTACTTGCATCGTTTGACAGAGACAGATCTGCAGATGCACCCCTTGGTCCTTGGTTGGCAGGTACATGGACCCGCGCCTGTCCGAGACTTTGCTGATACGGAGCCGCACGCTTGATGACGTTGTGAAGCCTTGCGACTTGGAGGAAGTCCCGTGACCTGGTTTGTGAGTGCTGTGAGAATAGCGCATTTGATGCAGGTGCTTGAGTTGTGATGTGCTCACGCAGGGTTTCTCTCACTGTCACTAGCATTTGTGCTTGGCCTCAGTTCATGGGAAAGGAAGTTCTGACGCTGGGAACCAATGCGCAATTCAAATAATTTGACACGTTCTTTGTGTGTGTTTGTGTGTCTGAACGCGCGTAGGTTCGAACTTGCCGAGGCCAATCGGAAGCTGGTGTGACTGAGCAACAGTTCTGATAGGGGATGCATTCAAACAGGCCAAAAATAGTTTGCATTGTTTGTGAGTTCATATTTGTCACAGTACTCAGTTGACATGCCGATCTATGCGAGGCATGTTCGCACGTTGCTAGTGTTTTGTTTCTTTAGACTTTCTTGGTGCTTTGTACTTGTCGCAAACCCTTCCTGAGCATGCCATTGTAGCATATTGGAAGCCAAAGGCGTCGCAAAGAGTTGGGGGCTGCTTCGAAACGAGAATTACTAGGCAATTGCATCAAGTCGTCCAGGCTTTGTGCGAAGTCCGCGCGACTTGTTGAGCTATGTTGTCATGGGTAACCTACTCGAATTGATTAAAAGTTCCTGCTCTTGGGTAAGGTCGCCCTGTTTGAAGGCCAAGGACATTGCGGCAGCCGCGTCACCCATGGATGAAAAATGGGTTTCTAAGCTTGGGAATCATACAGTTGGTCTAACTACAAAGTTGCATTCCTTCCGAGAACCATTCAAATACACGACTGCCAAAAAGTCAGGCGACAGGCATTTTGCTGCATTGGACAGCTGAGATTTCCCGGCATGCTGCGACCTCATCAAGGCGTGGACTGTGAGTGTATGAGCCTCATCCCTGCATCCCCAGGTCCGCCTTTATTGGCCCGCATCAGTTCTTGGTATCAATGGCTGAATGTATGAACCCACACCTCTCAATATTTCTTTCATCACCTTATTGAGAATTGTTGGTCAATTCAACAAGTTGTCGCCTGAATGCTGAACTCAGCCAATAAAGAGAGAGCAGGTGTTGGGACAACTATGGCAGCTTGTCCAAGAAACACTGATCCCTTGGCTTGGTGATTTTACTGGAGCGCCTGGGTTGGCAGGTGTCCATGAGGTTCACAAGCGGGCAGAAGGCCGCCAGCCCCAGTTAAGCCAGTGTGCAAATACCGAAGCAAACAAAATTGGGAATCCTTGAAGGGCCGCCATTGAACTCACAGCCGCTCAACTTTTTTTACTTTGGTCCAATCAGTAAGTTGTGATTGGAAGGTATGCCATTGGGAAAACAACCCTGATCACATGAGCTTTTGACGCAGCCAGAATTTCGGCCTAGTTGATGGCGAGTTCACCGCGGGCAAGCCAAGCTCACTTTGATGTAGGTCCTTTGGGGTGGGAACTATGTAACAAATTGCAGATCAATCTCGAGGCTTGTGCCGTGACGTTTTTTTTCTTCTTTTTTTTTAAACCTGGTTCCGTTACACGTCGTCTAGACGCATGCTTTGCCGCTTGTTTAGACTTGCCATTTCGACTTTCCTGGTTTGTCCAGGCTGGACTGGTTTCCCTACATTGTGTGTGGACGCATGCTTTTTCGTCCGCTTGGAACTGGCAATTTCGACGAGGGGGGAGTGGGGGGGGGGTGCAGCGGCTACCCACTTGTCCAAAGCAGGCTGGTGAAAAGGCAGTGTGGCAAAGAAGGTGCCAGCTTTCGGTTCGCCTGCTCTCAAGTTACCAAGGAGGGCCTTGCCAGCACCACACCTGGAACATTTATTGGGGTGGCTGTTTCTGAAAGAAAGTCATGCATGATTTAAGTGTTTGGGGCCGCATGTCCACCAAAGGATCCAACCACATCAAATCCCCCTGCAACATGTCTGAGAAACTGGCAAAATAACTGGTCGTTTGGGGGAGGCCCTTCAAACTTCAAATCCGAGCCCACTTGCTTGTCCCGGATCTTTTGGGGGAACCCAAAAGGTTTACACAAGGGTGAAGCTAGATGTCCCAATCCAATGTGTGTGGGCAAGCCAAAAGGTCCACTAAGCCTTACCCCTAGTTGGTTTAATTTGGTTTGGATTCCCTCAGGCTTCTAAAGGGGTCCGTTCGGGAGCTTCCGTGGAATCGCCTGGAGGGGTGGCTTCCCCATTTGGTTTCCATAGGTTTCAAATCCCACAGGCGGACGTGCAGGGCGCAGAGCTGGAGCTGCTGCTGGGGGGCCTGCGAAGCCTGCAAAGGGCGCAGCTGGTGCTGCTCGAGGCGTGCCCTTTTTGGGGCTTGCAGACATTCCCTTGGCCCCCCCCTCCCCCCGCAAAAGACAGTGGCGGTGAAATGGGACTCCTCGAATTTCTTTTTGGGGAGGGTGATTCAAATAGGACCTTCTGGGAACATGATTGGAATGGGCTTCCCTGGTGATGAAGGTGCACTCTTTTGCGCTTTGGATGGCTCCACGTGTGCTGGTTCCTTCGTTTTGTTTACATGTTTGTTGGCAGGCCCTAAGGCTGCCACCTTCGCAGTGCGGACCCCTCAAAGGCAGTCAATTCAATGGGCCAAATGACAATATAACATGTTGCCGCATCGTCAAGGATGGCAAGGTCAAGAGAAGCAAGGTTTTGGAGCGCCCTTGCCCCTCAGGAATCCGGCCCTTTGTCGTTTTCTCCAGTCCTGCCCCGTTTGCGTCCTCTGTCTTGGTTTGCGACATTGGAGACGGCCATGATTCATCAGTTTGTTTTTGTATTCAACGGGATGGCCTTGAACAGTGATGCCCTTTAGGAGCTTGCCATGCTGTTTGGAACAAGCTATTCTAGATTGGAATGCTGGTTGTTAGAGGTCAGGATTCTGGAATTGCAATCCTTGGGACTGACTTTCGCACAAGCATTGGGTTCTGTGATGTGAGAGATTGTGTTTGGAATTGTTGGAGGCCAGACCGGTGCATTTTGAATTGGGGATGTTGGTAGGTGCCAAAAATGAATCAGGGGGTCAGTTTGCCAAGCCATGTTGGCGCCTTCTATTTCTGGCACTGGCAGGCAAAACCAGTCCGTCTTAGAACAAGTTTGTCAGTCGGGGGTTGCCCAATTTGCTGTTGACCGCTCCTTGTAAGCACGCGTGCTTGCTTTTGGTGCCCTTTCCGCGGTCGATGAGGGGATCGGCCTCCGTTGATTAGTTTTCCCAGTTGTTTGCATCCCCTCAATGACAAATAGACTGGGAGATATTCGGTGGATTGCCTTGATCATCGCAAGTAAACCAACCACACTCCATGCTAATTTGCAGGGTTTCCTTGTTCCCTTCCGCATTATTTTGGGGAAATCAGCGGCATCCTGGTTTTCGGGTGTTTCGTAGGGTGTCGAGAGGCCCTGCCTGCGATGTGCGCCGCAGGATCTCGGGGACTAGTATTGGCCATGGGATTCATGAGCAGTTCACATTTGCTTATATGGGGATTGGATTTAAAAGGCTTTCAGGGCGTAGCAAGATGGATGCAAAGTATGGAATGTAATTGCGTGCGGCGGGGGCTACTCTGGCAGCAAGTTGTTTTCAGTTGTTCCCTCATTGGGATAGGCACTTGCTGTTGGATGGTTTGAGCTTTTGGGTGAGCTTGCTGACTGTCAAATGCTCTGAAGGCGCCAGTGCTCCCGTACAACGAGGGTGCTCCTCGCTTCTCTGCAGTTCAGCTGCGATTGAAGGGCCCATTGCGGCCGGGGTGAAATGCACAAGAGCAAGTCAACGATTCGTCCCGCTGTAAAATATTTGAATGCCCAAGCAAGTCATTGCAACCTGTACATGGGGCACACAGGGAGTACACTGGGGGTTTAATTGCAGAAGGGTAGCAGGGGTATTTTGTTTATACACATACACATAGATATATACAAATGTGTGTTCGCATAATGGTATACCTGTAGGGCACATGAACAAGCCTCGGAACAGCGCGGAATTGTTGGTGTTAGTCCTCGCCAGGTCATTGACTTTGGATAGTATTTGCAGTTTTTTTTGGCGAGGCAAAGCGAGCTCACCATAGTCTGGGCCCTTCAATTTGGGATCCCTTGCTTCATGTGCTGGGGAATTATCATTCGACATGCTGCCATATGGGGCAAGGATGCCCGGAGTTTGCATGCTTGCCCCTGGCTTGCGTAGCATGTTTGATCCCAGCTTTAAACAATCTGTGAGCATGTTTGATGGGCAGGGAAATTGCGAACACTGAAATGCCATTTTCGGAAGACTAGGTCTCGGAGCCTGTGCGCTCGAGGACTTGATCGCGTTCATGGCCTCCAAGGGTTTTGAGGTGGTGGACGTGGCAGACGCCACCTATGCGGAGGGCGTCAGGCGAGGGATGCGGAGTTTGCCGCACAGATTCATGCAGCCTTACAATGCGAGAAACATGAGCATTCATGATGAGCAACTCGTCCTTCAAACAAGAAGCGCTTTATCAACAACCTGAAGTTTTTGTTGGCACTTCAAGTGTGCAAATGACTTGGCAAAGGATTGATTAACTGTGCATGCCCCTGAACTTGCGCTCAGCCGCGTGCTGCACCTGGATTTGCTCTTTGCACCGCGGCACTCCCGCTTGCTGCGGCTGCCGGCGACTTAGCCTCTTGATGCCGTCAGTAGGGCTGCTGGAGTTCGCCTATCAACTGAGGTTTGTTAGAGCGCCTCCCGCCAAGCGCAGGTTCCTTGGGGATGATTGTAACCCAAACCTTAGCCTTTTGTCTCTTGTTTGTTTTTGCTGCATGTTCCATATTCGTGTGGTGGGGGGGTGTTGCAGATCTTAGTCGCATAACTGTTTGGCTCTCACCAGGTTTACCGCGGCCCATCCCCACCCTTGTCACACAAGCAGAGTGCTCCTGTCAGCCTTAGATTCTTAGACGCTGTTCGGCGTTGATCTTTCAGGAGCAACGTGGCAACCCATAAAAAAAAAAAAAAAAAAAACAAGGTGCATGCATGTATATAAACACGTGTGCGTGCATGTGTTTTGATAATATGTATTTACATTAGCATCAGCCCAGGAGTATACAATCGGGGAAGGGGTTCTTCCTAACATGAAGGATCCTGACACACCCTTTTATACGACCGGCCAATTGTCTATTCTTTGACCATTTAAGACCGCTGCGGCCTCGCCGTGCGGAGGTACTTGAGACAAGCCGGCAGAGCGACTGCGTCGCTGTGCTGAGGCCTTTGCCCGGAGGCATCCGCCCTGCCTGACGCTGCCAAAAACGTGTCGGGCGATGGCCTCGTGCGAGAGGGGGATTCTCAAAATTGGAGAGGCGGGTGGCTTCCTCTGGGGTTTGCTTTCAAAATCAGTTGGATCCCGTGGCAATTTCGCGCGGCTGGTTGCTGCAATATTGCCAGGCATTTGCTCAAGGTGAACATATACTACGTGATATGACAGTGAGCATCATTGCATTGCGGGTTAGGTGTGGGTTCAAATGTCGCCCATATAGAACGCATTTATTTATCTACACGTTGCTCGCGAAGGGTAGCACAGTCAGCCAAGTTTTTTTTTGAACCATGGCAGGTTTCATGAACACCCCCAAGCAGAAGCTGAAGCCCACTTCACAAAGGACCCGTCCTTCTGGGCTTCTGTGTCAAGGAACCTTTCTCATGAGAAGCACCACTTTTGTCAGGAGTCCAATTCAGGTGGCAAACAAGGCCACCCTGTGAGGAGCCAGCTTTGAGTCAACCCTAACATTCGGACCGAGCCTGGCCGCGAAGCAGCCGCTTTGCCATGCAGCTGCTGAGCAAAGCCGTGCTGCTGGGAGCGCTTTGCCTGGCCATTATTGTCGAGCTCGGTTGGTAATTGTGGCGATGGGCTTGTTGGTCGGTGGTTTGCTGGCTTGGTGCCTTGGTGCGTTGGTGGTCGGGTGGTTTGCTGTTTGTTGTGTGGTGTTGTGTAATGTGGGTTCGCCATGCGATGTTTTGGATACAGTCGTGGTTTCGGAGAGTGCAGCCAACATCCCAATTTAACACATGTTACACCCGGCTATCGTTTCCCCAAATGCGTGCTGGCTGTGTTGCTAGATGAGTTGAAAGTTGAAAGGATTAAACATTTGTCTAGATAGCCTGTCACATTTACAACTGTGACAATCCGCATGTTGACTGCTATCCCGCGTGACTCTCGCAAGGTCTGCCATGGAAAGGTATACTTTTCTGAGACCTTCGATGATGCTTGGGAGCAACGCTGGGTCTTGAGCAAGTGGAAGGAGACCGAGAAGGACAGGAAGTGGAGCGGTGGCTTGTTTCTAGTGATGTTTGTTGCCTTCGGTGTGTCCTGGAAGCCGTGGGAGGCAATAATTTTACACTTCTTGGTTGCACTGTCCACCGTACCTTTAGAGGTCGCTGTACATCGTGATGACGTCATAATTTGTGTGGGTCATTGGCGCGTTTTGAAAGGTTGCCTGGTGACGAGAAACAATCGGAGCACGCTTGTAAAGCTACAGAAACAGTGGCCCTTGCACTGGCCCATGATCAAAGAACAAATGTGTTTGTCAGCCAAGCTTCTTTGCACGGGAACTGGAGGTGCAAGCCAATGCTGAGAGCATATTTTGAGGCAGTCTTGAGAAGAGAACCTGGACAACTGTGCAGATTATTTTGTTGTTTGGCGGCACAAGCTCAGTATGTGGACACAGGGCAGCAGTGTGGGAATAAGAGATGGTTCCCACTTTTTCTGATACGAGGGACTTCTCGCGCCTTCCGAATTTCTCACCACCCTGAAATAGGGCAGAAACAAGTGCTTGGGCCACAAAGCGATTCCTGTGTTGGATCGACCTGAACACCTCAGTTGCTAATTTGACTTTGCTCGCTTTGTTGGACTCCAATTCCCAACAACAACAACAACAACAACCACTAGCTGCCATGGTAGATTGCAACTGGCATCCAAATTCAAAGTTGGTCGCACTGGGCTTGAGCCCGACACTATGTTTACGCATGCCCTTTGAAAGGGAGTATTCCCCCTTGGCGTGGTGGTTTTGCAGACCACCTTTGGGGCTCATGTTCAGTGAGTGTCCCTTTGCGGGGCGGTGTTCAACTTGGCAGGAAAAGATGGGCAAATGGCAGCTGTCAGCAGGTCGGTGGCATCGGGATCCAGCGAAGGATGCTGGAAGCTGGGCTTTGAAGGATTTCGAAGTACGCTGCAGCGTAAGAAGGGACAAACCAGGGATCTGATCCAAAAATAAGTTTCCTCGAACGACGGCTGTTGGCCACCCAAAGCCCGGCCACTCTCCTTCCCAAGCGGGCCACTGCCACGAGTCATGTGGGAGGGCCCAACCAGCAAATTAATCATAGGCATCACCCCAGGCCAGGTTGCAAAGCGGAGAGGACCACAACAATGTCACAGGCATGGAGTTGCTGAAGGCTTTTGGAGTCTGGAGAGTCATGGGTGATGTAACTTCCGAACACCTTTGTTGCAATGCGCCTGTTTCGCAACCAGCTGCCCCAGGCTGCACAGCCTTCGCAATGAGCAAAGCTGGGTTTATGCCGGTTGAACTGTACGTAATCATCGAGCGCAGACAGAGGCTGCTTCCCGTCTTGAGACCTGGGCCTGCCCCCAATTTGCCAGCCTGCACCGTTCTGTAGCTCTTCACCCGAGGGATCCAAACAGCGGAGATCATGAAGTTCTACAGCATCGCGGCGAGTTTCGCGGCGTTTAGCAATGAAGGGAAGGACCTCATTGTCCAGTACCAGGCAAAGTACGATGCTTGGCAAAATGGCTGGCTGGCCATTTCTTGGCGTGGCCCGAAATGGGTTTGACCAACTGAGTTCTGGGAGGCTACGCTTGATTGTCCCATGGGTGATTGGAATCCGGTTGCTAGAACCAGTTTTGGGTCCCTTGAGCTCCAGCCTGGGGTCACTGAAGCTTTGGCCTTGAGGAGAAAGATCTGGCTTGTGGCGGCGGCTATTTGAAGCTCGGGCCCAGCCAGGAGGAGCCGGGGTCAGTCTCGTCGGGTTTGGTGTGAGGCGCGGCGACATGTCATCGCGCGCCGATATGTCACTGTGTGCGTCGAAAGTCACCAAGCTCGCTTTCAGATCCATGATCGCAAAAGCGTTGCCCAAGTGCAAGCCGCAAGTGTGAACATGTGCATTTGTTCTCCTGCCAACCACAGCATGCTCAGACCACATTTTCCTGAGTCCTTTGGAGCCACTGAGCCAAACGTTGGGACTATGTGGGACCCTTGTCCAGCCCTGCTTTTTCAACTAGCATGGGCCAGCGCTTAGAGCGCATAAAGTGTCGGTGAAGTGCCGTGCTTTTATGCGCGACTTTGGCCTTTCCAAAGGAAATTTAGAAGGAACTCCAGTAGTACTGAAACTATGTGAGCTAAGAGTGCGGGCACCTGCGCGTGATGTTTATAACGCTAGATGCACTGCGCTTGAAAAAGCTATGCAGAAGCTGGAAAGGCCCGAGAAGGGAATAGAAAAGAGTCGAAAACGTGGCCCTGCGCGGGGGGCGTGCTAGGAGCACGCGCACTGCTTCGCAGCCTATTGGTAAACCCTTTGCGGACCTTGGGCGGGTTGACCCTCCAAGACCTGCGATTTTTGGTTTTTTTTTTTTTTTTTTTTCGGGTTTTCACCTTGCTGGCGCAACACTCCGCGCACTTTCGCGGGGTCGACCTCAACCAGCTTGCAGCTTGCACAACCATCAGAAGGTGAACCGTGTCCGGACTTCGGCGCGTGGGCTAGAGAGAGAGAGAGAGAGAGAAAGATAGATAGGGAGAGAAAGAGACTGCGAGAGAGAAAGAGCAAGACGAAGAGATAGAGAAACATAAATAAAACGAACATCGTAAATATAAATGAAATATCAGAACGAGGCATAGAAGAATAAAGAGACGAAAAAAGGGCGAGGAAGAAGAACAATGAGAAGAAGACCGTCAGAGGGCGGACGGGATGAACCGCAATTGCCGGGGAGGGAGAGAGAGAGAGAGAGAAGGAGCAGAAGAAGACGAAGCAGAAGATGAAGAAGAATAATAAGAAGAACAATAAAGAGAAAGTGACGATAATCGGAGAAAGAGAGGAGAAAGAAGCAGAGAAATAAGAAGAGACACCGAGATAACGGGACGAAAGAGACAAACGAACAGAGATATAGAGAGAGTGTGAGAGAGAGAGAGAAAGAAAGAGAAGGAAACGGGGGGGGGGGGGGAGAAGCGAGCTCCAAACTATGGTTCTCCCATGTTTTGCAACTTCCTCGCCCTTCCCAGCTTTGCCAGACTGTACTGGTACTTGATAGCACTTCCTTTTTGGTAGGGTTTCATCCGATCATTCGCGATTTTAGCTTCTTTGATGCAAACATATCGGCCGCGATGATAGAAATTGTAAGCATGCCGGTTTTCTACAGCCAGAGGGGCAGTTGATGTCCAGACAAAAACAAACAGCAGCAGGGATCACAAATCTACAAACACCACTGTAGAGGGGCCTCAAGGCGCATGCCTCTTTTTTCAAGAGCGTATGAACAGGGCCAAACCAAGGCTCGTAACTCGCGGCTGGATGTCAATGGCTTGTTCACTTTGATGCGAAAGCTTGACAAGCATTGCAAAACAGCTGCCTGTCCAGGATCTGTCCAGCTTCGGCGACCCTACTCCGTATAACATCATGCCTTTCGCCCGCAGTTTGGCCATTGAAGAGTCAACTTGTTGCCATGCCTACCCTCCGGAATTGAGGCGGAGGCTCTCCCCTGGAGTTTGTGCATTCTTCCATTCCTGTTGGAATGGCATGGAACTGAGCAAACCCCCTCCCCCCAGCCCAATACCACCCCCCTGCAGCCTGTGAGGTTCTGCAAGAAATGGTAGGAGAGAGATGGGAAGCTGCAAGAATCAGTATCGCCCTTGTTTTTTCACACCCGGGCCTGAGTTGAACAGGATGTATCAGGTACCGTCTATTTGGTGGTTTGGATTGGTGGTTTGGGGGTTTGAACCCCTGTTCCTTGTGCGAGGTAAATGGGAAACCACCCATTACAGAACCTCCAAACCACCAATCCGTATGTGTGCAGACACCACAATGTAAGGTTCGGACCAGATCAGTGCAATGCAGAGAAGCGGACGCACCTGATTTTTCGTAATGGAGGCGCAGCAATGCAGGAAGAGGCGTTTGCTGCCGTGTTCTCTGCTTAATTAAGCGCCGATGCGCTCAGCACAGCCCTGAGCGCTACTGTGCCACCGCAAGTTTGGGAAGGTGATATCCCTCAGGCCTCAAGTGGGCACCCGCTTCAGCCTCTCATAGGCCCCTTTCCAGTATAGCCAGGAGGTTGGGACAGGTTGCCAATAGGGGTATTGGACAGTTCTGTCAAATGCTCCAGCAAGCCTGAATATTTGCAATAATCCAGCCGGCGAATACACGGCATGCGCTTGTGCAAGAATCGCATGGCAAGCGGCCGTGTTACCAGCCAGGCAAGAACTTCCTCAAGAAGTCAGAGTTGCCATTTAAACAAGATGGCGCCTTGGCCAAAGTGGAATATGTCAACACAAAGGGCTTTGTTGGGCAAGATGTCTCTTTTCGTGGGAGCAGGGTTCACACACTGCCTTGAATCTGCGTGGCGCAGGAGAAGGTATCTCGCACTTGTACAGATTACACCTCAAACCCGACAATTCGGTTAGAGTGGATGTGGACATGGAGAAGATCTACGAGGGCTCCCTCAAGGACCTTTCTGAGCTTCTCGCCAGGCGGCTTGAGTCAAAGTCGAGCCTGATGAACGCTAATTTCACCTGGGCTCCTTTGTTTAAACATCCTGTCAAACGCAGTATTGCAGTATGCCTGTTAGTTTCTTGCAAATATCATGGGAGAAGGTTTGCAGCCCACGAAGAGCATGTCCCATTGAATGCTTTTTCTGGCATTCGCCACTTAGTCAACCAATCCAGGAATACATATACTGTGCTTTTGTGCGTTGCTATTGCTACGGCGTTTTTTGTTTTTTTTTCTGACATGTGTCCCTGAGGAGGACTGGGGTATGCTGCCTCAGCGAGAGATTGAGGATCCCAGCGACAAAAAGCCTTCAGACTGGGTAGATGAGGAGATGATGGAAGATCCAGAAGCGCCCGCGCCAAACATGTGGTTTCTTGGGATAGTATTGATCAGTATAAATCTAAACGTAAATGTATCTAATTGTCTATCATGTATTGTCTGCATTTCTTACCAGGCTTGGAGAGAGCACGTGAAAACCACTATGTACACTATACACACTGTCTCCCACTCTCACTCCCTCTCTCTTTCTTTCTCTCTCTCTTTCTTTCTTTCTTTCTTTCTTTCTTTCTTTCTTTCTTTCTTTCTCTCTCCCTCCCTCCCTCTCTCCCACACACACAAACGCATGTGCCTGCGCCATCAGCTGCCTGCGGCATGGACCAGTTTTAACACCAAGCCTTGAAGCAAAATTGCGCGGATGTGTACGGGCACAGTAACGTTTGACGTGGTTCAGCTTTGCTTGGCTGTGAGGGATGGCTATCAATCCAGGAGAGCACCGATTTGCCAGTTCTGAGGTGCATCCGTTTTCTGAGTTGCTGGAGTGAAATGAATTGCCGCCACTTTGTTTACACCATGATTTGCCGTTTTCCCCTTTGCTACGGAAATGAAGGGGGCCTGCGTAGAGATGGGTCCCAGCTTTGCTAAGCAATCGTTTTAAGCGAACCGGATTCGCGCGAGAAAGCCGGAAAACCGAAAAAAACAGGAAAACCAATCAAACCGAGAAAACCGGGAAAACCGAGAAACCAGCTCTCGTGGCTTTCGCCTTTTTCTGTGAAGCTTGCGCCTTTTGACCGTTCTCCTATGCTTGCGTTTCGTGTTTTTTTCCCGTTTTCGCGGTTTTCACGATTTTCGGGTTTTGGCAGTTTTTGCAGATTTGCGGTTGTTTCGCGTTTTCATGGTTTTCGCGTTTTCACGGTTTTCGCTGTTTTTTTTTGCGGTTTTCGCGGTGTTCGCGGTGTTCGCGGTTTTCGTGGTTTTCGCGGTTTTTGCGGTTGTCACGTTTTCTGCCATTTCTCGGTTTTCGCAGGTGTTCGCTGCAAGTTTCCGTTGTTAGTATGCTTACTGGCCTTGTGTTTTGAGCCCCATAGATACGTTAGATTAGATTAGATTAGATTAGATTGGATAGATATATAGATAGATTAATCGATAGATACACAGCACGGTAAGATAGGACAACATGGGATAAGATAGGATAAGACAGGACAAGATAGGATACGACAAGAGAAGATAGAATAAGATAGGTTCAAATAAGATCAGACAGGACAATGTATGATAAGATTAAGATAAGGTCATAGATAAGGTAGATAAGGCATATAAGATAGATCAGGTAGATAAGATGGAACAAGATAGTGATATAGATGCGATGCGACAGATAGGACAAACAGTCAAGATAGGATAGATGTGATAGATAGGACACATAGGTAGGCGTTTAGGTATATAGGTAGATAGATAGATACATCGATGGACATGTAGATAGATACAGAGGATAAGATAGATAGGTAAGGTAGGATACGACAGGATAAGACAGCATACGGCAGGATATGATAGGATACAAAATGCTAACAAATGATTACACATATATATATATATATATATGCACATTGATGTAGATAAATAGATGGATAGATAGATGTATACATATGATAAGATACGCTACAACAGGATAATATAGGATAAGGCACGGTAGATATGCCAACATGGGGTAAAGTAGGATAAGTTAGAACAATACATGATAAGATAACATATTATAGGATAATATACGCTAAGGAAGCTAAGAGAGGATACTATGGAGGCAGGTCAGGGGTAGACAAGGTAGTTAAATTGGATAGACATGATAGATAAGGTAGATAAGACATACGATACATCAGAAAGCTACACACGATGAGATAAATAGGAAAGCTGGAAAAGGTAGGGAATAGGTACATAGATAGATAGATCGATAGATACACAGGATCAGATAGGGCGATATGAGATAAGATATGATAAGATAGGGTAAGGCAGGATAACATAGGATGCGATGCGGTAAGATAGGAAAACAGGATACAATAAGTTAAGAAAGGTTAATACAGGATAATATATTATAAGAAAAGACAAGGTAGGTGATGTAAATAGGAAGATGCGATCAAATTGATACATAAGATAGATCAGATTGATAAAATAAAATAAGATAGATACGATAGGTACGATGGGAGAGATGGGAATGATCGGAGAGATAGGACAGATAGGATAGATAGGATAGGTAGGTGGGTGGGTAGGTGGGTAGGTTTGTAGATAGATCAATAGAGATAGGATAAGGTAGGAACATATAGCAACATACAAGATAAGGTGGGACAACATGGGATCAGACAGGATAAGACGGGGTAAGATAGGATAAGATAGGATAGTAAGGCGAATACAGGATAAGATAGAAAAAGATAGGATAAGGTAGGATGCAATAGGAAAATAGGATTAGATTGGATAAGACAGGATGAGGGTAGGATAAGACAGGATAAGATAGAGAGATAGGTAGAGATATAGACAAATAGATCGATTGATACATAGGATAAGATAGGCTAAGACAGGGTAAGACACGGGAAGATAGGCCAACATGGGATAGATAGGAGAAGATTGGATAATACTGGACAAGGTAGGATACGATAAGATAAGATAAGGTAGGTAAGATAGATAAGGTAAATAGTATAGATATGATAGATATGATAGACAAGGTAGATAAGGCGCCTGAATGAAATAGATAAGATGGACAATCTAGATAAGACAGATACAATGAGTTAAATAGGATTTTTATAGATATGCTATTTGGATAGGATCAATAGGATAGATAGGATAGATACGATCAATACATAGATAGATAGACGAAGATAGAGATGGAAAAAGATATAGAGGTAGAGATAGATATAGATAGATAGATAGATAGATAGATAGACAGAATATGGGATGTGTTTGCCGCCTTTTCAAAGGGTTATGTCCCGCAAAAGTTGGCGTTGAGGAAACATGCGAAAGTTGGCATTTGCACGGTTTTCACCGCTTTCATTGGTGTTCGCGTGTTCACAGTTTTCGCGGTTTTCGCGTTTTGTTTTGCGGTTTTCGCGTTTTCGGTTGCAAAATCCGCTTAGCGCACGTCACGAGAAAAAAGAAGAAAACAAAAACACAAAACTCGCACGGCAGCTTTGGCAGCGTGGCACACGCCAAGCTGGGCACTCAGGATTCCAAGCCTGCGGACTGGGCGGAGGCCAAGGTGGTGGATTCCACGGCGAAGCCAGCGGAGTGGGATGAGGATGAGGATGGCGACTGGGAGCCGCCCAAGGAGCGGCCAGTCTGTGCCCAACGCCACAATTCCTCTTCTCGAAAAAGAAAGCCAGAAAGCCCGATTTTGAGCCAGGATTTGAATCTTGTATAGGGATTAGTAGGGAAGCAATTCAATTTCAGACAAACTGCCCCAGAAGTATTCCCCACTGTCACAAGGTAAAGGGGGAGGAAATTCAGACTTGTTTGCATCGGTGAGAAACAAATGGCTGCCTGTCAGGGGGTGAGACAAAACACGATCCCACGCCCTGGCAATAAATGTTCAAGTGGGGAAATAGAGAAACGAACATGGGGTCCAGTACTGAGGAAAAAATAGTAAACAAATACTGCCTCGGTCAGCTCAAAAGGAATACTGTAACAATTCTGAACCACTTCTCAGCAGTATTTACTGAGAGTATCTGAGAGTCTACTTGCGCAGGCCCTTTGACCCCCAGTTTGTTTTTAGGCTTTTCCCTGCAGATCCCCCCCAATTTGTTTGAGGGGCGGGCGTTACCAAGCACCTCCCAGCATGAGTGAGGCACGTTGTTTGCAGAGTGCTTTTTTGTGTTTGAACAACGAGTTGGATTCCCCACAAGGAAGCCACATTCATATTTGATGACTGGTGGCCTTCCCTGTCAGCTGTCGGACTCAAAAAGAACTGCTTTGTTAGGTAAGCAAGCCTGTTTGAGCAGAGCCCCAACTTTCTATCACACTCCCCAGGTGGGTAGCTTCCTGGCTGCATGGGGAGGGCAGACAGGTGCGGGCCACGAGACTGGGCCAGGTGGACAACCCTGCCTACAAGGGCCAGTGGACAGCGAAAAAGATCCCCAACCCCGCCTACAAGGGCGTTTGGAAGGCCAGAACCGTTCAGAATCCGGAGTACACAGATGACCCGGACTTGTACAAGTACAAAGACTTTGGCTACGTAGGCCTGCAGGGATTTCAATGCCTATGGACTGAGATGCTCTCACGATGTGGAGAGGGCGCCAGTTCTGCCACAATTGTTAGATCCCCCTCCACAATCGCAAGCAGAGACTGTGTCAAACTGTTACAGTTCCAGTCATGGTGGCTGGTGCTCTGCCGTTATACCTTCGTATGTTCAGTGAATGTGTCCTTTGTCGATGCTTGTTGGTTTTGTGTAGTTTTGTGTTGTATGTTGGGCTGCTTGCTTGCTTGCTTGCTTGCTTGCCTGCCTGCCTGCCTGCCTGCCTGCCTGCCTGCCTGCCTGCCTGCCTGCCTGCCTGCCTGCCTGCCTGCCTGCCTGCCTGCCTGCCTGCCTGCCTGCCTGGCCTGCTTACCTGCCTGCCTGCCTGCCTGCCTGCCTGCTTGCTTGCGCCATTCATGTGTTCATTCAGTCATTCAGTCATTCATCCATGCATGCATGCAATGATTGAATGGTTTGAGTCGAACTGATCCAATTGTAGTTGATTTTTATTGATTGAGTTTCTTTGGCTGTGTGTTGTATATTTGTTGGCTTGTTTGTTTGCAATTATGTTTTTTGTTTGCTTGTTTGTTTGCTTGTTTATTTGTTTATTTATTTGTTTATTTCGTGTTGTTTGGTTGTTTGGCAACTCATGTTGCGATGTGTGACGCGGCGCCAGGCTTTGACGTATGGCAAGTGAAGGGAGGAACCATCTTTGACAACATCATCATCACGGTCACGGCCCGAGCAGAGCAGATGTAGCCCTCGATCCCTCAAGCACCTGCTTGTTTACAAGTAACTACGTGAGCTCTTTGCATTGTGGCTGACATCTCAAACACCAACACCTTGGGCAGAGCTGCCAGCTAGCAGTGTGTTTTTTCTTCTATGGCTGCTCTTGCTCTTGCGCCTTTTCACATGTTACCGCCAGCATGAGGACAGCCTGGAGGATGCCGAGATCTTCGCCCACAAGTGGAAGGCAGAGAATGGGTCCATGGCCAAGATCCATGATCCAATGTTCCCAAAGAGGTTGGTGAACATCAATCACCATGTAAATGACGCACACCAAACGGCAAGTCTTCGATTAGGTGTCCTAGCCATCTGGTGGTTTGCGCCCTTGCGCCAGGTTCTGCGAGAGGCGGAGGAAGCGGAGAAGAAGAAAGAGGAAGAAGCACAGTCTGCGATGTTTGAGATGCTCGGCATGGCTGCCACGGGTAATGAATGTAAACTTTGGATTGCACATACAAGGGGGGCCATCCTAATCAGAGGAATGTTCCCAGAATGCACCCGTGATCGGTGTGGTTCTCGAGATTCATTGATGTTTGAACATCCAGTCCAACTGCCTCAGGAAAGCCAAGGCGGCAAGAGCAGCACGGGCCGCCAAAGAGAAACAAGAAGGCGGGCAGCTACTTCTTTGGAAGGGCGTGGCCTTGGAGCCAGTGCTTGCAGCATGCTCATGTGGTGACTGTGGGCCTGGCTCCCCTGCAGCTGGATCTGCATGCGTTGGGCCCGGAGATGTTAGAGCTTGCGGCGCCAAGCCCGAAACAAACAACAACACATGTTTGTTTGACTAGACTAGACCTGTTTCAAGCTGCCTGGCCAGTAGATAGCGCAATGGCTCTTGGGCATTCCATCTAGCAGCCGCGGGGAGTTGGAGGTCTAGCAAGTAAGACTCTCTATGAACCACGGCGCCTAGCTGCTGCCATTTGCTCTGAAAGCTCCCGCAGCTGCAAGGAGGCCCTTAGCAACAAAGTGAAATCCTTTTCACAACCCTTGGGACAACACACATCATATTTGTTGCTACATGCACCCTACTAGCCCCACCAACCAAACATGGAAGTGCAACAGGAAGCTTGTCAAATTTCCTTCTCGACAGCTGTGCAATGTGTTACCAAGCTGATGACTTGAGTCCTGAATGCCGAAGCTATTTTCTGGCGAATGCATGTTGCAGTTTCTGGAAGCTGGGGGGTGACGACAACAGCGTGTCGAAATTATCTTGCCCACTTGCCCAATCGGTCGCCCAGCCTGGCGCGCAAGGGAAGAAAGAGAGCCAGAGTGGAGCGGCCGGAAAGGCCGAGGAGCTCTGATCCTTGCAAGGATATGCCAGTTTCCTAGAAGCCTTGGTTTCTTGTCACATCTCGAAGCCAACTAAGCCGTGATTCATCGGCGTCTAAACGAGCTTTGATGTGTTTCTTCAAGCTTTCCTTTGCGCTCTGTGCTAACTGGTGAATGTCCACATTTAGGTTAGGCGTTTGAAGTGATTGTGGCATGATGGCATGACCGCGCTTTCACAGTTGGCGGCGTAGAAACCTATGCTTGCTGCCAAAAAGGATGTGCGACCTTTTCTGTCGCAAGCCAGGCTTTGGAGCAGTCCTTGCTTGCAATGGTGGTTTTGCAGGATACTCAAAGCACTGAGCATGCTCGAAGCTATTGATTGCATGGAGAGGGGTTAGGCATGACATGAGACACTGTATTTGAGGGGGTGGGGTGCGGCTTTGCACACCCCCGGATTTGCAGTAGTTCATGCGACATCTCGGGGAGCAAATTGCATGACATCCCTCGCTGGGTGAAATATTATATTTTGTGCAGATACCGTTGGATGCTTTGATCAATTGCCCCTTCCTGGTCTTGAAAGAGTCGCAACACTAGGTGCAAGCGATTCTCCCTATCAACAAAAATCCTCCCTCCGCCTGAAGAGATATTGTATTTATATGTCCCCTGGGGAAAACACACAATTATTCATAGGAGCCTTGGGACCCAGAAAGTTTCCGCGTAGGGCTTTGTCCAACCATGGGGTCACCCATGGTTGCCCCGTTGCCAGACAATAGCCATCAATGAATCAAGATCACTTGTTTGTTGCGTGGAATTCAGATAGAAGCGTTCCTTTTCGGAGACTCAAAGTTCAAAGGCGCACTTTAGTTTGCAATTTATTGAGATTGCTTGCAATTAAGTTTGAAATTGTTTTGGAAAGTCTCCTGTAGATCAGAATTCAGGGCTGGACAACGGTCCAAGGAATACATTGATCTATGTTAGACATTTCGCCTTTTTTGTCTTGAAGGGATTCAGCTTGCTCGGTAGCGGTTTGCTTCTCAGCCGTGTGCGCTTGCCAGGTACACCAAAGGCAATACCGTGCGGGGCCTGTTTTCAACAAGTGTACCAAGGACGTACCAAGGGCTTTGCCATTTGAGCAAATCATAGTGGCTTCACAAGGCGAGTTTGCGATTTTACCCATGAAGGTTCCCTTCATAGGGATCGCTTACTTCAGGTTTACAATCTATCAATTCACGCAGGTTCAGGAAAGGGGTTGACTGCGGGAGGAGGAGCCTCACTTGGCAGGCAGGATTTTCAAGGACCTCAAGGAGAGCTATCCGGGGCTATGACATAGTAAACCCTGCAGTCAGGGAGGAAGCGTCTGCCTTTTTACTCTTGCCTGATCTTTTGGGTGGAGGGTCCGTGAGTTGTAACTGGGAGGCGGCAATTACATGAACAACATCAATAGCTAGGCTGCCAACAGCGTACTTGTTTTCATGCAGTGTAAGTCTCACGATTTCTGCGCGACCAGAATCCTGCTGTTGCCATCTCTGTAGCATCAAGGCTTGCTCCCGTTGTTGCTTCTGACGCTGTCCTGGGCACGCTAATGCTATCATGAGGGTGGAAGACATTTGAAGACTTTCGGATGTGGGCAATTTAGCCTTTCAATGTTACATTCTAGATTGCACATGCACATGGATGTCAAAGATTCAAAGCATACACAAACGGGCACGCATACACACGTATGTACACTTGTATGTCTATACATACACATACATGCAGCTGCATAGCTCATATGCTACAGCAGAAGTAACGTGACAAGCATTCAGTGTTTGTCATGTCGCAAGGCAATGGGCCAGCTGCCCCTAATTTCAGTCCAAGAGGGCCACCGCCTAGCGTTCTGCTTGCCAGAATTTGCCACGGCCCAGCAGTTTGAGCAAGATGCCGCATCCCCCGCACCCAGCCATGACATGCGCGCCTCAAATCAGCTCCTTGGCACGCACAGTTATGTCAACCAAAACCCCGCCTAGCGCTGCTTTATCGGCAGTTTATTCGGCCAGATCAATGTCGAGGAACTGTCGGCAGTGTTGATCTTCTTTGCTTGGTGTTGAACAATCCCTTCCCCCTATTAATAAGTACGGGTCCCCCCCGTCCCCCCGTCCCCCCAATTATAAAACAAAAATCCTCCCAAAAAAATAGTGTTTGTTTGAAAAATAATGGGTTTTCGGATGTTTTTTTTGCTTTTCCAACAATGTGAGGGTTCACATAGGATCTGGAGGAAATGGTTTGAATTGTAAGGTTCGCGAGTAAGCGGTTTAACAAGGTTTTTTTTTAAATGTATCATTCTATTTGTTTTTCAGTTTACTGGTTTTTTGCTTGCAGCCAGGCAGGTTAGGTAATTAATTAGCCAGCATGTAGGGAGAGAGACTGTTGCAGCAGTCAGCAGGGCACAGTTGCAACAGGGCACAGTCAGCAGGGAATTCATTTTTTGGGGAACCCACCTTTTTAAAAGAGGGGCTGGAAGCTTGTTAAAAGTGCCCCCTAATAAGGATTCCAAGACTTTAGTAAGGGTTTAGTATTGGCTCAATTAAAAATCAATTGTGCGGAGTGGAAATCTGGTCCCGGGCCCCGGATTTCGATTTTTTATTAATTGGGGTCATTCATTAATAGGGGGAACGGATTAAGCTCACCTGAAGAGGTTTGGTGGTGAGGTTTGGTGCAAAATATGTGTGATGTGAGGGCCACATTCCATGGTGGGCTCCCATATTTGCCTCAGGCTCGGGAGCCTCCCCATCGCAAGTGCGGGTTGTGACGAGCTCGATGGCAAGAGCCTCGAGAGTAGTTGCTCTGAGTTCAACAATTGTTTTGTGTTTACTGTTCGTCATGTGTGGGCCGTTCTAAATGAACCCTCATGTTTGAATACTCTGGCAGCTTTCTTTTGAACACCCGCTTCATCAGAAAGGTGTCTTCCGCTTGGTGTTTTTGGATGGCTTCATGTGTATCATTTGGCGCCACTTGTGTGCATGTGCTTGTGTGCTTGTGTGAGCATAGCTTTTAGTGGCTTTTGCCTATTAAGCCTAGTGATGCATGCCATGGCCCACATGGTCTTGCAGACTCCTTGTGACTTGTGAATGCTGAGCGGACTTCAATGCGTTGGGAACCAATGGATCTTGCTTGCCGGAGCGGAGGGTTTGCGCGGCAATCTGTGGCTTGCTTTGACCGGAGCTATGGCAAATGCTGCACGTACCAGGCAGCCCCCTCGCCAGTGCTCGCTCACCGCACGGCCCCGCGCCCAACATTTGTGGTGGACCGGACCCGCTTCGCTCCTGTTGGCAGGTTCTGTCGAGTCTGCATAGGGTTAAATCCAGCTAAGACTGTTTCTTTTGCTGGAGCTGAGCTGCTCATTGGTGGCCGCTTGATGCGGACAGGTCCCATTGAGGAGACAAAAACGAATCCAGCTTGCATTCCCAGGTCTTTTGGTCAAGGCAGCCAAATGACCACGATGCAGTTGCTTGCCAGTTTGTTGTCGAAAAGGGACCCCGTTGGAGGATGACATCGAGTGGGCTGGGGCAACCTCAAAAAGACTGCTTGCGCTAAGATGGAGTGAGGCGCGCCAGTGCACATCCACAAGCAGGCCATTAAAAAAAACAAATAGCAGCACAACTTCCTTGAATTGCCCTTCTTAATTGCCTGTCAAGACTCTGATTGTGGATAAATTTCCGCCAGCGTCTTGCGTTCCGAAAGTGCAAGGTCGCCACGCCCGCTCGGGTCCGGATGCAGCCGGAGGCCGCCCGGCCAATTGATATCATGGAATGCGCTTGGTTGGTGTTGGCCTGGTATTGGCTTCGGATTAGTTTGGTTTCGGTTTTGGTTTGGCATTGATTCAGTCAAGCGTAGTTTGGCAAACTACCGGTCCAGTGCTGGATTGACATCGACCTGGCAGAAGTTTAGCCTGAGTGGAAGTAGACGGCACGACTCAGTTGTCTGGGTGTGTGCACCAACAAGGGGGCCAATTGTGCTGTATACTTACGCCTATCCGCAAGCCTTCGTTCAGAAGCTGCTGGGGTGGGTGAAGTTGCACAAGCCTGGGGTAGAGGCTGCTGGTCTCCAAACCTGGATCACAAACATATGTATATATGTTTTATACATATATATATATGTATGGATATATATACAGTATGGGTATGTACACACTCGATAGATGTAGTTTGTATGTGCTCATATTAATTGTGTGTGATGTTGATTGGGGGCATGGAAGTGAATTTCAGTCTTCGACACTAATTCTCACAACGCTTGATGTGTCCCATGGATTCAGCAGGTGCAGCATGTCTGCAGGCGGCCATCGCACCGAGGTTGTGCGGACACATGGCTGGCCTACGATGAAGCAGGAGCAGCCTGTCACACGCAATATTCCTGCGCTGGGGCGCCTACTGACTCCTTTTGCCTTTTGAAGCGATGACTTGACTTGAGCATGTTCAACCATGGGCTCAGCAAAGGCATGAGGCTTTTGCATTTATGTTGGGAGAGCTTGGCGTTTGGCCTGGTGTAGAGCTGTGTTTAGCACAACCTGGCTCAGTAAACCAATGCGTGCTTCGCCTTTCTGGGCCAGAAGGCCCAGAGGCTCCGGGCTTTGTGTCCGTGAGGCCTGTCTTGCGGCTTTCTGCAAGCTTCAACTCTCGCCAGCAGTTGGCAGCTGCTTGGATCAATTGCGGACATTGCACAGCTCACGCACCTGCTGAACCCCAAGATGGAACTGGGGGAGGGGCTCACTCGCGGAATTCCATGGTAAGTCGATGTCTCTTTTTTTTCCGCAAGCAAGATGGAATCTCTAGACGCTTCCCTCTTGGGGCAGAGGATGGGGGCCAGACCTTCAGGAACCCCAGCAGCATAGCAACTAGGATCGCATCCTCTCAAGCGCAATGCGGGCATTCACAATCCACGCAAGAGCGCGTGTGTACGTTTTCTTTTGTTTGTTTTGTGGGCAGAGTTGAAGAGGAAGGCAACAAAATCCAACCATGAGAGAGAGAGAGAGAGAGAGATGTCCGAGTTGTTTTGAGTTTCGGCACATCCCCATGTTGACTTGGCATGATCTCATGTTTTGCAGGTGGGCTTCATTTGAAGAGGGCAAAAGTGGCTCAGTTGGAGCCATGTGCGAAACAGGAACTTGGGACTTTGCAGTTTCGCTTGTGGGGGCGAGCGTGTTCTGACTGATGCTAGGAATCAGCTCAAGCGTCCAGGTCCGTCCCATTCTAATCCCTTCCCCTTAAGAATAAATATAGGCTTAATAAATATTCTTTGGGGGCCATACGATATTTAGGAGGACAAACACCAGCGGCATTGGCACAGGGCACGAAAGGGAATGGAATAGTAAGCGCTCCCCAAGCTGCCAATGAGCTGCGCAAGTTTAAGCAAGAGCTTGCAAGTGCTTCTTCTCCAACATGTGATGTTGCACTGTGATTCGGAGAGTGGTTAGCTGGTGCCTCAATCCCTTCCCCGTAAAAGTAAATGCACCCTATTAATATACTAGTTTAAGAAGCATTGTTAGACTGGCTGACTCCCTGCCAAACCCATCCCTGGTCTTATCAGGGGTACTCCAGGACCCAAGCTTCCTGTACGAACCCCATACTAATTTGTGTTGACCAAAACCCAAACAAACACATTGAGCTTTTCCCTTGCAAAGGTTTGTATGTGCTACACCCTGTTTACAAAGCTACAATTTGGGCCCACGGGATTCAAACCTCCGCCAGTGGGTTCTGATACCCCCCCCCAGCCTCCAACATGCAAACTGCTTGGTTTTTCCTGGAAGACGGTATTCCTTTTTTCATGACCCGGTGGGCTCCGAGTTAACAAGTGGGAGGTTGGCTTTGACAAGGCAGGATCTGGGATACCGGACTTGAATGCTCTCAGGCAGCGTGCACCTATGGGTCCTTCACCCCTGCACCGCGTGTGAAGCCCAGCCTTGGGCTTGCCATGATGAACCTGCCTCAAAGTTGTGGCCAGTTGCCAGAGCCGGAAACGCAGCAATCGCACTGACTCACAAGGAGCGAGACGCTTACCAGATCTGAGCTTCTTTGAGCCAGAGTCACACAGCAACAAGCAAATTTCAAGGCACCCCCAGCTGGGTACCCCATCTTATGAGCCTATCAAAGCCGCTCTCAAAAGGGAGGAATTCATTTTGACATTTGTTGAGGTTGTTTTGTTTTTGTCCTGAACGAGACGGTGTCTCCCAAAAGGGGGGAATTGTCCGCTACTGCGACCACCCTTGGCATCCTGCGACTCAGGCGTGGCGCACACCGTGTCGACGCCAAAAGTCACTCCGCAGGTCACATCGCAGGCGTCGGGCTGCGCTTCAGGGTGACGCATTGGCCATGTGAGAGCCGCGATCGACTCGGACGGGTTCGCCAGAGACAGTCTCAAAGTGACATACTGCAGATATCCGCTTTTTGTTTGTTTTGCTGACTTTGGGGTGCACTTCAGCATGCGAAGAATATCCGCCTGCAACATTTATGCTGATGTGCTTTTCCCAGGAGGTCAACCGAGGTCATGCCGAGTCAGCTTTCAGAGGCAACATGGCAAGTAATTATTTGTTCGGCAGAGAGTTAGTCTAGGGTGCCATGGGATGAGGCTGGAAGGTTTTGTTGTTAAAATAGCATGCAGGTGTGAGCAAAGGGCTTGGCACGTTTAGGGGCACACTGGCACCACACAAACCAAACAATGTGCACACGCACGAAACGCACGACAGGTGGATCAAGGCATAGAGCCGGGGCACTCTAGGAAGGTTCAGTGACCAGCTTAGACCCAAGCAACTGAGCAACTGAGCGACTGAGCAACTGCCGCTGATTCTGTGCAGGGCGCGTCCACGGTCTCCACGGCATCCACTGACACAAAGCCGCGGCCGACTTCATATAGCCACTTGGAATGCTTGGGCATGGCTGTGGAAATTCGAGGGTCAGATAGAGTCAGACTTGGATGGTGCGGAGGGAAGAGAGGGGAATCGGGGCACTTTGTTGGGCTCCATGTTGCAGAGCACCTCGGCTGCTAGAATGGAGAGACAGAAGCACGTGTTGCATTGGCGGGAGCCGTCGTTAGGTCAGCCATCACTGCCAGTGAGTGCAGAGGGCCAGCCCCGGTTGGAGCCTCGGAGGTGCGCCTCTTAAAGTTTTGGGTCTACCATTATTTTCCTGGAAGCCAAGCAACTTGAAGGTCTTGATGTGGGAAGCACCCAGCCTCTATGTGCCTTTTGTTTGCTGGGTGGATTAGCTGATGCTTGGCCCAGTTGGCTGAATCTCCAATTGCATGACTAACAATGTGCACAGGCCCCGCTTCACGATTTTGCATCCCTCCATACCCCTATTTATCGCCGAAAGCTGATGTTTGGGCCCCCGTTTCGGGGTCAACCGCTTAGGTCAGGCTTGCGACAGCAGCTGCAGACCGCCAGCGACGAGCTGCGACGCATGCAAATGACCCTGGAGGCGGGAGCTGCCATGGCAAAGGACAATGTGCATAATATGTTTCTTTGATTAGCAGTATTACTTTGATCCTATTCAGTCCTCACTCTCTGGCTGATAGGGCGGCAATAGGAAAGTACTAGAGCCAGGACTGGCCGGACTGGCCTTGAAGCGGGTTGCCCTTCAGCTTGTCAAACCTTGATTTTCCAGGCTTCCAGCTATTTGTCGTTTAGCTTGTACCTTGGGAGGGGAGGCCCTTTAGACTGCGAAGGGAGTTTGTATTGGCAGAAGCTGGGTTTCAATTGTTTTTCCTGCATGGCAAGGGCTGGAATAGGGGCAAAAGACATTTGAGACAAACTGAGCAGGGGTTTGCGATTCCATTGCAAACTATCCCATGAAGATCCCTAACTTGGAGGTTGGTGAACTATTGTAGTAGCTAGCGCAGATGGTGGTGTCAAAATGCGTGTTTGTTTTTGTTCCCGAAGTGCATTGAAAGCGAACCGGCCATTTTGGAGAAAAAGTAGCCACATGTCTAGGGGTTGATTCCTCATTCTCTTCAACCATCGTTCTTTATCCAGTTGTTCCCCCTGGGTTTTGATAGTTTCCTGAAAAGAAGGATCCCTGGAAAGAATGGGGAAGGTACCCGTAGAACATGGCCAGTTTGCAAGTGGCAGCCAGTGCGCTTGGCCAAGCAGCCAGGAGATGGGATCCCAACTGCCAGCAGCTTGGATCGGGGCCTGCCCAGGAGTGCCAGTTCTGTGGCCCTTGGTCCATCAACCATTTGGCCGGAGCACAGCGTCGATTTCCAAGACCAGAGCCGGGCACTTGCTTTTCCCTTCTGGACACTGGCGACACATAGATCAGTGACGTGCAATAGCAGAAGTATGATAAGATGGTCACTGGAGCCCTGCCATGCACCCGCCGCAGGAAAGGTGAGCCATTCTCGGGCGAATGGCAGCAAGGCAGGGTTGTTGTTGCCTTTCAGACCCGGCCCAGGCCACCTTCGATAAACAGATGGGCTTCAGTTGGACGAATCAAGCCTTTTCAAAATTGAAGATTCTGAACATTGGCCATCTCTAGTCTATCAACCCATTTCCCGAGCAGAGGGCTGAGATGCCAGGTCTTAAACTCAGAGAAACAACGAAGCAGTAGTGTCAACTGGGGAAGGCAGGGACATGGAGCTATTCAACAGGAAGTTGCCCAAGTCCGCTTGTGCAGTCCCCGGCAATGATTCATTTGAAGCTAGCTGTTTAACCAAGGTTCCGGCAATGTTATCCTCTTGTTAGTGGGGCATTTCTCCTGCCCATGTTGCAATGGTCCCTTCAAGAGGCCCCAGGTGCTATGTTTTGGGAGGAGGATGGGTAATTGTTTGGCTGATCGACAGGGTTCCCGACAGGCTTCCCTAGGCGTGAAGTGTGCAGGAATCGCCCCTGTCGCTGGTGAAGCACGCAATGAAGCAACTACAAGGCGCGCGAGTGGCTGATCCGTGCTGCCGGTTCACAACTTGCTCACCCAAAAAATGTGGACCTTGAAGTTTCCCAGCCTTGGTCCACTTTTGGCTGCGTTCTGCGATGTTCTGCGGGAGTGTCCTACACTCAATCGATCTTCCAGGAGCCCTGCAGGTGCACTTGGCTCTCCTCCAAAGTTTTAAATTTCAGGTAGACGAAATCTGAGCCAGAACCCGAACTGGGTGCCAAATGAAAATACATGTTGTTAATTTGCCAAAAGGGAAACCAACAGGGCATGTTTGTGTTGGTTTGTCCAGGTCCCCAATGGAAGGCTCCCAGTGAGAAGCGGAGAGCCGAGGGAGCCTGGTGGAGAGCTTGAACTCCACTGAGAGGATAAAAGAGATCAAGGCCGCCGGCGACGAACCATGAGCCCATGGACCACCGGCCCTTTTTTCGGGATTGGATTGGTTGGAGCCTATTGGGGGAGTGCTGGGTTCCTGTTATAGAAGGGGTTTGGGGGTCAGCGTGTGTTTGCCAGATGTGTCGGTGTGTCTACGCGTTCGCAAGCGTCCGCAGGTGGAAAGAGTTGACATGTGTGAGTTTTATGACTCGCAAGCGTTGTTTTGATTGTGCGGGCGCATTGTTTTGGGAGTTGGCACGTGTCATGTTCGTTGGCCATGTCAATCGCTTTGCTTTGGTGAGCTTAAGCGTTGAACATCGGTTTGAACATCATTCTGGCGCTACCGTCCTGTGTTGATTTTGGACACGCGGTAAACATGTCAAAGTTGGATATCGTGGCAGCTTCCAGCGCAACGCTGCGAGCATTAGCTTTGCTGTTCCGTCGGAAGCTCACTTTTCGTGACAGGGGCAGCACTTTAGAGCACAGAGGGCTGCTTTTGTGGCCGGCTTTGTAGGGTCGCGCGTCAATTTTTGCGACAGGCCGACATGCGCATCACTCTAGCACGTATCACTGGATTTCTGATGTGCGTGGCAGGAGCTGCAAGGGGATTGATCATATTTGATTTTGCTGAGATGCCCCATGGCAAGGTGCCAGTTTAAGGTCAATCGTATTGCACGGGGATGCAGCTTACACACCGCCAATACTAGCTTTGCAGTATGTATGTGTCTTTAAATATTTAGAGGGGTATATTTTAGACATCCCTTGTGTACGTAGTACAGTAGTAAGTCACCTCCATTCCTGCAGGGCCAGCTACAGTTAAGATGCGCAGGGGTGGGGTGTGGGGTGTGGCTCAGAAGAACAAGCTTTTTGGAGGGCGCAATGCAGACCTTCACATTTTCTGGATACCCAACCCCTGTGCCAGGCTCGCGCAGCTTCTCCAGGAGATGCCGGATGCGCAGAAACCAGGGCGCCCCTACCCTTTGAAGAGCGCATGGCTAAAAAGGTAGGGTGTTTTTTTCTCGGCAGACATCGTTACAACTTGCCAAATGGGGGGCCGCTGCGTTAACATAATAGTGATGTAGCAGTTCTTTCCCTCGGAAACGGGCGGTAGAGGGAATCGTTTGGAGTAGCATGCGTATATATTGTGTATGAATTTAGATTTCTAGTCACCCCCAGGCTACCTGTTGCTTTGCGAAGTCCATTCAAAAGTCCCTGAACAGTGCACGTGTTTAGTGCCGGACTGCCTTCAGTTGTAGCTTGATTTTAAGATGCAGAATCATGAAAGTGTGTGCGCAAAAGCCCGGACCGAATTGTGTTCCCTGGGGGGCTGGATGGTTTCTTGTCGCGGAGCTGGGGGTGTTTTTTCCGCGTTTAACCTGCCCTAGAAATCCGTTTTCCCTGAAATTGCAGATTGTCAGCCGGTAAGTCCCAGGCGTCGGTTGATTACTGCTTGCCGGCCCAATCTGAAAGTATACCAGAAACACATGGAAAACCAAGAAACACACAACTTGGAGAAACAAGAAAATCAATCTCTGGGGGAAAATGTTGGTTTCAGCCCCAACCTTGTTTGTAAAGTATTCCCGATTTTGTTAGTTTGAAGGGTTCCCCAAGTTTGTTTGGGCTTTGACAATACCCCGCGAAAAAAACCAAACACGAGTTGTTGTGAAACGGACAGGTGTTGAGAAACCAAATATCCCTCGAGTCTATTGTTTGCTTGTTGTTGACCAATGCAAAAACGCAAAAGTCGAATAGAAGACAACAAGCGTTCAAGAATGCGCGGGAAACTATATTTTTCTGTTTGCTTTTACCAGCGCATTCAGCAACCTCAGTCTAGATTAGACTGCAAGGAGGACTTCCTTACCGGACATTGGTTAAACAGATGCTAGAACCTAAATTGAGTTGAATAAGGACAGAACTTCTTTTAAAGGCTTGTCCTTGTGCAAATCCTTTTAGCCTCTTAGGCAGCTCCTTCATAAAGCTCATTAAAGCTCTTTGAAGAAATCCACCGAGGCCCCTGAAACCAAATAGGGATGTTGGTTCAAAGATGCTGAACAACATTTAATTGAACAAATCAATTAGAATGTCTATTCGCGATCAGAATTTAAAGATGATGTCCTTTCCAAACGTGTTTTGTTAATGAAAGCTACGTTGTAGAATTTAATATGACAATGGTCCAATCATAATTCCAATTTTCATTTGGAGGCTAAACAATGAATTCCGTTTCCAAAAGGATTTCGAGTAACATTAGTCAGAACTTGAGTGGAATTTAGCAGCGATGGAAGCTTATTCAAAGTTTATGTTCGACCAGGATGGAGTTGATTCAATTTTGCAGATTGGACGCAAAGCAGCCAGGAATGATATGCAATGACCTGAAGGTGGGATGCCTCTCAAGAAACATGTGTGTTGGATTTGCAGAAGGGACAAAACACAAAGAGGAATGATATGCAAACGTTATCATTGAGGGGGCTCGGCATATATATATATATATATGTGTATATGTATATGCATGTGTAGTTTGTGTGGAGGCACGCCATGTCACGGGTTTGTGCTTTTGAAGGGAGCAGGGATTTTCGCATGCATGTTCCTCGGTGAAGAACTCGACCGTGCGGGTATCCACATTGATTTCACAGCAAGCCCAAGTAGAAGAGCGCGAGCTAAGGTCAGGTACTGCGCGAAGATTGTTATTGCCGGTGATGACTTGGCAACGGGGGAAAAATCCATTGTTGCGTCTTCTCGTACATGCGTGCCTTCTTCTAAGCTGATGGCCTGGTATGGCCAAAACGGCAGAAGGGTCCGCCGGGTGTTGGAACCCGTTTGCCTAATTAAACTTGGGGCGAGCTCTGGGAGGGGTTGTTTCAATAGAATCTGCAGATTCTTGCTCCTTTCGGCAGTTTCCACCTGCTTACTGTTGGGAGGACAGCGCAAGTTCAACGCCTCATCTCGGGAGCCCAGCGTGACCTCGCTGCACCTTGCAGGACGAATGTGCGTATGTGCGATATGTTTTTTTTTTGGGGGGGTGCCCCCTTCAGGTTGGTAAGGCAAAGGGAACACTGCTTTTGATCCAGAGCCATAGCAGCAGGGGCCATGAGAAGGAAAGCGAAGCCCACAACTCAATGGTCGCTTGTGCCATGGTGCCTGAATTATCGCCTCACCAGAATGGCAGAAATCGGACTAGCCAAATGTTTCGCAGGGCATTTGCAACTGATTCTGCCAGGCAAGCCATGGCGCAATGGCAGCTTACATGGGAGAGGAAAGAACCGTGTGAAGGATGTATCCCTCTGAATGCTTCGAACAGCTGAACTGCAAGCCTTTCCAGGATCTGGGTCCCGGCAGGCAGGTGGTCCGCGTCTTCGGAATTCAGCGGCCATGGGCCGGCAGAGCGCAATAGATGTGCAAGCTTGGACCGGCAAGTTTCCACGTTTTGAAAGTTGTGGTTTGCTAGGTGCAGGCTGCATCATTTCCTTTTTTGCTGTTCATGCCAGCAACCCCGTTCAAAGCATTCGGGTCTCAAGACAAGGTCTACTACGTGCTGCTTCAAACCCTGCAACGTATGTGCAGGTTGTGCAGCTTGTTTCTCAAGCACTTATGTTTTCGCTTTCTGCCAACTTCGCCGCATTCCTTTGGGCTGGGGTTTGGCATTGCACGCATAAAAAACAGAGCCAGCAGCATTGCGGGGGCTTCGGTCTCAGATGTCTGATCTCCCCACTAGGATGCAACTCTCGAAGATCCAATGGTCCAAACAAGGCACCTCCCTTCATAAGGTTCCAGGGCAACGGTTCTTGACATGCCAAGGATCCTCGCATTCGCTGGACCTCTTTGGGCATACATAAATTAAAAGTTCGCGAAATATAATACTTTAGAGCCTCCGGCTCAGTCCGCCGACATTGTCCTCTCCCTTTTCTCCTTCTTCCTCTCTCCCTTGTCTCCCTGGTGTGTTCTGTCGTCCTCTCTGCCTCCCTCCGCTCCCCATCCCCCCCATCCCCCCAAGCCACTCTCTCCCCAATCTCCCTCTCTCGTATGTATGTATGTATGTATGTATGTATGTATGTATGTATGTATGTATGTATGTATGTATGTATGTATGTATGTATGTATGTATGTATGTATGTATGTATGTATGTATGTATGTATGTATGTATGTATGTATGTATGTATGTATGTATGTATGTATGTATGTATGTATGTATGTATGTATGTATGTATGTATGTATGTATGTATGTATGTATGTATGTATGTATGTATGTATGTATGTATGTATGTATGTATGTATGTATGTATGTATGTAATGTATGTATGTATGTATGTATGTATGTATGTATGTATGTATGTAATGTAATGTATGTATGTATGTATGTATGTATGTATGTATGTATGTATGTATGTAATGTATGTATGTATGTATGTATGTATGTATGTATGTATGTATGTATGTAATGTAATGTAGTGTAATGTAATGTAATGTAATGTAATGTAATGTAATGTAATGTAATGTAATGTAATGTAATGTAATGTAATGTAATGTATGTATGTATGTATGTATGTATGTATGTATGTATGTATGTATGTAATGTAATGTAATGTATGTATGTAATGTATGTATGTATGTATGTATGTATGTATGTATGTATGTATGTATGTATGTATGTATGTATGTATGTATGTATGTATGTATGTAATGTATGTATGTATGTATGTATGTAATGTATGTATGTAATGTAATGTATGTATGTATGTATGTATGTATGTATGTAATGTAATGTATGTAATGTATGTATGTAATGTAATGTAATGTAATGTAATGTAATGTAATGTAATGTAATGTAATGTAATGTAATGTATGTATGTATGTATGTAATGTATGTATGTAATGTATGTATGTATGTATGTATGTAATGTATGTATGTATGTATGTAATGTAATGTAATGTAATGTAATGTAATGTAATGTAATGTAATGTAATGTAATGTAATGTAATGTAATGTAATGTAATGTAATGTAATGTAATGTAATGTAATGTAATGTATGTAATGTAATGTAATGTAATGTAATGTAATGTAATGTAATGTAATGTATGTAATGTATGTATGTATGTATCCTTGCACTTCCCCTTTGCTCCCCAGTATTTCCCGCAAAAAACACAGTTTTTCCAGCGTTTTCGCAAAGATGATGTCCAAGAAACACAGAGGCAAAAGGATGCAGGAAGCCCAAGCCAGCAAAAAAGCCGGCAGGGGGAATCGAGCCTGGGACCCCTGTTTTGCGACACCGGGTCCCCGAAGACTACGTTTAGTGGAACGTCATCAAATTGCCGCGCGGTCCTTGGGGGGGGGGGGAGGGGCCCCCCCCCCCCACGTATCAGACGTCGGGAGGGGGGGGGGTTATCCTCTATCCTCTCTTAGGTGTCCGACACGCCGAGCAATGTCGGCGGATAAGCTCGGACTCTGTAGTTGAAGCTGACGCGCTGACGCCCTCAAAAGAGGACCTTTATAGGACCTTTATGGGTTCCCTGTTAGTTTGCAGAGAGTAAGCCCTCCAGGATCATCAACTGGGCGTGCCACTTTTTGAAGGCACCCTTGTTTGCCGCGATTTTCAGGGCAACCAAAACTCAAAAGAAAAACCGAACTCCATTGTTGGGGTTTCAGAAGGAAAACCGAGGCTTCCCCTGTTTTGTCAGTCAATCAGTTGCACCTGCCAGGCTAGCCCCGTGCGCCGCCGGCCGACGCGGCAAGCCTCCGCCCCGGTGCGGATGCGGAGGCCTTCCTCTTGCTCCAGCCGAGGACGGGCTCGGATCGGACGGAACTCAGAGCGCCCGTTGTTTTGAACTGGACTCCTTAAAAGATACATTTTGCAACCATCTGAAACATGGCTTTTTCCACCAAAAAGAAGGGAATGTTCAGGTGTAATGCTGGACCCTGTTTACACGCCCCCCCCCACTGAACAGTGGAACCAGTCTGCTGGACCCTGTTCAGTGGAATCCTGGGGGCCTGGGAGGGACTGTGCATACTTTAGTATTGCCAATTCTACTTTAGTATTGCCAAGGTCCCCCTCTCCGATTCCCAGTACTTACTTTAGTATTGCAAATTCTACTTTAGTATTGCCAAGGTCCCTCTCAGATTCCCAGTACTTACTTTAGCATTGCCAATTCTACTTTAGTATTGCAAAGGTCCCCTCTCAGATTGCCAGCACTTACCTTAGTATGGCCAATTCTACTTTAGTATTGCAAAGGTCCCCTCTCAGATTGCCAGCACTTACCTTAGTATGGCCAATTCTACTTTAGTATTGCCAAGGTCCCCTCTCAGATTGCCAGCGCTTACCTTAGTATGGCCAATTCTACTTTAGCATTGCCAAGGACCGTTTTCACGAAAGCTAGCTTTAGCTAGCTGAAGTTTCTCCTTGCGTAAGCAAGGTAAGGGGCTCAAATGCCGAAAGATTGATTTTTTCAATTATTTGAGCCGAAAAGATTGAAAAACATCAATTATTTAGACCCTCCCCCCCCCTCCCGCCCCCCCCCGGGTCTTCAGTGTTCAGCAGTCTCGGTTTGCCCTTGGTGCTACGAACTTTTACATGTTCCACCGATTCAGCTTGTTCATTTGAGACCTCAGTCTTCTTGGTGAACCACCTCGCAAGAATCTTTGCACTCGCTGCATGCAGAACCCAGAGGTGCTTTAAGACAGCTTCTGACGCCTCTCGTTGTTTTCAGTTTTGAAGGTTTGCCACGCCACCATGTGCGTTTGCGTGTCGCATCCTACGAATCTTGCCGGGCCTCTCGTTGTACACAAGCTACCTATGAATCCACTCTGTCACCGACCCATCTCATGCAACAACTGCTAGCTTTCGTTCACCCGCTCCTCAAGTTGCAGCAACCTCCGAAACCAGTTGGACACTAAAGAGGACCCCAAAACACCCCTAAAACAGTCACAGGATGCTGAATTAGAAAGAAACTTCCTACAATAGAGGGGACTATTAATAAAGGAGGTCTAAAATTATAATGTAAGGATCCCTGAAAAGCTCGCTTGGCATGCTGAATCTGCAAACATCTTAAAGCTTAATTAAAACCCTGAGACCCTGCGCACAACCCCAATTCATGGACTTTACCCATGTTGGGAAGAGCGGGGTAGGGGCACAAAGTCTGGACTTGTCCTGTCTATTCGCTCAGAAGGGCAGGAATTGATGGTTGGATGAGAAGAAAAACCTTTTCAAACCCCTCATGTTTTCCTGTTTGGTTCTTGTTGCACCGTTTTAATACCAGTTTCCTTTTATCTCTTGGTGTGATGTCTAAAGGGTTCTTTGGCTTATCGTTTGGATCCAACATCTGACTCTTTTTCGCGGCTCCCCAACAGCGGAGCAGTTTTTCCAAGGGTAGATTTGGATCCGGATGTTGATTTGGGGAGAACTCGGTGGTTTCAAGTAATGGGATGAACCAACATGGCAGTGTTTTTTTGCTCAGGGGGCATGTACCGAGTCGAGTCAAACATCAAGCGTGCATGAGGCAGCCCCAAGTGCCAACACGCGTAAGCACTTGCTTTCCGGTAGAGTGCTTCAGCTCAGCTCTCGTGTGGCCTCCACACCAATACCCTGGCAAAGAAGTGCGGACCTGCATTTCCCAATGTTTCCCACCTTGTGTACTTTCAGAATGGCCTTGTGGTGCCATGTTCGGTGAGTTTTGTTTGGTGAATGTGCAGGTGGTGCATGTATGTCCAGCCGGCTCACGGGCACGGGGCCGTCCTCCGGCAGTCGGCTGACACGCTCCCAGCGACGCTCGGCAACAGAGAGATTCGGGAGCCCCATCAAAGACATTGCACAGTTTGCCGCGTTGTGTTCGAGAACTTCGCAAACGCTGGGGTACTGTTGTGCCGCCCCATGTCAGTTTGCCCAGCTCCCAAGGATCTGATGCCGAGCCGCGGAAAGGACGACTGGAGGCCAGGAACCTTGCCACTTGGCAAGCATGGCCAGCCCTTCGC